AAAGTACTGCCCTCGTCGTCAAAAGTGTGGCTGCAGCGCTTTCTCCGCTTCTTGCATGATTCACATGCGCGGTGGACTCCTGCGGTGCCGTTAGCTGACTTGTTCCTGTCTCGCGCACCGCCGCTCTGTCACTTTGTTGGTCGTACTTTTGCGCTTCCTGAAAAACTCGTTATTAGCGGCAAAGGTGGCCAACATTTCGGCGCAAACAACAGCACGTCTCGCTGTCAGGTCAGACGTCAAAGCGCGCGTGTATTAGACCACGGAACAGCTGTCGTCTTCATAAACACGAGAGATGGGACAGGGCGTGGGTGACGGGTGTCGCTGCACGTGATGGTCGCACGCCTCCCGCTTCCGCACTATCTGTCCGTATCTGGAGCAGAGATGATTGGCCAGAGTGGCATGGTCCAACCGGAATGGCATCCCATCACTGACCTGGTCCTCACTGTTTCGTATGGTTCATACCGAGACCCCGCCTCTGTCTCTCACCCGTGTTTCCAGTCCAACAGGTATGCCGGCACTTCTACCGCATTCTAGTAGCTTGTCCTTTGCGCCCATGTACCTGCGTGAAAATCAGGTGACTTTTATACTAGGTGTCTCCAGCAGAGACAGATGCTTGCTTCCCTTCACCAAGAAAGACTCATACGTGCGGTTAAAGTCGTCACACATCATATATCAAGGACACGCGGTATAATTGGCGCAAAAAATAATTCCACTACCAATGGCAAAACAAACGCTCCAATATGTGCTTGCTTATGCTATGTGACTTAAAGGGTATGCGCATCACTTCCACCATTGTCTTCTCCCACGACTTCATACACTAAACAGTCTCCATTATCGCAGCTTCTTCCACGTCTCCACCAATATGATTAAATTTATGAACACTCTGAATTTTTTGTCCGAAACAGGTGCCTCAATTGAACGGGTAACAGCGTAAGAATATCGTATTTACGAAGCGTAGCGGTCTGGTCCCTAAGCTAGACCTTCAATGCCCTGCGCAAGCCGGCTCTCCATGGCCTTTACAAGCACAGGCGGTACCGACTCGTCAGTGGCGCGAATAGTGATGCGGTACATCTACACAGCGTTAGTTTGAAGCGCGCCTTTTGCCATCATCTCAACATACCTGAGTCTCAAAGTTCGGTTCCAGTCGAAGGAGACATCCGAACTTGCCCTCGCTTGAATGCAACACTGTAGCACCAACTACGTTCTTTACATTGGGATCTACGCCAGAGACAATACCCCACTTGAAGCCTTTGACCACCTTTTGTACAAAGTCTGAGTTCATGGTCCTGTTCTTGTTGACAAGGCCAAAGATACTCTGTGCTTCGCGGGGAGCACCGCCAATCTGCTTCCAGCGCTTGAAGAAATCCTCTGAGCTGAGTTCGGCACCCTCCATGTATTTGTGAAGGAGGACTGGAAGTTGGAGGGTCAGAGCTTGTAAAGCGCCTGCAAGGTAGGATATGCGGATGGTAGGTGGGTCGACGAAGACATTCTTGCATTCGAACATGATTGTTTGCTGGGTCTGGCCCTCGGGCGGGATCGTAGTATCGGGCAGACCCTTGATGTCTGTCTTCAGGGTTTCCGAAGATCTGTTGTCGAGCGTCGTGGTAAATGAGCCCATCGGGAACTGTGACTTGTTCGTAAAGTAGAAGATGAGAGCACCCAGTTGCCCTCTGTACTCAGTCCGCAGGCCAACTTGTATTTGCTGGTCTTCGTACAACACACCTTCAGACCGGAGAAGGAGGCGGTTGTATCCAATTTCCCAGTCTGGACTCAAGTGGGCAGCACTTGCAAGGTTCGGTGCCTTGGACGTGGCCGTGTCAATGTTCAGGTCAAGACCCTCCAAGTCGCTCGAAATTGTAGCAACACCGTTTGAGCCATTCGCTACACCAGTCCTGGCTTCTTTCGACAAGGGCTCTGTGAGGCTTCTCTTGACACCAGCAGATGTATTCGACCTTGCAAGACCAAGCTCTTTGAGATCTGCATTCGCGTCCTTGCCACCGACGACCCAGGTTCGCTTGTCGCTGGTAGTGGCGTGCTTCTGGTGTAGTCGTGAAAGTAGGGCTGATGTTCGCTCTGGGTATGGAGGCATCTCGTCGCATACGGTTCGTAATAGATTGTCTGTTGGCATCGTAGCAAGGGTGAGGTATTCACATGCTCTTTGCTGAAGCTCAGAGTCGAGCGAGTGACTGTAGGCGCGGAATGCTTGGAGAAGCTGTGGCTTGATCTCAGGGAACAAGTTGACGTACTTGACGTAGCACGAGAGAAGTATGGCTCTCGTGCTTGACGAGCAGCCCCGCATCTTTGCGCTCAGTGCCATGAACTGCTCGATCGGACTGCATCCTTTGTTGTCTGCAATCAAATGGCCAAACTCTCCAAGTAAGTATCCTCCGATCTTTACCAGCGTTTCGTGACAATCCGCCTTGATATACTGTAGAATAGTCTGGGCAGCGTACACCTGAAGCTCTTCGTTGTTGGTGGTGATTTGGATAACGCGTTGCCACACTTCATCACTAACATGGTCTCCCGCCATTGCAATCAGTCGCAACGATATGTCGACGTACCACTGGACATCCGTGGCGTACTTCTCCGTCAAAATCGCAATTTTGAGTACCATCTCTTCTCGTATAGCATAGTCAGCGGATTGCAGGTAGCGTAAGAGTTCGTTTACGATTGCTTGGGCATTTGTCGGGTCACACATGCTGTAGAGTAGATCCAGACCCTGTCTCCGCACGCTGATATCCCTGTCTCTTAAAGAGCCGATGATGATGGCCTGATGCTTCTTGATGGGGTCGAGGTTTTCTGATCGAGCAGCTAAGTGCGTCATGGCTTCCAGTCCCAGATACCGCACGTTAGTCTCCCTAGAGGCAATGAATTTGCCTAGTCGCTGGGAAATCTGCACCATTAGATCTTGCTCCGTGTCGAGGTGAATGACAAGGTTGATTGCTTCGAAAAGGACGGCATTTTGCGCATTATTCTGTTGCACATTCTTTGGCATCTCGAGCGCCGAGTCCATGATCTTCTGAAGCGACTCACGAATGAGTGACCGAATGTGCGAATCCTCTGTTTTGGTTAGTAAGAGTCTGCTGCAGGTGATCAGAGGGTAGACAGACCAGGAGGTGGGTAGTACTGTAATAGCTTGAGCAGCTTGACCAGGATCCAGGGACAAGGCACCTTGTAGTAGAAGTAACCCTCAGCACACTCATTGTCGACAACTATCCGTTTGAACCTGTTCGCGGCCTTGACATAGCTTCCCTTGTATTGTTCGGCGTTGTCTTGAACGAGTGCCGTGACTAGTGATGTGACGGAGAGTGCAACGCCCATGTCAGGGTCATCCATGAGTGATATTATTCGTTCGGCCCATTCGTGTTGTACGATTGCAGGATGTTTCCGGTATAGGCGCAGAAGTGTGAGGGCTGCCTTCTTCTTGACGAATGCTTTGGAAGCCCTATGCCGTGTCAGCCTTGTCGTGTGCTTCGTCCTGTGAAACTTACGGTGAGATGAGGAGTCTGTGAACCTCCGCACTCAATGCCTCTCCCAGCTCCTTGCCACCCACATTTGCAATCGCATGCAATGCCAGACAGTTGTTGAGCTCATTGTGGTCCAACAGGTCCTTCCTAATGCTGTTGACGACCAGATGTAGGAGTTCGTGTTCTTCGTGTAAGAATAGAGTGACGGCGAGATAACCAATCTGTTTTTCCGAGTATTTGGTCGCCGAGACAAGATTAACCGCTTCGAGGTGTCCGAAATCGACGTTCCAGCCGAGAATGTATATGTACAGGAGCTGCGACTGTCAGTAAAGATGGATGTGGTTGTGCCACTGCTTATGTACCTTGCAGACGTATTTCTTCTTCTGGTAGCCATTCAATCCGGCATCTGGTGGAATTATTGTCAGACCAAATCAAGCAGAAAACGCAGGCGGGTAGTACCTCTGAACTTTTGCCTGTAACGTTGTTAGCCATCCGACGTTGCTTAGAACGCGGCATCATGCACCCACCGTATGTTTGCCAATTCCTTGTTGATCCGCTTCTCCTCGAGCTCACGGGCGCGAGCATTTCTCAAGTCAGCGATAAAAGACACGAGTCCTGCGCACAATGAGTAAGCTGCGGTCGCTGGTGGTGATGCTGCTGCCGGGAAGTGCGCATACCTCGCATGGTAGGCACGTTGCCTGTCTGATCTCGACTGAACAGCCCTCCACCAGCCCTCGCCGCCATTTTGGAGGTGACCGAGGCCGCCATGCTGGTGGTAGTTGAGGTGGTGGTGGTGGGTGGGCGGTTCCCACCTGGTAGATAGCCCGACAATGCGGCGGTGTTGGTGCACTATGCTATAGGATGTAGCGGTACGGGCCTCAGAGCAGGGTTTATGCCGACGTGCGCTCTAAGGACCGGAGGCGGATAGTTCGCGAAAGGGGCGGCCGTCAGCAAAATGGAGAGCCGGGCGACAGAATTAAGACGCAACCAAAAGTAAAAAAGAAAAGGCAAGAATCACAGGGAAACACTGCGCATGCTGCTGCATGAGGCTATACAGTCAAATGCGTCCACGCACTCGTGTCGGCGAAGTGGATGGTTGCATGCTCTACCCATGAGGTGCCAAGACTGACAGGGTTCTAGTGTGCGTCGCTGGTTCCACACGGTGCAAGGAGACTGCGACTCTGACTAGCACCCGACATCGCGACCACGAGTAGAGGACATGCAACCATGTTGCCACCTGCTCTCTGCTAGTGATAGACGATACGATTGCCTAAAAAAAGCGTATTCAACCACACGCACACAGAGTTTCTTCAGCCTCGATCGCTACCCTACCAACACTGCCATGTGTTAAATATAAATAGGCCAGTTCGAGCATATGCACAAGACGCGGCCTTTACACTTTCCTAGGAACAGCAACAGAGACTCTGGTAGCTGCTGCGAACATTCTAGTACCATTCATATACTATGCAGGAAGGAAGACGTCATCTTGCGACTGTTAGTCAGATACATTGAGGATCAAACACAGTACATGATACGCGCTTTACACGAACGGGTGAATTTGTCAAGAAAACTTTGATTAACATTTAGCACTTTCGAATATCTTAGTCGTAAGTGTCCTCGTAAGTTTGATCCAATCCAGGCACAATCGCCATCCCACGTCTCGTAAACACTCAATAAACGCCGGGAACTCCCTTCCGTATGCCACCCTCTTTACGCTTTAAATGCATCTACAACTCTTTTATTGCACCAATACATTTATTTCTTGGTGGTGAAGTCGGTCTCGAGGTTTGATGAGCCGTTGTTCTCAGAGCGGCTGCAGTTGCAGGCATCTAAAATGTTTTGTTAGAACAATTCAAGATTGATAAACTAGCAGCAACGGAATCCTTACCTTCAGCGCGCTTTCCGCAGGCACATGTTGAAGAGGGAAGCTTGTTCTCGGTGGCAGCCTTTTCGCAAGCTGGGATACGTTAGTATTGATATTCACGTAGTGAAGATAGAACACATACTGCACTGGAGAGCAGGCTGCTTTCCGCAAGAGCACTTAGCCTCCTGGGCGCACACGCAGGTGCCATTGTTGCGTCCGCAGCAGACCATTTTGAAATGTGTGAATTGATAGAGTTGATTTGGTGGATGAGTGAAGGTGATTGATTCTTGGAGTCGGATATCGTAGACTTGAAGAGCTGAATGTACTGAATGACACTGAGAAGCAGGTTCCAGGCTCTTCTTTATACCCATAACTCTGCCTACCTCTGACAGCTACGTAGTCGACATGGACCCTGGATTCCTAGAGGTGGAGTCGCGTGAGTGGCGATCCCAGCCAATCAGAGCCCACTTGATTACGCCTTTGTCACCTGTTCTGACTATCAATGCTACGCTGATTATGCACTGCCTTTCAAACGCACCCTATTTGCTGTAGATTTTCCAATTTATCTGATCGATAGACATATCCTGCAGGTCCTGACTTACTCCGCAGATATGTGCATATGCAGCTGTTACCGTAGGCCAAACGTGACGAGTCCGCTCATTTCCTCACTTGACATTGCGGCAGATGATCTTGAACAAGTGGAGAGTGTATTATTAAAAACTAGTATATATAAAACATTCAGGCGTATTGATCATGAAGTCGGCATTGTGTTACTGCGTTTCATCCCTTTCCCCTTTAGCCGTTCCCGAGCTGGCAATTCCTTGACCACTGTCTTTGGAGAGATCTCCTCAAATTCTCCAATCGCATCCCGCACCCTCACCGGTGTCCGCGGCCGTTCGTCTCTCAGCTCTCCGACAAACGTGGAGCCCCTCGGTCTTGCAGATACCCCTCTTGGAGACTCTGTAGCCCTTCTTGCCAACTCCCTGACTCGTCCTGGCGAGTCTCTCGAAGGGCTACTCAGCACGCTCGTGTCACCCGAAGTTCTTCGTATCGAACTATCCCGCTGATGCTTTGACAGTGACTGCCTAATGCGCGAGTATTGCGTCCATTTGGTCAGCCTGGAAGTCCTTAGTACCTCCCCAACGGCTTCTTGGAGTTCTCTTACCGCATTGTTCTGCAGCGCTTGGAGCAGCACAATCGCGTTCTGGTGGTCTCTACTGGCCGTTGAGGGGTTTTGCTGCGCAAGACCCTCTTCTGTTGCATTTGCATGCTCTTTGATAATCTCAAGAAGTCCACTGTCTTCCTTGATCTCGTCAGCGATGGCAGCAGCGCCCTCCAGCGTCTGTGCCAGTAAGCCTAGGCCAAGTAATCCTTCAGATCTAGCTTCGGGGTAAAAGCGTTGACGGACGAGCTGGGCGATTGGACGTGCGATCTGGGGCACCTGTAAAATCTGTATTTGTACTGCTTCGACATCTTTTTCTGCATTTGGTCGTCCGAGGTAGCGCAACATGGCGACAATGGTGCGGCCAAGCTCAATCATGGGGTTCTTCATCGTTGTGCTGGGAAGTGGTTTGGATGCGACGAGGGCCTGTTCGACAATGTGTGAGAATATTACTGTGTCCGCTGAAACATCTGCATCAGATGCTTCCGTGTCAGGTCCGACTGTCTCATACATGACTTTCTCAATGTTGTAAAAGTTGCCGGTGACGAGCTTGCACAGTATGGCCGCCGCCTCGCCGCGAACAGAAGGATCTTCCAGTACGAGCATGCGACAGCATGCTTCCATAAGCCCGGCATCTGCAAGTAAAGCCCTATTAGCTTCTGGAAAAGTGAGATGTCGCATGATACCCGCTGCAGCGTACAAAAGAGCGGGCTTATCGCTCTTCTTCATAATCGTAATCAAGCGAACATGGAGCTCCATGATCTTGACCATATCAATGCAAACTTCGTCAGACATGGCCAAGTTTCCCATCATGACACAAGCGCATATCGTAGAAGGCTGTGCACTCTCCCAGGGTGCTCGTAACTTGGCCTCCATTCTTTCGATGACTGGGCTTCTGATGTTGAAGGTTTGTGAAAAGATATCGGTTGCTGAGGCGGCAGACAACATGCCAATAAGCTGAGCCATCAGGAGAACCTGTGCTTCGTCTGATGAAGTGCTGTCTGTGTTTTTGCTTGTTGCGAGTTCCTCGAATACAGCCTTAATCTCCTCTGGCTGGAGCCGCGCCTCAAACTCCAACATGAGACTAACGAGGTCGTCGAGAAGCTTTGGTGTTGCTATTCCCTGCTGAAACTCTGGATCCTGGAGGTAGTGTACCAGAATAGCGATGTACTCGAGGTAATGGTCTTCATCAAACTGGAGTGCTACATTTAGTAAGCTCTTGAACGTCTCGAGGGATACTTCATCCTTAAACTGAGCATCGTTTAGGTTACTCGTAGTCCAGCTGAGTAGATCTGTAGCGTAGTCGAGCGCTGCCTCTGGTATCCTGTCGAGAACAAGGAAGGTAGTTATCGTGGCATCCAGTCTCAGTGTGGCTGCTGCGGCTTTGGCAGGATCTGTCTGCATGAGCTGCGTGTTTGGAGCGGCTTCCAATCCTGCTCACCAAAGTCGTTGCAAAGATTGAAAAGTACAGCCAGTGTAGTCAGGCGTAGCTCTGCTGACTGGAGACAGCTAATGATGGCCTGTATGTCTCTCACCGCGAGCTCTCTGTTGGCATCTTGGTCCCAGTCAGACTATCTGTATTGTAGAAGGCTTCACTCCAGGATACAGTACCATTGTCGGCAACAGAATTACCGATGACTCTCAGACATTGCTTCACTATAGACTCATCGTCGCGGGCAGCGGTCAAACCCCGCAGAGCGAACGCAAGAAGGCCGCTGTCCCTGAACGGAGCCTGCCATCTCTCTGTGACTAGTTAGTAGAGCGTAGTTCACAGGTCTGAAAAACATACTGCGGCCTCCAACGGCGGTTCCAAAGAGTTGTAGCGTCTTCTCAATGGGTACACGGTCCCCACTTGTTGCAAACGCAGCGAGCTTATGCACGTAGTCCGTGAGAGCAGCGGTCTGGCCTGCAGGGTTCCCTTGAAGTAGGCGCTCTAAGGACGCTACGTGTTCGCCAAGCTCCTCATTGGATAGTGACATATCGGAAAGTTGGGAGGAGGATGGAGAAATGCAATTGCCGCAAAAGTCGTGACAATGGTCAGGTCAGGTCAGGTGTGCATGGTGGCGGCTGCGCAGCGGGAAAGATAGCAAATGGTTTTTAGTTGCCCCGGTATTCCCGTCCAAGCAACAGCTGCAGAGTGGGATTTGTCAGGCGCGACAGCAGAAAAAGCTGCAATTATTGGTTTCAGCCACTTGTTTTTCAAGACGCGCAAAGCGGGCAAGTTCCCATGGCGTTCTCGACCCACCGGCCGCTTAGCCTTGCCTCCGTTCGGCTCCGCTGGGCCCCCTGGGAAAGATCCCTTGGCGACAGTTGAGCGATCTGGCACTCAACACTCAACACCAGACGACCACGACGACGACTATCTCGCGCCCATAATTTTGCCGACCAAAGACTTTCGTTGAAAACAATTCTACCTTCAATACCGCCACGATGACGCGTGCTCAGCAGACCATCAGCATTGCGATGCTCCTTACTTCTGTGCGACAGCCCCTTAGCCGTGGCATTCAATTCAAGATGGTATTCTAACATGTGCTGCACAGGTATACCTTGCCCTGTTGCTCCAGGTCGTTCCTCTGCCTCAAAAGGTTCAGGAAGAGATCATACCTTATGTAGGCTTCCCCTCCTCATCTGTCAATGCCTGGCTGACCTCAAGATAGATTCCCTTCTGGGCTCTCATCTCCTTTGGCGCCTACCTCCTCTTCAGTCTGGGCTGGGGTGTCTTTACCTTTAACGATGTACCGGAAGCGCACGCCGAACTCGTGCAGCAAATAGCAGAGGCACGCAAAGACCTCAGCGCAAAGGGCGTGGATGTTGGCGAGGATTGAACGTGACAGGTGTAATGGGAACTGCATAATTGGGCGTTGGTAAGGATCCGCGGCGGAAGGGGGAACATATGTATTGTATGGTTATTTGAAAGTTTCTGGCAAGATAGGCAGCTACTCAGAACAAGACAATCCTCCAGGTTTTGGTGGATAATAATGCTTAAGCAGTTGAGGCCGCCTCTGCCTTCTTCTGCGCCTGTTTCAGCTTTTTTTCTGTCTTCATAAATTCCCGAATGCCCACGGGTATGTCTTCAAACAGCTTTTCCTTGTCAGTGTCATCCAGGCCGCCATCCCAATTGGTCTCGCTACCACCCCCGTCATCGTCCATACTCGTGGCAACATGGTTCGGCGTTGAGTCCCCAGCCACCATACTTCCAGTTCCTTTACCTTCCCGTCGCTGGGCTTGTATTGCGGCTCTTGCCTGAGCCTGCTTCTCTGCCCATTCCTCCATCTCATCTCGATACATGTCCCATACACAGTTCACACAACCAGACATGCAGCAATTGTCTGGTTCTTCGGGGCGCGGAGGGACCAGAACTCCGGCAATGTTTTGTGACGATTTCAAGATCTCTTGTCTGCGTTCTTCGAGCGCAGTCGTGGATCCGAAGATGATACGTGCTTTCGCGAATGTCTCCTCCTTCGTGGTCCGCGGTTGTTCCTTCGGGGGCTCAGGAGTACTATGAGACAAAGATTGGACTTGAGAGAGGGGCCTTTTTAGCATGTCTACAAGCCATTAGCACAAGTATTTTGACTCCATGTGACTGGGATCTAACCCTCGTAGAAGCCTGTGAGGGGCCTGGCCTGTTCTCCCTCTGGCGCTATATAGCTTTTGGATCTACGCTGTATCCGATTACTGTTCTGTAGCCCCATCTGTCCAGCCTCTGTTGAAGCACGCGACCTGCGCCATGACTTCAAGCAGGAAGCACATAATCTTTGGCGCATAGCTTTTGATGCTGTGTGCATGATATGTTCCATTTTACCAACGGAACAACCAAGACTCAGCAGTGTATGGTGATTGAAATATCCTGACTACAACATGCCAAGACTGCCGGTTTACAAGTTGTGGAGTTTTGAGCTTGAGTGGTATCAGCGAAGAGTTCGACGTCATTTTGCGTCGCATTTCCAACCGTCGGCAAAAGCTGCAGCGAATGCCGACAGGGTCACAACACGCGCCGACGCGTCGCATTCACTCTCGTCGCAAAGCCCCGCCAAGCACGTATACCAGAAAAATCATACATTCCTAGCACGAAACCGATTCTTGCTACGCGCCAAAGTCACACGCTTGCTCATCCGGTCGTATACACACATCGAATGTCATGAGCGAACCATCGTCCAAGCGGAGGAGGACCCACTCTCCCGATGGCCGCGCATCGAGTCCACTGAGACAGCCTCCACGCCGACCGTCTTTTGCGTCCCCTACCAAAGCCAGCCTTGCGGGGACCTATCCGAACCTCCAACCTTCTACATTAACCCCTCGCCTTAGCGCATCTCCCAGACGCAGAGCTCATGGAGATGTATCGGCCAAGGGAAAGCAGGCGCGTGCTGCCGAGGATGCTCAAGAGGCCAGTGAAGAATCAGACCTACCGAACACACCATCCCATCGAACCTTTGAAGGATCAAACCAACCGCTTCGGGGTATCCTGTTTTCCTCACTAAGTAAACGACCTCCACGTGCAAAGAATGGCCTCAAACAATCGCCATTGAAACCGAAAGCACCCGCAGTACAATCAGACGATGGTACGAGGGCTGTGGAGGATGGACCAGTAGAGGGAAATGTACGCAAAGTTGTAGAATGGCAGCCTCCTGATCCGGAGGTGGAGCGGAGAAAACAGGAAAAAGCACGGCTACAGCGTGAAGTGGAGAAACTTGAGTCTCAAGTCTCGAGATGTCTAGATGAGATTGAGAAGGAGCAACGGCGAGGCCCAGAAGAGACATTACAACCCCAAGAACGTGAAAGTCTACGGTAAGCCTATGAAGTGACACTTTCGGATCAGTGACTGACTTCAAATCAGCAACTTCATTACCGAAATCAGCGGAGCAGACACAGAACCGGAGAAGCCAAAAGTATCTAGTCTACTCTGCTCATTCTTGCCATTTGCCGCCATACCCGCTCCTCCGCCGCGCTTAAAGCAATCAGACAAGCCAATTCCTTCCCATCGGCCAGTAGACTTAGCAGATCCTCTACCCTACCTAGAAATGTTCACCTCCTTCAAATTCTCAACCCGAATCAGCCTTCCCCGAAGTAAAACTGCTCCATCATCTCGACGCACCCACCAAACCCACACGATCGACATGACCGGCCCCCAAAAACTTCTCACAGCCCAACTCTCCCTAACAATCGACGCCACAGCCCCCGAAATAACAAAGTTACAGCTCATCCGTCTCACACCCTGGGCCGAACAGGAACTCGGCACCTTCATCCGCTCCCGAGCAGCGCAAAAAGATCTCAGCAACGCCTCCTGGGCCATAAATTCCTACTGGACTCTCGCACAGAAACGCGCGCAGTACTGGCACAAGGTCGAAACAAGCTTCCCCCACCTTCTCATCGGCCGCTCAGAAAAAGACACGGAGAACGCATCGCCGCAGGCTCGTTCCAAAGCCTCTAAACCCCTTTCTCGAAAGGAATTGAATCGCCATCTCGGTCGTGATACGCTTGTACTACAAGATGCCCATGTTGTGCTTAAGCTTAGTTGGCGCATTGGGTTTGATTGGACGGGCGAGGCCGAGTCGAATGTCGCTGTTGAACCGGCGTTTCCTCGCGTTTGTAAGTTTAGGCTTGATGAAAATGGGATCAAGAGAGAATGTTGTTGGGAGACTAACGAGATGAATAGGGTCGGAGACGGATACCGCAGATAGCCTGAAGAAGGTGCCCGAGACGTTTGATGCGTTGATGCGGGCGAAGGGCGTGTTTGAGGCGACGACGATTATTGTTGCTTTGTTGTTTGCGCAGTAGGATGGATGGTATGATATAGGGTTGGAGTGTTGGGGTAGAGGAAGAAATATACCCTTTTGTGATGTTTGACATGAATTTTAATTAGTATTTTTCCAGTATTTGGATATCCATGTCTTGTCGAACATCCCATGACATACTTCAGTGGCAAGTTGACGGACCAACACAAGCCACCAAAGGAAACGCATCTATATCCAAACACCTCAACTCTTCTCCCCAGCGACCTCCTCCTTAACAACTGCATCCTTCTTCGGCGGCCTGGCCCCAAAAATCTCACTCCCCACCCTCACTTCATCACTCCCCATACGAATCGCGCCCTCAAAATCCGCACTCATGCCCATACTCAGCTCCAACTTTTCCTTGTCCCACCCCAGCGCCTCAGCAACCCTATCCCGCGTCTCCCTCAACGCCACAAAATCCTCATTCTCATTCTCCTCGGTCATAGCCTTACTCCTCGCAATCGCCCCAATCGTCATAAACCCCGCTAGCTGCAAGTGCGGACACTTATCCACCACATGCCTGCACAGCGCCAGCGCATCCTGGGGTTCAACACCGGATTTACTGTCTTCGCCGGAAGTATTGACTTGCACCATAACCCTCAATTTACTCGCTGAGCCATCTTTTTCCAAGAGGGCTTTGCGGCCCTTTTCGAGTTCATTTGCCTTTTTTTCAGTGTCGACGCTACTCACGCACCAGAGGTTGGGAATTTGCTCGGCGAGTTGCTTGCATTTGTTGGATTGGAGGCCGCCGATCATGTGCCAGTGGATGGAGCGGGGCAGGAGTTTGGCTTTTTCGAGGAGTTCTTGCACGTAGTTTTCACCAAAGTGGGTTTGCAGCGGGTTGGGGGGTTGGTGGAGGGCGAGGATGTCGTTGGCGGGTTTGAGCTTTGAGACGGCGATTAGGCGCACCTGGTGGAATGTTTTGTTAACTTGTGTGAGAGAAGGATGCGGAGGGGGTGTACGCACTGGTTTGGTGCCTTTACTCGCGGCATTGATGCACGCGGTTATGCCGGCAATGTTTTCGGATAGCTGCTTTGCACGTTGTGGGTTGATTTGCATATCTTCGGCCATCGTTGATGCAGGGCTGATGTTTGTGTGTAAGACGTACGACGTGCATGGATGAAGACGTCAGTTCGGCGTTAAGCAGGGCATTATCTCCGGTTAACGCTAAAGCGTTGCTCTAGTACACTGCTCGTGTGTGCCAAAAGTTTAGGTCTTAGCTCTGTCCGTGTGAGATGGTCGCCTTGGGTTGACCGAAATCTTAGTCAACTGGGTAACGGCAGTACGTTTTGTTCAGGCTCTCTAGCTTCGCTGGCACTGATACCAAATGTGTGGATGGGTAATTCCGATATGATGTCTCAGCCAGTTGATGTATAAGGGAGTACAAACCTCCTGTAAGACCTGGAGACGCAGATGGATTCGGGTGCTCTCTTCTCATCCGAAGCAAGGGTATATATTCTTGTAAGCTGCGAATACGCAGTGTAGATTGAACATTTCTGGTGTTATTCTAGCTCCTCAATCGAGGCAACCGGATATCGTACCCGGAGGCCTCACGTGATGTCTACCGTCGATCCCTCCGCGAATCATGAATATGACCGAAATTAGCACCACGCCGTCCATGTACAAACCTTTTCGTTGTCGACGGAGATTGAGCAAACATCATTAATAACAATAAGACTAATGAGAGAATACGTATGAAATTTACCAAGATAAAGTACCAGAAACCAATGCCGCGCGCACGCGGGCGGCTATCGAGCGTATGAGGGACATGGTGCCGGGTGAACAACAGAAAGGGAGCATGGGTCAGGGAACAGACAGCCGGCTTGTCGCCCCACCTGCAAGGTAAACGCAACCCGCAAAAACGGTCACTGTGTCCTTGTGTTATGCGTCTCATGTGACACACGCTACTTGGTACAATCTGTTCTACTAATGAAATGGGGCGTAAACGTCTGTTTAGAGACTAAGACTCCGCAGCTAAGCCACCTAGTAACTTGAGGAATCTCGAAGTAATCTTTAGCATATTGCTTTATATAGCCAAGGCTCCATCCATCCAATCCCGGATTTATCCAGAGTTCCGGGGTATGGTATTACAGGTCCGAAACCTAGTAATAAGTGTGCATGTACTACCGAAGAAAGGATCCTATTGTCTGCTTCTTGGGGATTAAAGGATGACCGCGCCGTAATCTGAGCATGTCCTGACACCTTTGTCCTTCTTTCCCACTTGTTGTGATACGTAGTTGACGATGAAATACCTTCTTTTCGCGGTAGCGGCAGCGGCAACGGCAACAGCGCAAGATGCGCTCGAATCGCGGGTGCCTCGTCCAGATGCACAAGGGCGATATACGCTTGAGGCTGAAGGGATCAAGGCGCAATTCATCCCATATGCTGCTACCCTCACCAACCTCTGGGTCAAAGGTGGGCACTCATTGATATGAGTAAGTGCAGCTACTGACGGAAACACAGATTCAAAGGGCAAACCACAGGACATTGTCCTAGGCTACGACAACACGACGTATTACCGTAAGACTTCTGTTGTGCTAGAGTCAGCTCCATCTAACATGGCCCAGCGGTTGACCCTGGACATCCCGTGTACAATGCCATTCCTGGACGATATGTCAACCGCATTGGAAATGCAACATACAAGATTGGCGACGTCAGATACCATACAGAGAAGAACGATGGGCCGAACACTCTGCATAGCGGTACCAACAACTGGTCTTACAGGGTGTGGAACGTGACGCGTGTGAGCAAGTCATCAATCACATTCGCCATCTCAGACGCTTCCAACTCGTCGCTGGGCATGATTGGTCGCGTGGATGCCAGCGTCACATACTCGGTGTCAAAGAACAAGTGGCACATTTCCATGGATGCTACATCGCCAGAAGCGAAGACTCCTCTCATGTTGACACAGCACACGTACTTTCAGCTTGATGCGTTTAGGCGACCCGACAACCGGACCATTTGGGATCACACAGTGTACATGCCCGAGGCTAAGCGCGTGGTAGTGACTGATGCGAATGCTCTGCCCACGGGGGAGATTGCGCAGGTTGCAGCGAACTCGACTGATGATTTCTGGTCAGCGCCGCACAAGCTCGGGTTTGCGTCAGACAGGCCGGGATTTGAGAACCACTGCGGTAATGGATGCCACGGATACAACGGCGCATGGGCATTCAACGAAAAGAGGGACAAGCGCAAGAGCGTGCTGACGATAGCGAGCGCGTACAGCGGCATCAAGGCGGACCTGAGGACTGACCAGGACGCGGTTGTGTTGTACACATGCAACTGGAACGACGGCAAGACTGAGTTCAAGAGTACGCAGGGGGTTGCCGGGCAGGACAAGTTTATCCCGCGCGATGGATGCATTGCGATTGAGGCGCAGGACTACCCGGATGGCATCAACCAGTAAGTAGATGGACGAGTTGTGACGTCGTCGATGAGCCAAGCTAATAGTGTTGAACAGTCCGGAGTGGGGTCGGCTGAACAAGCAGATCGTCGGGCCCGGCGACAAGTACCACTGGGAGTCGTCGTGGGAGTTTGGGACGCTCTGAGGGAGAGGTAAGGCGAGGCAAGGCGAGGGCTGGCGGCGGCGGCGGGCAGCATGGCATGTGAAGGAGCGTACGTAGCGGGAGTATGTAAGCAGCCAGCTATGCAACCAACCCCATTGCATTGACCGACTGTCGTGTCTGGAGCCCCGCACTCAGGCGGGAGGGGGGGGGGCGGCCGGTGGTGCTCGCGCGCCGCCCAACAGTGTGTGAGAGAGTGCCTGTTCATGATTGCGAGTGTGGCGTGGGTGGCGAGTGTCGGGATGCAGCGGCCCAGCCTGGCGCGTGCAATGCGTATGGATGTGTATATGTACGTACATGTGAATACAGAAGTGAAGCGATGATGTTTGGGCGGCTGAGAGGATGGAGGATGCACGCTATCACCAATATGCTGGGTGGTCTAACGAGGGCGGGCGCGGGCTGTCCGGCACGGCGGGCTGGCCTCGGTGGCTAGGCCGACGGGTGTATGGCCATACCGGTACATAGTACGTACAGCTCGTCGGCTGCCGCTGTATCGTCTTCGTCGACGTCGTCGAGTCTTGCTCGCCCTCTCACTCTCGCATCCAGACCGACATTCATCCCTACCAGTCGCCCAACACTCTCGCTGCAACAGGCCATCTCAGCTGAATGCACGCCGGGCTGACATGCCGGCGCCCGTGTCAGTGTCTGCAGCCTGATATCTGCCCATTTCGGCCCTAACAGCATCATAACGCGGTTTGCCCATCACCGCCCTGCCTGGTTGCCAAGAAACGACATCATTTCACCAATCCTTGCTCACCACTACCACTCCCACCCATCGCCCTCGCCCTCGCCCTCGCCCTCGCCCTCGCCCTCGCCCTCGCGGCCCTCACGCCTGCTCCCTCCCCGCCGCATCGCCCATGCGCTGTTTCTGTCAATCGCGACTGCCATCCCACCCCGCCCGCGTTTCCTGAGTCGCCAGCACAGGGAGAGGCACCCTCGCCGCCCACATTCCCTAGCATCCATGTCCTTGTGACTCTCGCTATCGCCCACCAGACAGCCTCACCACCCCCCACTAGCACGCCCTCGCGATAAGAGTTTATCCCTGTCGGAACCGTCCGTGACACGGCTCTTGGGTATACACGGGCCCCCCAACTACAAGTTCCCCACTATCCGCCTCTCGCTCGACAGCCTCGCTCCCTCGATTCTCTTGCTTCATAATGGGGAACTCGCAGGGAAAAGAGTCCCTACCTGAGCGAAGGAGCCATGGCCGCCGCCCCAGCGCACACAACATCCCTTCTCCAACCACAGCCGGGCCTGGGCACGACAGATCAGGCAACAATCCCTATGGCAACTCGAGAAGGGATAGAGGCAGCAGACCAGACCTATCCATTCTCGGTTTCCGATCAACAGACCATGCTGAGCGCGATCCTGCCCTTGAGCCGCGCCGTGAGACAAAGGCAGAGAGGGAGGCCCGGAAGCTGGAGAGAGAGCGTATTCTTCGGGCGCAGGAGCGCGAAAGAAGTCTGAGAGAGGAAGGCGTTGACGGAGGCTATTTGGTCACACTTGGAGTCTATACCGGTCCCGAAGACTTCAGCAAGGCCGCGGTGCGACAGCTGCAGGTATGGCTTTGCGCTACTGCTTTGGAAACATTTTACTTACACATGCTAGATTGAGCGCCGACTTGCTCCCTTTTGGAGAGGTCTCGATGACCACCAAGACACTTGGACTGAGCACCAGCTTGCCGAAGTTGTAAACGGCCGCCCGCTACCCGCTGCCGACGCCATTCCTCCCCAAGAGCCGCCTCGACCAAACAACAACCTCAGTCCAGTATGGAACCCCCGCAGCTCTGAGCCGAACCTGAACCAACTTACTGTGCCCATGGGTTCCCGATCCATGTCCCAAGAGCCAGAGCGAGGAGGTGGCCTATCGCCTTCGCACCCTGGCTCCTCCCTTCCTTCGCCTACGTCCCCAATGTCCAACCAATCTTCCTCCTCGCCTTTCTTCCGCAGTCGCGCCAAAACTCTGGCTTCTCTCGCAACCGGTTCGCGCAATGCATCGCAGGCCGACATGGCTCCTCAGGAAGTACAGCTGCCAAAGGATCCGTACGTCAATGGCCAACGGGTCGAGGCTTTTCTATACAAGAATGCATCAGAGTGCCCCATCTGCTTCATGTACTACCCACCATATCTCAATCGAACACGTTGTTGCGATCAGCCCATCTGCTCAGAGTGCTTTGTCCAAATCAAGCGTCCGGATCCGCATCCCCCAGAGCACCACGGAGAGCCTGGCGCTGAAGGCTCGCCACCCGCTGAGCCGGAAGAGGAGATCCAATTGGTATCAGAACCCGCTGCATGCCCATACTGCACACAAACCGAGTTCGGAGTGACGTATGAGCCACCGCCTTTCAGAAGAGGATTAGTCTACAGTGGCCAGGGCTCAACCCATTTAGGCAGCGCAACGTCGGCAATGTCATCCACGATATCCTTGCACTCACCCACCTCGGGTGGATCGGGGCGAAGAAGGGCGACGTCACTCGCGGTTAATGACAAGACGGTCATTACAACAGACATGGTGCGGCCTGACTGGGCGAAGAAGCTTGCGGATGCCAAGTCCCACGCTTTACGAAGGGCTGCTGCGGCCACGGCTCTACATAACGCTGCCTATATGATGGGCAATCTGCAACAGGGAGAGAGTCGCTTTGGCATCGGCAGACGAAGACGACTATTCACTACTGATAGCGGCGGTAGTAGTGGAAATGGGACACCACGACGCGAAGGCGAAAGCTCTTCGGGCCAGCAGGGGTCTTCAAGCGATTTGTTTCCCAATAGGTTGAGCTCGAGGAGAGGTAACAGACTTGAAGATCTCGAAGATCTCATGATGATGGAGGCTATTCGTCTTAGTTTGGCGGCCGAAGAAGAGCGTAAGAAAAAGGATGAAAAGGAAGCTGCCAAAGAAGCCCGGAAGGAGGAGAAGAAGAAGACCAAGGAGCTCAAAAAGGTCGTAAAGGCCCAACGTAACATCGGTAGCGGCTTTCATCCTATATCTATTGATGATACCGATGGCGCAGAAGCCAGTAGTTCGGGTGCAGTCGGAAAAGGTAAAGGTATTGACCGATCTGGCAGCGCGGGTGGCTCCAATTCAGAGCTGGGATCGACTTCAAACATTGCCTCTACCAAAGATGATCCTCAAGGCCATCTTGAAGCTAGCCGTGCGCAAATTCAGAGAGAGACGTCTGACTCGGCCAATTCCGCAACACTCGATCCGCACAGCAACGAGCAGCAGTCGCACCGCGCTCTGATGCGCAATCTGTCAAACGCCTCGTCATCCACATCATCGTATTCCGAGTCCTACCAAAACTCGTTGCGACAAGAGAGCCAGAACAATCTAGCGGCTGGTTCATCATATTCACCCAGTCTGAATGCTTCAGGGGATAGTCCTCCACAGATCCCGAATATCCCAACTGGCACGGAGCCCATGTTCAACTTTCAAAGTCTGCAAGAGGCCATTTCTCCTGAGGAGGAGAATAAGAACGAGAACAAGCCTCAGTTTATCGAGGATGTTGGAGAGACGAAGACTCGGTTGCAGTTGGACGGTGCCAACAACAAAGCGGCTGAAGACTCGACGAGCAGTACTGCAGACGTTCCAGAGCAACTAGCTGAGAGCACAACAACGCTCAGGCCAAATGACGACGCGTCAAAGACGGCTGGTGCTCACAATGCTGGCAGTGATGAGATTAGCCCGGCGCCTCCTGTTGAGTTTGTTTCCGACGAGCGCTCTCACATGGACCAGAAGCATATTGGGGAAATCAGCATGGCACATGAAGTGAGCCACCACGCTACTCAGTAGTTCTCACCTTCATAAAACACATTTTTTTTCTTCTTCAAAGAACTATTCCACGCCACTCCTATCACTTGCATTCTCATCGGTGTTTTACACGGCGTTGGGGTGCATTTTTGTTGGCGAGCATTTCGCCCTCTTTTTTTTCCACCAGCAAACAATCGCTATAACAGTTTTTTCTTGTGTTGTTCAAAGTCATATACGTATGCACACGTGCTTTGGAGTAGGGTGAGGGGAGTGAAGATTGTTATCAGCATTGAAATCAAAGGCAAACTAAGCAAAAAAAAAAGGGGGGACAACCCGGGGCCCCATTTGCCTGAAAGAAAGAAAGCATGTGCTTTTTTTTCTTGGTGTGTGCAATAAGAGACTGTGTTTGGGTGGCTGGATTTTCCTTTCTTTCTTTCTTTTTAGCGAAGGGGGGAAGGGAGCATCATATACAGGACATAAGTGTCGATTTGTAAAGTGTGAAAAGGGTTGAACTTGGTATTTTCAAATCAAGATGAAAGCTAGTACAATGACTAAAATTTACTCCTCTGGCAAATGTTTACTCTTTCTCCGCTGACGTGTTCCTTGGTATCTGCGTTGCTATTCGCTTCTTCGCTTCTTCTTCTTCTTCTTCTTCTTCTTCTTCCACCTCTCTTTCTTGCTCTCCTCCGCTACGCGACTCGGCTCTGCTTTTGTAGCTTTTTTTTTGCCTTAGTTATCCCTTCATTCAGCTTCTTTCCGCCTCAGCCTTTGCCCGCCCATAATGGGGGGGACGGCGCGAGCGGGTTATCGAGTCGTACTCTCATGCGTACTCTTTCTGTCCTATACATTTCCTTCCCAACCCTCCCCTTTCCCAAATCACATAACAAAAGCTTCGTAATAACCCCCCTCCTTTTCCAACTAAAAAAGAAAAACAACCTCTTCAAACGCAAGGCAAAAGAAAGTTAAATCCGTGATTATCATATCAATCGTACCATGTTAACATGGCTCTGCGAGTGGCGGAAGTCCCTTCACTCAGTACATCAACGCCTTGATATCGCGGTAGCTCAGCAGCGCGGTTGTCGACTGGCGCGAGAAGAAGAGAGAGACTAGGTCCATGATGTTGCGCATTACGGCGTGCGGCTTGCCTGGGTGCAGCAGGTCGAGCAGGGTTAGGGACCAGCAGGCGAGTTGAACTATGAGGAGGAAGGCGATGCAGATGCGGAAGGAGGAGTCTTTGCCCATTGCTGCTGCTGGTGTTTGTGTTTTGTGGAGTATGTTGTTGTGGGTTGATTGGCTGACCAGAGATCGCAGGTAGGGTGGTGACGTGTTTGGTTTGCGAGTGTGGGGTTTGGAGGTGGTTGACTGACTCGCTTGTTTCGGGGGCGCTTTTGTGTGTGTGTGGAGAGAGAGCGAGAGAGGTATGTGTGTGCTGTAAACCAGTAGTTCGCAGGATGATGCGTGTGCTTTTTTTCCCTTCGGTTTGCAGGCGTAGTTCGCAGTAGTAGTGGTGGTGGTGTGTGGGTTTTTGCAGCTCTTTTGGTAAAGCGGGAAAAGAGGAGAAGAAAGAGAGTAGCGCGGTAATATAAGTGAAGGTAGGTCGGAGTTTGGGATATGAAGGGGGCAGCAGGGGATGCGCGATACGGAAAGTGAACACGTTTATTAGGAGTTTTAAATTGCGAATTTGAGTGTGCTGAGCGTGCGCGTATCTCTTTGAACTCGGTTCCAGGGTCTGCTTTTTTTCTTGCGCGCGTACGGGGAGGGGGCCAACAGGTATAATTTATGCTTATTTTTTGCACAAACGGGTAATAAAGAGGGGAAATTGGCGAGGTCGGGTTTGGTTGGATGAGAGGGTAGTTGCAAAGGTGGAGTCCTTTCTTGTTGATATGTACTCTTGGTTTGAAGTGTCGGTGAGAATCTGGATCCGTTGGCAAGGAAGGGAAACCCAGCGATAGCCAGTCGTTCGTACTAATCCCCGGCGTTTACTTTTTTTGTCCGGCTGGAACGTTGAATTCCGTCGGAAGAACACGAGTGACAGTTGACAGGGTAGAGAAGAAGAAGAGGGGGGAGCTGAATGTACTCTTTCGCACACCGAATTATCGACCTTGTTCGCTTTCGTCAGTGGCGCAAGCCTCGCAGTCAGCTGGTATCAACATCCTCCCACAACGCCGTGATCCTAGCGTGCGGGGGGCCGTACAGGCGGCCAGGAATCGTGTGAGCATGAGGAATGAATGTCGGTGTGTTGCGATATGCTCGGGTTCTGAGAGCAGCTTAGTCTCTTTCTTTCGGGATTGTATTCTCCACCCACACTAAGCTGGCGTACTAGGTTTTCTGCCATTTGGGCTCTCAGCCACCAATCCACCACCCCGCTATCTGCAGCTATCTGACTCTACTGTCGCTAGTAAGCTAATCTAGGTAGACATGGAGATATAATTACTAGTTGTTATTGAGATTCAACTCTAATACCTTTAAAAGGCTTTATTTATTAAATGTATTAAAAAATAATAATTAACCAATCTAACTACCCACACACTATCTAAGGGTTGTTCCGCCACGAAAACGCATCCAGCAGCGCAGTATGTCAGCAGCAAAGGGCCGATTACGACTGCCATCCCAAACTAACAAGCGATCAGAGTCAGCTGTGCGCCCTTGCTATTTACGCAAATATGAGCAAAGTCACACTTGCAGTAGCGCAGACAACAACAATGATGAATATGAAATAGAGGAGATACTCGATGCGCGTACCAATTGCAGAAACCCACATTATTTCGTCAGATGGATTGCATACCAGGACGATGCATTGCGGTACCACGCCTCCAGCTTCAAGAACAGCTCGTACAAGCTCCGTAGTTTCCATGCGACAAACTCTATCCTACCAGGCCCTCGTAACATACTACGCATCTGGATAGTATATTACTTGAAGGAGGTTAAAGACGCGGATGATCATCTTGATGGCAATGTGTTGGCGAAATAAACAAGAGCGTATGAGGGTGGTATCTACCTTAAAGTAGTCAAGTTCTCACCATGTCTTTGTTAGGTATCTTTCGCATTATCCAACTTGCTTTTCCTCAAGGCTATAGTTTCCCGAGTGTTAACTAGTTTCTCTACCAACTCATGAAGATGATAACCTCAAAAGTCTTAGGGTCAATAAATTCAGCAACAGACGCTGGGAATAGGTCGAATAAGCGGCACATTCGCTTTTTCGCCTTCTTCTCACAATACTATTTCATCTAGGTTAATTCACTTCCTATTCAAGCTGTGGAGACTCTAAAAAAGACAAGGATGTCCTAAGAGACTTGTGTAAATCATGCCATCTCTATGCAAGGCCCCAAGAATGCACCTAGCTACTTGTTTCATCTCGGGGGCGTATTAGTCTTTCTTTGATTCTGTGAGGAGTGCACTATTTAGATAATACTTCGAAATGATAGAGGATGAAGCAGCTGGGATTGGGACCGTATCGATGACGAGAACGACGGAACGATGCCTTCGATTGGTGGAATATTGGCTTCGTTTTGTTGGCGCTCATAGCTTGTGATGCTCTTGGAGATGTAGTTCTTTTTAATTTGGTGCCTACAGTATGCGTGTTAGGAGAGTAAAAGAGGTTCGGGGTCATAATAACGCCTTAACGATTACGGATATTGAGGGTGTCGTTTCAGAACCTGATCGGTATTGAAAAATTGCGGTATTGAAGTATATGCTGAAATCTTGCCATTGAATGAACTTAGGGTGTAATTGGTTTGGACGGATGGTTTACGGTCACAACTATGCGATTTCGTTATTAAGGGTGAAGTGACTACTTCTCTATGATTGGTTGGAAGTGTATGTTAGTGCGTGCTAATTTAAGTAGTCACCTAAGACCTAGTAAAATACTCAACTACTATTTTTTGTAACTCTTTTTAAATAGAGTATTAATTCTAGTTAGATGAGTTGCTATTTACTTTCTTAAACTATAAGGTTGTATTGTTAGTAGGGGTGCCCCAAAGCCCGCGTAGTTGAAAACCGAGTACTCTCTAACTAAGACCTACATGGGTTTAGATCCGCCCGCCCGCGTGAGCTGCGTCTCCACATGGCATTGCCAGCGAGGCTGCACATGCATGCGTCCCAGCCGTTCTATAGCAGGAATAGATCTCCTGCATGCAGCTGCATGGTTTTTTGAGGGGTGGCGAAGCAGAATGCTTATTGACATCATGGGTGGTGACATTGTTGGGTTGAGAAATCAAGCCAGTTGAAGAGGCTGGGAGAGATGATTTGTAGTCTACAAAATATCACTGCTGCAATTGCAATCGTAAGAATGGTAGCGATAACCGTCGTGTCAGATGTCATGCGCTGCGGCAGCTACGCACACGCACACGCACACGCACACGCAGGATTGGTCGGACTAGGGCAGACCCACTCGTGGGTTTTGATGGACCACTTAGCTTTGGTGTATCTTGCTACGCTACAGGAGCTACTACGCAGACTCAATGGCGCTTTCCGAGGTCACACCGTCGGGTTGTTGCGATCAGCGACCCGAAGAAGGCTGAATTCAAAGTAGCGGTGATATGAACTATGAGCTTTGCCAGAGAAGCGTTGGAGTGAAAGGCGCATGCGAGATAGCCTTGTTGTTTTTTCATGTATGATGCTTAGTCACAGTCGTTTGCCAGTCCATGAAGGTTATGAGAGTGTGATGGAAATTCTATTGTGCCGCGGAAGGGCAATATGAAATATAACTTTTTTTATTACTCAGGTATCAATATCTAAGAGCGATGTTAGAGGTATAAATGAAATCATTTCCTCAGTTTCCTCAAATCTCAACGCTGGGCAGACATTGTGGAGTTGTAAACCTGTCACGTGCAGTGTAACTGTGTAGATGTGGTCTCACGTGACGGCATAGGATGTAGTGGTCTTCAACTAGCATGTCTCCAATTCGAATGTCTAGAGCCTGAGTATATATTTTCCCTAATTTTAACTTTCATCTGCCTGTTCCTTAAGTTATACCAAAGCTTCCGAAAATAGAAACGGTGTACATAAGAAAAGACTTCTACCCACCCGATGCAGAAACGTTCGGCAACTTCTCGACTGTAGAGAGATTTTAGACCAAAACGAGAAAGACATCGACCACAAAATTAGCGCTGTGAGTTTACAAGAAGTCAGATTTCGAAGACCATAGAACCAGCACTGTGGGTAGTCTTGACAGAGCAAGTATGTCATTTGGGTTGGAGCTGCAGTGCCGATACACGAAGAATGTGCGTCGTACTATAATAACGAAACAAGCGACCTAGGCCATATCGTCATTGTGAGCGTATCGGGTAGTCACTCGAGCCATATCATGGTTGTCCGAACAGCGGTGATCTTTGTTGCTCTATCTCATGTGGATTTGAACCACAGTGCACTACTACATGATACCCGCCATGTATCAACTTTGTAAAAAAGCGCATACAGCAAGCCCTGATTAGAGTTTCTCTCGCCGCCACAAATTATCTGTATTATTAGGCTTTAGATAAAGGAGGCAAATAAGACGAGACTAGAGAGCAGACACCTGGCTCCGCCGCACTAGCTCACTGACGGGCGGGATGACGTCTACGAAACCCATGGATGTTTAAGTAGTTCAAAAATTGGAACCCGGAAATCTTGCAAGTGTGATGAAATGAAAGCGGGAGTGGAGTGGTTCGGTAGGGCACGTGGAGAGATGAGCGGAGTCCAGGATGTGTGACAAGGTCTGCGATGACATGGCGTAAGAAGGGTTCACTCTGGAGTTTCGGGACGCATGCACAATTGTGTGCACAGTGCTTGTCCCCGCATGCGGTAGATATTACCGTGGTGTAAGAGCAGGAGCATTCTGTATGCTCGTGTTTATGTTGATCTTCGTGTTCGTAAGGATCATGATTGGCATCGAAGACTCGGTCGGTGACGGCAGTGGCTTGAGCCCTACTAAGCGAATGGGGACCGCTAGCGGCTGATCAACAGAGGTTTGCCTCTTGATCTGCAGTGCTAACACACGGCAAGCCGTCTAGCTTGCATTCATTCTTTCCTCCCTTTTGTGCAGCGCTGATGGATGGTGTTGAGTATAGAAAATAAAGAGGTGGTTTTGGCAGGGTGCAAGGATAGCCCAGACGCCACAGGCATGCAGCCAGTAAAAAGCAAATTGTACCTGGGAGCCCCACCATGGGGCTGAAACGGACAGAGGATGCAGCTCGATAGGGGAAGCGATTACGTGGACAAGTTCTCGATTTGGAGACGACTCCACCCGGGGATAGGCGAGCTGTGGGTTAGATACTGAACCTGTCGATGCACATACGAGCTGCACAGTGCAATGTCGGCTATGACCGTCGGCGTAGCTTTCTTGAAAAAAATATTCTTTGACTCGTCCCTTGCCACTAGAGCCAAAGAGCAGGACTATGAATAGAGCAATGCCAGAGTATGGCCGCTGCTAGATTACTTTGCACCGAGGTTTCACCCGGCAAGACTATGGCGTGGGGCGACTCTTTGGAACGGTGTGTACAAGTGACGCCGTAATATCACGGCAATGACACCCGATCGCACGTATCACAGCTGCATGGCCCGTGGAGCATAGCGTACGCTGGTCTGGAGGGAGGCGTCCATGTACCGGCTGTAGTGACATTGTTGAGGCCTATCGATACGCAGCGTTCGCCCAAACTCGTTGGCCAGAATGGATCCACGCCAGGGATAGCCGATCTTCGGGCCTGCCGTCTTGTCTGGCACAACCCAGGGGTCGAACAACCAACTCTATTGCACAACGTACAACAGTCAGCTCGCGATGAAGCAACGGCCTCGAGGTTTGCCCAATGTCGCCCATGAAACCGACGGATAACGGGATATTGTGCGACCAGCAGAGGCCATAGGCCTATTTCGTGATTCGTTGTGGCGAGTGCTAGCGGGGTTTCATATCCCGGTTTGTGGCTTTCCCGCTAGACCATCCCTGCATGCCTGGTGTCAGTCTAACGCCTCGACTCCAACAGAAGAGTTGCTCCTTGCTATTTCTAACTTTCTTTACTCGCTCTTTTCTTTCCCCCTCGCCGCTGTCGTTGTACTCTGAAAGGCTTTTTCACTCGTTCACCTGTTTCTTTTTTCCTTTTCTTCTTTACCGTACGCAGAGATTGACAGCAGGCCTTCGTCGAATTGCTGTCCCTACCTCATCTCTCCACTATATCGATCGCTCCACAAATTCGCCTAGTCAAAGGTGCTTGACGCACATACTTGACAATCCAGGCGTCTCTGGGTACATCCCCGTACCTTCCAATTACGCGGCCCGCATTCATATTCACGGCTTGCCCGCATTTTGCCGGCAAACGGACTTGCTCCAACTAACCCCCACCGAGTCTCCTCTATGACAAGTAAGCGATCTTCAAGGTCTTTCCGACTCTCCAGTCAAGGCTTTCAGCCCATAAACAACGCCGCCATGGACAACCACGCAACAAACATACCTCTCGAGACTGTCATCAGTCACACGCCTTCGCACTCGCCTTCTAATGCCCACAATGAAAAGGCTGAGAGGCCACACATGTTCACCCGCGGGCGCAGAAAGTTGGCCGCCATAGATGAGAGGACAGGCGCGCCCATCCCTCCTCGCGACCAGGAAGAAAAGACTGCTCTCAATCGCATGGGCAGGCTCTACACCAAGATCTTGAACTGGAGTATTGTCACGCGCTACATGGTCTATGTCGCACCGGTTGCGCTCCTATTGGCCATTCCTATTATTCTTTCGCAAACCGGTACCATCACAGGTTCGATTAGCGGCACAAACCAGAAGAAGTTCTGGATCTGGATTGAGATTATCTGGCTGAGTTTCTGGATCATGAAGATTGTCGCCCACTTCATTCCTAATCTTTTTGAGTTTTTGGTTGGAGTTGTCAGTCCTGGTGTCAAGAAGTACGTCAAGCTGCTGAGAGCAGTGGAAAAATCTTTGTCGTTTGTTCTGTGGATGGTCGTCAACCAAGCTACGTTCCCTGCTGTAAGTGTCTCGTCTTTATATCAGTACACCATGCCATGGCTAATTTCACATAGCTTGTTCGACCCATCCCTGGCAGAACTGGTGACAGGTATCCATCTTGGCTTGACCCCATGCAGTCGGTTCTGCTTGCGCTCCTTGTCTGCACCATCATCATCTTCGGCGAACGCGTCTTCATCCAACTCATCAGCATCAGCTACCACCGCAAGCAGTTTGATGATAAGATCAAGGAGTCAAAGCGCAACATCTACCTTCTTGGTGTACTCTACGATACTTCGCGAAGCTTGTTCCCCGCCTACTGCAACGAGTTTGCTGAGGAAGACTACATCATCCAGGACACAATCCTTGATCTCGGACTATTAAGCAAAAAGGGAACCTTCAAGCACGGTCGCTCGGGCAGCCGCACCCCTCTGCGTCTCATCCAGGAAGTTGGTCGAGATGCCGGCCGCATTGGTGATAAGATCACTTCAGTCTTCGGTACTATTGCCTCAGAGATCACTGGCAAGAAGGTATTCGATACCAACTCAGCCCACTCGATTGTCATTACCGCCCTCGAGAGGAACAAGAGTGCCGAGGCACTCGCCAAGCGTATCTGGATGTCTTTGGTTGTCGAGGGCAAGAACGAGCTTTACCTAGAGGACCTTATCGAAGTAATGGGACCTAATCGCCAGGACGAAGCAGAGGAATGTTTCGCTTCAATTGACCGCGACGGAAACGGCGACATTAGTTTGGAGGAGATGATCCTTACCGTGACTGACTTCGCCAGGCAGCGCAAGTCTATCAATTCCAGCATGCATGACGTTGACCAGGCAATCAACGCCCTGGATGGCCTTATCATGACCATTGCCCTAATCATCTGTCTCTTCGTCTTCATCGCCTTCCTTGCTCCAGGTTTCCGCACTACTCTAGCCACTTCGGCTACTGCTCTCCTCTCCCTGTCCTTCGTATTCGCTGCTACCGCCCAGGAAGTTCTTGGTTCCTGCATTTTCCTCTTTGTCAAGCACCCGTACGACATTGGCGATCGTGTTGATATCACTGCAACAGAGCTGACTGTCGAACACATTCAGCTGCTCTACACGGTCTTCAAGCGCGTTAGCAACGGCAAAACCGTCCAGATCCCCAACATCGTTCTTAACGGATTATGGGTGGAGAACATCACCCGAAGCAAGGCTATGCGAGAACAGGTCTCTGTCTTCTGCGATTTTGCCACATCCTTTGAGGATATCAACCTACTCAAGTTGGAAATGCTCAAATTCGTTCGGGAACCAGTTAACGCTCGCGAATTCCACCCTGATATCGATATCGAGGTTGTCAGCATTGCTGAAATGAACAAGTTGGAGCTTCTCGTCGAAATCAGACACAAGAGCAACTGGTCCAACGAATCGCTTCGTTCCGCTCGCCGGTCCAAGTTTATGTGCGCATTGGTCGTTGCTCTCCGCAAAGTTCCTATCAATGGCCCGGGTGGCGGAGATGCTACTCTCGGTTCTCAGGATAAACCCACTTGGTCTGTTGCAGTTCCTCCAGCTGAAGCTGTTGCTGCATACCAAAAGTACAAGGACAGCACTGACGCAAGCCGTATGCACCCTCTCAACCCACCCAAGGACGAGAATACTGGTGCGTCTACAGGAGTTGATTATCTTGGTGTTGGTGGTGAAACCCACGCCATTTCTGCACTCAACAACCGTAGGCCCGGCCACGACGCAGTCCGAGATGACACTTGGGAGGCGCGTGGCGACGATGCTAGCACTATCGGTCGCCCAAGCATGGACCAGAGGCCAGACCTTGACGAAGTCCGTGGTTTGCTGCGTAAGGTCAGCTCTGTTGGAAAACGCAAGGGTGGTGCAACCTTGTCTCCATACGGTTCACGCCTCTCGGTAGACAGTACTCGTCAGAATCCACCACCGCCTCTGCCACTCCAAGTAGTACCATCTACCAGCCAGAACTCATTCGCACCGCCGCCATCAGCTCTTTCAACACGGCCTACGCGTAGCACAGCGCCCGGTTCGCCGAGCTCAATCTCTACGGGTCAGGTAGAAGAGTTTTCGTATCAAACCATGGTGCCACCGCCTCGCTCACGGAGCCGACCGCGTGCACCGCAAGTAGAAGAGGACGAGGGCGAGAGGCAATGGGGCGCTGGATCTAATAACCCGTACAGAGGCCAAGGATCACCACAACAAGGGCCATCTAAGCGCGAGTAATGACACCAGATGAGATGCTTTGGTGGCGTTGTTCCCCCTTGTCCGGCAAAAGGAAAAACAAAATAAATATGTCCATGTAGGGACTATGGTGTGCGCATTTTCTGTTTCTTGTGTAATGTATAGAAAAATTGGGGGAGATGTATAGCATGGTGTCGGCGACTCGTCCATAGGACGCTGATCCCGCACTTTTTGGCGTTTTTTTTGTTCTTCTACATCTTACTCGCCACAATCCCCAATGCGATTTAGTGAATTAGAACTATTTACCATTTTGGTTGCTATTACAAGTGTTGTCTCGTATCACGAAACTGCTATTCTCTTCAAGATAGTATTCTGCCGTGTTTCTTTTCTCGAGTCCGAATACGAAGTTGTGTCACGTGCTCCATTACCATGTACAGAATCATAAGACGCCGTATTATCGAATAAAGGGGAACAAGGTCACAACTATCCTTGCCTCTTCCTTCCCTTCGCTTCCGCTTCCATGTTTATTTTTAGACGAGACAAAAACAACGACAATCACCCACCGGGAGAAAAGCGATTCCACCAATCTACTTCAGTATTTCATTTAAAAATTATACTACTTACAAAGTGTTATTTGCGCAATTAAGGACCATGGTGACGTATGAGTGCAAGAATGGAAAATTGATGTAGAGTGACAATCGTAAACCGAAAAAAATTTCTATTCTATAGGTTTTTGAAACATGGAAAGATAGAGAATGGGCTGGAATGGAAAAGAAAGGAGCGGACTGAAGCCGCAAGACCGTATGCTTGAAATCGTTAAGCCGCCTTTTGCGATTATGCGGCCGGCCGTTTTACACACCTAGGGCCCGCCACTTGCTTTTGAGATAGAGAGAGACAGAGAGAGAGAGAGAGAGGGAAGGAAAGAGAAATAGACAGAGAAATCCAAAACCAGCTCGCTAAACAATGCAAGACAAAAATCGACATGACTGACAGGAAGACGAAAAAAAAACACCGTATAACGTATGCAAAATGTGAATCGACCGTAAAACCCATACATCACTCAACACACAACTCTACTCACCGCAAGCGGCTTCCCCGTCACACCCACCCTATTCCCCAACTCCAAATACATATCCCACAGAAACTTCTCGTCGATCCCCAACTTCCCCTGCACCTGTACCTCTTGCACGCCCGCCGCCACATCCCTCGGCAGTCCCATTTTCAAATCCACATACTGCGGAATCGCCACCAGCAACTCCCTAAAAAACGCCTTGTGCACAAAAGGCGTCTCCTTACTTCCCCACTCCGTAAACTCGCAGCGCGACCACTCGTAGTAGCGGGGATGCAGCGTCGGCACCACACGCAAGAACTGGAGTGAGGGAAAGGAAGAGAAGAAAGAAGACCAGTCGACGTAGCGGTTCATGCGGATGGCGTCTTTGAGCTGCAGTTCGATTTGGAGGCGTTTGATGCGAGAGAGGTCCCAACCCGGGGGTGTGTCGAAGGATGTGAGGGGCAGTTTGTCGAGGGAGATTGCGAAGACGTTTTTCGAGTACATGCAGTCTGTGGCTTCATCCGCCAACTTTTGCGAGGTCCGGAGGAGGTCGACATGTAAGATGGGATCCGGATGATTTGTTGATGTTGTTGTTGTTGAGTGTGGACATGATGGGCGTTTTCCTTCTAAGAGGCGTTGCTGGTTGAGGCGTTCCCTGGTTTTGCGTGCTTGGAGGCGTTTCTTGCGGTTTTTGAGAATGGTGGTTGCGTCGAGAATGGGGGGTGAGTGGGGGGTTTGGCGAACGACTAGGTATGAGTAGACTTCGTCTCTGATTTCTTGAGGGAGCTCCAGGAAGCGGAACGGTCCGGTGTGGTTTCTGCGAGGGCACCCATGTGGGTTTGTCGGAGGAGGCTGCTGTCTGTGGGATGGTGTAGTAAACTTTGGTCGTGGAGCGCATAATGTTTTCTCGGTCGATTCTGGTTTGACGGCGGTCTTGCCGCTAGCAGTAACGAGTTTGAACTCGTGGTGGCCCTTGACTGTCACGAGAGTTGGTAGCAGCTCCTCGAGCTTGGAGCTCCCTCGTTGACGTCTTCGTAATGCCATAATGATTACAACCCAGTTGCATGAACAATCAGTCTGCATCAGCCGCATAGTTGGCGAGAATATTTCTTTAAGAGAATCTCCGGAGAGGGAAATTGCCTTCATCTTACATCTTCTCAATTCGGCGAGCGCGTGGGACCCTGGCTCCAGCGCTGAAGGATCGGAAGTTCCAGGCTGATGTAATGTCTGGAGGTGTTCGCACCATGTTCAGTAGGGCCTTTGTCCCGAGTTATGGGGTCAATCACGCAAGTGGGGAGGGATCCATTTGCGGAAATTGAGCTTAAGGCCACTGAGTCGCGGCATGAGATGCAACACCGATGGAGCATCTCGGCGTCTCTTTTTGATTACGATCGATCATCTACTAAACCCCCTCTGACTGACACGCGGGGGACCTTGGAAGCTTGTCCACATTTGGGTAAGCAACAAAAAGAAAGAGATGGAGATGGACAGAGCACGAGGACAAAACAAACTCTGTTGGCCTTGTCGGTGTGTAGCAAGCCAAGGACAGGCCCAGGTAACGCATGTGTGTGAGGTGTGGCTTAATAGCCGTGGTATAGGTTAGTGTTTCAGCCCCAAGAACATATTTAGGCATGCAGCAGAACGGTTAAGCGAAAAGCCTATAATGGAGATGGTCAATCCCAGCGGCCTGGTTGCGTTCATGCAATGTTTAGATGATAGAAATTGTTGTTTGCGCGCCCTGCTTGGCTGGCTAACCGTCTACGCCGACTTTGGCGTGGCGGAAATACTTCATGCCCACCCAGGCGACGACGACCCACACCCAGCTGGTAACAGCCGTACACACAATCAAAGCGGGATAGTAGCCAGTAATGGGCAGGGTTGCGTCGTCTTCCAGATCGGGTGGTGCATACGGTGTCTCGCCCACGTCCCACGCCCAGCTCCAGACGCCGAGGCAGGAGCCCATTCCTACAACAAAGACTATCCACGTCGCTATCAGCACGACCCAGCCCCACCATTCGGTCTCACTGTAATCCCATTCGTCGTCCGAGTCAATCTCGGCAGGTGTCACGAGCGCAGTAATCGACGTGCGCCGGTTGCTGCGAGTCGAGCGACGGTGTGCAAGAGAGGCGACAGGGCCTTGGCTCGGCACTGCAAAGGAGGAGTAGTCGCTACTCGCGGCCAGAGGACGGTAAAAGGACATGACGTCGTCGTCGTCGGTGGTCGAGGCGTAGGGCGCCGCAGGGCTCGCCATGGGCGAGATTGGCGATGCGAGTAATGGCGGAGAGGGAGGAGGCTCTGGAACGTCACGTGACGCACACGTGGGTTCGGTCGGGGAAGAGGGTAGTTGGATGGCGGGCACCCAAGCGGTGGTGTCGGCGGGCGACGAGTTGAGCGGCGGCTTGTCGAAACTGGTGATAATGGAGGGTTTGGCAGCTTTGCGCAGGGAGCTGCTTCGCTCGCGCATCCGGGCCATGGCCGCCTTTCGCAGCGAGCCCTTTCTCTGGCGGCCGCCCTGGGTCTGGCGCAGTGCCTTTGCCATGGATGACCCCTTTACGGCGCCTTGGTCGTCGTGCCCATGTGTCCCCTCGCTGCCCTTCGGCACTGAGGGCGACGATCCTGTAAGACCCTTTGACGACGACGACGAAGATGACCTCAGAAACCCGCTCAGAATGCCCCCGGATTTGGTACGTTTATGGCCAGACGCGCTGTCCTGGCCATGCTTTACGTTGTGCGCATCCGCACCGTCTTCCATTTGTTTTGCTCGTTTCCGCAAGTGTTTGTTTGCTTGACTGTCTGTTTGTTTGCCGGCTGCTTCCTCCTTTTGTTCTTTTTTGCTTCCGTTCTGTGCGAGCGTTGACGGGCACGGCACCGTGCTGGCTCTGTCAGAGTGTCATGTCTAGGTCTGGGCTGTCAGCAGCGCTCAACGGCAGCGCGTCATACACTGTACCTGGCGTAGCGCCTCCCTGCATGCCATGCGGCCGTGAGTGGGCACGGATAGGCTGCAGGGGTACACTGACCATGAACCCCATGCGGCGCTGCATGTAGAAGCCCTCCCTCAATTTCCCCTCCACCTCCCATCTGGGGTCTGACTGCGCTTCTTATCTTATTTTTCCGTGCCATGCGCACTCGCTAGCAGAGTCACTCATTACCGCAATCCGATTTTTCCGTAGTCATGGCTTCGAAACTGCCTCTACCAGCTCCACCGCGTACCCCAACGCCGCCTCCTGATGAGGACGCGCCTCAGCCTGTGGGTCTAGGATTCGAGGGTGATCTGTCTTCCAGGACGCTGGCCTCGAGCGCAAACGGGCTGCTGTCGCCCATGTCAGCGACGTTTCCCTCGAAGCAGTATGCCACACTTGCGCCCGGCGACTCCATTTCGCAGAGGGCATCCCCCGCCGTGCTATACACACCAGCAAGCGCAACCTTTCCTTACACACCAGCGAGCGCTGCCAGCGGGGCCATGGACACGGATGGGCCCTCGTTGAGCGGATCGGAGAACCCCAATCCATTCAACTTCCAGTCTGTCACGTACCAACCAGGGCAGCCACAGGCCAAAAGCAATGTGCAGCTCCCACTCCTGCCCGCAAAGCTTATACTAACATTCACAGGATGTTGGACGAAGACGAGGACACAAGTATAAGCACAGCAGTGTATCACACCAGATATTTCTAGAACCCGCCCCGCGCGCGCCGCTCCAGCTCCCCGCCTCGCTGCCCATTCCGACGTTTAAAGAGTACCGGTCGTCCATGTCCAAGGACCAGAAGCTGCGACTGGCATGGTGCTTTTGTCACTTGGTCGTAGCTGGGCTGGTTCAATGGGGCGCACACGAGTCCCTGGCCCTGACGGTTCTGTCCCGCCTGATATTCTACGATGCATTAGGCGCATTTTTGTGCGTGGCTGTAGATGTCGGAGCAAACTTTGAAGTGTGGAAGCGCTCGAGCATCCGTCACCCATTTGGCTTTGAGAGGCTGGAAGTCATCGCCGGGCTGGGCATGTCGGTTGGCCTACTGTTCATGGGACTCGACCTGATCTCTCACGGGCTAACGCATGCACTCGAGGACGCTGGCGGACACCACGCGCATCACGCGGACGGCCATGAACGTGTTTCACCAGGCAGCATTGATCTTGCTGCGCTGAGCGGAATTGTGTCGACACTCGTGTCGGCTATTGTGCTCAAGAACCATGCCCGAATTGGGAAGGTGATGAGGCTGGGTGCAATTGCTAATCTCCCCTCAGTACTCAGCAACCCGTCGCACTTTTTGACGCTGTCGTGCTCGTCACTGCTACTTATCCTGCCCCTGTTGAGCATACAAATGTATGTGTGGTTGGACCGGACACTTTCCTTTTCGGTTGCGTTTTCCATGGTAGCGCTAGGGTGGATCCAGGGATGGACGCTGGGCAAGATGCTGCTCATGTCCTACTCGGGACCGGGGGTGTCGGAAGTGGTGCACGAGCTCGAGGCGGATCCTGCAATCCGGACGGTGGAGGAGGCAAAATTTTGGCAGGTGCATTACGGGTTGTGCCAGGCCAACCTGAAAGTGCGCGTCAGGAATATGGACGAGATTGGGCGTCTTCGGGACCGTGTGGGCAGCCTGGTGCGGAACCGGTTGGGCGGCGGGTACGGGAGCGGCGGGCAGAAATGGGAGGTGTCGACCCAAATTACTCTGGAAAAGGATTGAGTGCGCTGGGCGGCATTGCATCACGCCTAGGATGCGCAATACAATTTCTTGGGCGCCCCTGTGGCGAGTCACATGTGTGCCCGCCTGCAGTGTGTTGTAGTAGCTGGGAGCAGTAGTCCGCAGCCGGCAGCCCGTAGTCGTCCGCCGCCCCGCCATTTCGGTGATGCACAGTGTAGTTGGTGTAAGTACACATACTCTAGACAAGACTACGTAGTTTTGCAGCGTCCATCTCACAGCCCCGAAAAAAAAACTGCCCTCGGCGCGGCAGGCGAGGGCATCATTGTACATACGGGGCTGCACCGCCTTTGTTTCTGCCGGCCATGTCCTTGGGATGCGCCCGTTGCAAGAGGGCCCGAGGCGGTTGTGTGCCCGCCGCTCGGGCATACTAAGGCGGTGCTAGGGGCGTAGGTACATAGATACGCGGTAGGTAGACAGGCATACCGCATACACATACACAGGGCGGCGCACCGTAGGCTACCTCGTCTGCAGCGCTGCACATCTGCATCCACTGCCCGCCAGCTGGCAACCCATCTGCATCCCGTCGCCGCCTGACGCTGACGCCACCCCCTGCAACCGGTAGAGGGTTAGCGAGGAAAAAGCCCTGTGGGCGCTTGAGATCAACCGGCACCCTGTGCGCGCTCACCGCCGACGGCCTGCCCCGTGCGACTGGCCACTTTCTCTGATCAGGGTTGGGCTGCCTGCAGGTGCTTGCTGTTCGCTCGTCACGCCCACCGCAACTCTCCACACACCCGCGCTGGCTTTTGTGCGCCGCCTAAACACCTGCAACAGAGCCTGCCAAAGCGTGCAAGAGCCTGTGACCTGCGAGGCTGGCAGTTGGCAAGTGGCATAGTTGCCTCCAGGTCCATGGGAATGGGAATGGCCAGGCTTCGCGATGAGCGAAGCACACGATACCGCGACGATGGCGAATATTTGGACGACCGAGACCGCAAGCATCGCCGCCGACAAAAAGACGCAAAACACGACGACGAGCCACCCATGTCTGCCCGCGACAGAGAGAGGAGAGAGCGCCGCCGCGCTGAAGAGGCCCGGAGGCAGGCAGACGTCGACATTGAGGAATTGAGAGCCCGGAGAGAGTCGTACTACACGCGCAACGAGACAGAGCGCCGCCGCGACCGGGAGCGAGAGCGGGATCGTGCCTCTCACGACAGCAGGAGAGAGCCTGTCAAAGACAAGTCGCGCAGCAGTAAAGAGGTCCGCCGGGACACGACGCGGCGGTCGTCGAAAAAGAGAAATGTTATCCCCGAGGACGAGGACTTTGTCTTTGGCCGCCCAAAGTCGATGGGCCACGTCGAGGAGGTCACGGTGCGACGCCCGTCTGTCCGCAAAAGAAGTGAAGAGGGAGGGTCTTCGAACAGAACAGCTTACACGCCCGTGTCCGGTTCTGGATCCGCGTCCGTCCGCAGGGCTGAGGTCCCAAATTTGTCCAGGTCAGGATCTGTCCCCACTTGTACACGTAGCTCCCACTAATGAGAAAGCAGGAGCGCCTCTGTTCGTGAACCAAAAGCACCTACTACACCAGCAAGGCCGTCTGTGCGACGCACAAGCACTGCAAAGTCGCCTGCTCCACCCACACCGCTTACCAGGACGCAGTCTGTCAAGGAGGCTGCCCGTCGCAGTACCGGGGGAATCCTGTCAAGCTTCTTCAAGCCCTCACTGTCGCGCAACACGTCCACATCGGCGCACAAAGAACACCGTGACCACCGCGAAGCCCGAGATGTCCAACGGTTAGTCGTCAATACCATTTAACGCGCTTCCAATGTACTAACTTGCCTCTCAGAGCCGACTGCTTGGTATGCATGAACGATGACATTCCTGTCCACAAGACTGTCAAGCTTGCTTGTGGGCACCGCATGTGCTATTCCTGCCTGAAGCGACAATTCACCCTCTCTGTCAAGGATCCCCAGCACATGCCGCCACGATGCTGCACATCAGAGCACATTCCCTTGAAGTACGCCGACCGACTATTTGACGACAAGTTCAAGGTACTGTGGAACAAAAAGTTCCAAGAGTACACCACCAGCAACCGCCTGTACTGCCCCACAAAGGGATGTGGCCAATGGATCAAGCCATCCAAGGTCAAGATGGATCCAACATACGGTCGCAAGTATGCACGATGCAGTTCATGCAACACCAAGGTCTGCATACTATGCAACAGCAAATTCCACACCAAGCGCGAATGCCCCAAGGACGAAGAGACTAATCGTCTGGTTGAGATGGCCAAGGAGCAGGGCTGGCAACGATGCTACAGCTGCAAGGCTGTAGTAGAGCTCAAGGAAGGTTGCAATCACATGACCTGGTAAGTCCAAAGCATCCATCCCTCTTCACAACAACAAACATCTAACCATTCAACAGTCGCTGCACTGCTCAATTCTGCATGGTCTGTGCTGCTCCATGGAAGACCTGCAACTGCCCTTGGTTCAACTACCAACACATCCCGGACGACGATCGCCTGAATGATATGCGCGTGCCATACGCAAACCCCCGTTACCCTGACGTTGAGGTTATTGAAATCGCCGAAGCCACCCCACCACTAGCACGCCGCCCAAGCATCCGTCCCCGTGAGCGCCCCGAACGAGAACGCGACTACGACCGTGCAGAACGAGTTCTATCCGGACAGCTTCGCAACTCGCTTCATCTCCCTACCCCGACCGTATCATCGGCACGACGCACGGAACCCGAGGTTCAGGTTTATGGTGTTGGTAACGCTGGCGGCCACCACATGAACGATTCCTACGCCATTCGCTCCGTGCCCAACTCTGCTGTCCGCACCGCTGCTCGCCTATCTACTCCCCGCCAATCGACCCCTAGAAGTTCGATTTTCTCTAGCACCCGCCGCGTCTCGGCACCTACCCCCTCACGCTCTGCTCCCCCCGCCGTTGTCACTTCTTCAGTAATGGCTGGACTCTCAAAAGATGGAAAGAAAGTCGGTGCAAACCGCGTAGGAACATGGCTCAGCCATGTCCAGATCGACCCCGAGGCAACCGTCACCGCCGCGGAAAATGTCGAGGTCGATGACTGGAGGTGCGATGGCACCATGATTGGTATTGATTAAAAGGAAAAATGGTTGTACACTTACGGCGTTTGGATTTATGATTTCTGGTTTGTCATCGGTTTTTATTTTCGCACGGGTGGGATTTTGCATGTACAATTATTGTTGTAGAGGTTTTGGATCGCATTTAGCCGGCAAGATACCCACTTATGTCTTCGTTAATAATGCATATTAGCTACGTACTTTTATTGGAACTTTTAGAGATTGCTCCAAAAGAATATTCAATTTTATCTTTTCTAACTACTTGCTCGGAATTTATAACCATACTCGGCGTATTAAGACGTGATCTGGCTAGCATATGAGCGAATAAAAAATGAACCAGACATTGCTGCCCAACAACCGATAAGCACCGACGATAAGCAAAAAGATAACGTCTTGGCTGTCAGCCCTATATGATTGCTAGGATGACAAAAAGAATAGTTCGAAGAATCTTGAGCAAGCTCAAGCACGTTGTCCCCTTCGTGGATCGAACACGATACCTCCAGATTTAATGACCGAAGACTTCAGTCTGGCGCTCTCCCAATTGAGCTAAGGAGACGGCTTTTTATTGGTTGGTTGTCAAATTTATACATATATGTATCACATATAGCACACTGTCTCCCGTCAGCTGCGAGATCGTGCGAGATCTCTTACATCTTCTAAACATCTCGATGCATCGTTCCATCATACGAGGTTGTGTGGGGTGAACCACGTCGACTAGATAGGATGAAGCCTAGCGCATCGAGGCTCACTCACCGGAGGTCCGATAGCTCAATAGCTCCACACCCAATACCTCTAACTGCAACAGCTTACCACGAGGGAAACAAGCTTACGCCAACTCCTACATAATGCAACCCTCGCCTCTTGCGAACCCATTGGCTACTGTAACCCAGCTCGAGACCTCCGGCTCACAACTCGATGGCATCCCACCCGATCTCGAAGACTCGATACGCTTCGCCGGCGCAAGGCTTACACAAGCCGCGGGAATACTGTTGAGACTACCGCAAGAAGTCATTGCGCAAGCGATTGTGGTGTTTATGCGATTCTGGCTCGGGCCAGAAGGTGGAAGTCTTGCGGAGTTTGGCTCAGAGCAAGTCTCAGCAGCTTCTCTTTACCTGACTACCAAGCTGTCTGCATACCCCAAATCAGCACGGAGTCTGGTGAATGTATACGCATACCTCGACTCGCTTCCCACGACTTTCTTCGACTTAGAGCAACTCCACCAGAAACAAGATCCGCTGGAGTATTTTGTCACAGAAGGCACGTACGAGCGCCGTCGCACATCCCTCTTCTCCATCGAACAACGCATCCTGCGCACCCTTGGCTTCAATGTGCAGGTCCAGCTCCCCTACACACTCTGCATAACATACCTACAAGCCCTCGACACCTTTGCGCATCCTCGCGCGTCAGAGCTCGCCAAACGCGCAATCGCACACCTCAATACTGCTCTGCTGAGCCCACAATGCCTGTATTTGACGCACCAGCCGCCAGCGCTGGCTACGGCAGCGATTTATCTGGCTGCAAGAGAGACAGGAATCAAGATGCCAGAGTGTGAGTGGTGGGAAGTGTTCGATACAGACAGAGAGGTGCTCGGGTTTTTATGTGTGGGTATGCTGAGTTTGGAGGGCTTTGCACAGGAAGAAAAGAAGAAGTGGGATGGAAGTAAGGTTCCTATGAATGTGGAGGGCTTAAAGAGAGAGATGGAGAGGAGACAAGAGGTAGAGAGTTAAGGTGAGCGCTCTAAAGACGATAGAAGAGTCGGAAATCTCACTGGTTGGATCTGGGCAGTCGCACAGCAACAATCGCAATCTTTCCCCCGACCTTCGAAATACATGGCACCTGACAGGATTTTCACACGGATAGTAGTGTTACCGCACAGTTCCCTGGAGCTCTACGGTCTCATAATGTCTTGCTTGCACAAACAGTGTATAGGGTTCAATGACATTTGTCGCACAATACATGTTGTTACGTCTTGGATATTTGCTATTAAAGGAAATCTCCTTTGAATCGAAATGAAGACCACAACAAAGCAAACACAAAGAACAGAAGCACTGTGAACATTTCAAAAAACCGAACAGAGAATACAACATGGATACCCAAAGCAGCCAGCTTGCGCAGGATCAGTGCGGACGCCCCGTGACTCATACGTCGGAATTTCTGGTGCATTCAGACACATACCCGGAGGACACACAAATTAAAGGCAATTTGGCCAAGCCACAATTTCCCTCCATTGAAAGCGTGCTCCAAGAAGGCAACCCAGGTGGTTTAGTCCGCCGCGGTGCTATCAAAAGGCCTAGCATGAGGAAGAGACACGATAGCCATGCTTCTAAAACGTCTTTTTCCACTTTGAACTCAGATGATGCTTCGGTAGACGGTCAGGATGAAGATATACCTTCTGCACGCCGCCTTAGCTTTGGACAGATTTCTGATCAGCCGTCCTCTGACTTTACTGGCCTAGCAACTACGGGAGACTATACACGTAGCCAGGTTCCGGAAGGTGCCCGCTCATCGGTTCTTCGTAGGGTGGAGCTCTTCGAGACTTATACGGTAGTTCTGAGGACGCCTCGTAGTATGCTGGTGACTGTTGGTCGCTCTTCACGGTTTGTAGAGCACCTGAATGAGTCATCTGACGAGGTTTACGAGTAGAAAAGTAAGGAATAGAGTAGTCCTTAGGAGAAGACGAGAGGGTTGAGATGTCGATCAAGGTGAACTGATGATTGGGATGCAGTTATGATTGTATGAGCGTCTGTCTTACCTTGATTTCAACTCCATTCTTCTTAGACCTATTTCTAGCTTACGACCTCCCATCCATAGCATAGTGTTTGCTTTCCACATTCTTCCCTCATCTCATAGTCACTGTATAGAAAAATCATACCATTGTTCACTACACTATCTCTTCTCACTGCATCTTTACAACACACGTGCAACCATCCCTAATCATCCCTTAAACCCCACCCTCACTTTCTCCTTTCTATTCCACAGAAGAAGAAAAACCCACCAAATCAATCTCAAGCAACATCCCCCAAAAATGCCACGAGACCTAATTGCCGATAGAGCAATGTACCACCGAATCCAAACCCTCTTCCACAACCTCCTTACCATAAAATCCTCCCTAAACGCCCGCCTCCACCTGCAAAACCTCATCCAAAACAATAGTTACTATTGCCTATCCTGCTCCCACCCCCCCTCCTCTTCCTCTTCCTCCTCCTCCTCCTCCACCACCACCGCCCCCGGGTCCTGCGGTCCCACCTGCCCCCTCCTCCGCTCCCCTTCCTCTACCGGTTTCAGCGCCTCCGACCTCCCCGCTTCCAACTTAGACGCCATACAAGCCGACTTCGAAACCTACTGCGATATCCTAAAGCAGATCTATCGCAGGGGGAGGGATGTGACGGATGCAGAAGCGGAGGTTTGGGAGCGTCAGGCGGAGGAGATGAGGAAGTGGTCCGAGACGCCGACGGAGCGGTGGGAGAGGGAGGGGTGGGAGATTTGGAAACGGAGGGAGAGGTGGGTTAGGGGGGTTTTTGGGAGGGAGTGGGAGAGGTGCGGGGGGTGGGAGGTGGGGGGTTAAGAAGAGGACGGATTAGTAGGAGGCGGGGGAATGGTGGAGATATGGTGGCGTGTGTATGTTAAAAAGGGAGTTTTATGGTTTTTATGGGGTTTTATGATTCTTGTATAAGATTTTGATTTGTAGGATAGAGGTGGTTGGGTGGTGCAGAGGTACTTGGTTTTAGATTAATACGTTTGGGTGTTGCATGGACGGGGTTTAGACTCAATGGCATGACATAGGATTGGTAACTTCATTTTTAGATAACATGATTTTAGTAAAGGATGTTCGAATATGAAACTATTCTTCTTCCTGAGACTTGATTTCTGCCATTGTCTAGATTTTGGTGATGTGGTCTTTGGCAGGGAATATATGGAGGAGTGCATAACAGAATAATGTAAGCGCATGACAGCAGTGCATCCACCAATTGTGTTTAGCCGAATCCTTCAGACCAAAAGCAATTGCCAATGCAGCTTTGCGAGCGTGCATTGGTGTGACGTGCTGCATGTAGGCAAGAATGCGGATCTTAGACAACCATGACGTCAAAAGGAGAGCTAGGACGACTATCATTCCAGACCTACCAACCTCACAGTCACCTTTCCTACCATATACACGCAAATTCATTGTTAATTGCAGTTTCACAAACACCACAATCATGAGTTACTTCCGCCCCATGTCAATGCTGCGTTCGGCAGCACTGCGTCCTGCAGCGCTCTCCGCAGCTCCTCGAGCTCGCGTACAGGTCCGCTTTGCAACTCAAGACTACGGCTCTGGTCAGGGAAACCCAGTTGGAGAAGCACCTCAGAAGCAGGGCGAGAATCCCAGCGAGAACCTTGAGCACCCTGGCCCTGAGCCTCCAAGTGTTGCCAAAGGCAAGTCTTCGTCGTCGCCAAACAAGGACAGCAATGCGGGCCAAAACGACTCTCCCCAGCCTACCTCACAATCTCCAGCTCCATCGTCGAGCAATGGATCTTCAGGCCAGCGCAAGTTCTCGACATGGTCACGCAGGATGCAGGACAGCAAGGAGCCAGCCGTTAAGCAGGGTCAGCAAAACGAACCCGACGCCAGCGAAGTCAAAGGTGCGAAACCCAAGATACTAAACGAAAATCCTCCTGCGGCTGGAAATGAGAGCGAGGAGGTCAGGAAGCACAACGAGGACATGAGTAACCGGGCGGAGCAGGCGCATGAGCGGGTCAGCAACGAGGAGGCCAAAAAGGACAAGGTGCCTGTTAGCTTCTGGAAAGGCACGTCTCTTATCTCTCCTTGTATCGAATGCATTGCTAACAACTATACAGGTGAAGGTGGACGCGGCGATTCGGAAGGCGTCCGGGGGTAAAGACAAGCTGAGTGATGGGAGAGATGTATGATTAGCTACGACTCGAATGGTCAAGAATGTTGCGTAATACGCAATTAAAAAAAATGGTACAATTGCGCATTTGTTTAAGCATGCATGGGCGACCTTTGTCTTTGAGGCTTGCCAGCATCATTGTGCTTCATAAGTTTTGTGCATGTTTGGGTGATGACGTCAAGGGCTGAACGCGCTCACGACATGAGCCCCGCAACCATCGATGGGAAATTTCCAAATGCCATGGCGACCCACCGCGTCCGTTCCAGCCCCAGGCCAGGGTAAGAGACGTCAGAATTGCAGCCCTGAGAAGTAAGAAGCGCAAGGATGAGCAAAACACGCGGGATGCCTCGGAGGCGTGTGGATGGCAGCTTGCACATGTTCACAGGGCCCAGACGGCGTCACAATTGCGCTCTCACAATTGCGTACACATACCAGGCGGCTGCTGGTCGCGGCTTCCCATTGGCCACACATGCAACAGAGCGGAGGCAGGCGCGCTGGAGATCTTGTTTGCCCGAGCTCCCAACGTGAAGTCCTACGTCACTCGCACGCACGCCTTGTGGCCGCCCATTGTCTGTGCCTCCCCTCATAAACAGCCCTCTCACCATCCCCTCTTACACTATTTACTTGCCCTTTGCTTGATATCCGACCTCCCTCATCTCTTCTCCATCACCCGAGACTAGCATAATCATCACATCACCCTCCCGACAAGATGAGGTTCTCTTTTGCATCCACTCTCGTCGTGACGCTTGCTGCTTCGGCATCAGCCAACAGCTGGTTTGGAAGTGCTGGTGCGTACAGTACAGAGCCCATTCGCTTTTCTCTTTTCGACAAACACCTTCTCTAGCAGTACACTGACGTGAATGAGCAGTCTACGACAAATGGCACGAGACTGAGCTTGAGCGCTGGCTCAGTGATCACGGCATTCCCCACCCCAGCCCTTCAGACCGCAAGAGCCTCCAATCGACCGTCAAGGCCAACTGGAACGACAAGACTGTTTCTCCCTACACTAGCTGGGACGCACCTACTCTCCAGAAGTACCTGGGCCTCAAGGGCCAGCAGGCCAAGAAGGGCACCGAGAAGGACGCAAAGAGCCTTGTTGAGCAGGTCAAGCTATACTGGACTGAGACTGAGGACTCTGCAAACCAGGCTTACGGCAATGTTAAGGACTGGATCTTTGACACGTATGTAATCTGTACTGCTCACTCGTTATCATTGCTAACACTTCACACAGCTGGTCTGATTCTCAGCTAAAGGCTTTTGCCGACAAGCATGGCATCCCCGTTCCTCAGCCTCGTCAGCGTGACTCTCTTCTCGCTGCTGTCCGTGAAAACTACCAGTCAGCCGCTGAGAAGGCCAAGGAGACTGCAAACTACCCCGGTGACTGGCTCTACGCTTCGTGGTCTGACTCCGATCTCAAGGCCTGGTTCGACGAGCGTGGCTACTCTGTTCCCCAGCCCAACACCCGCGACTCCATGATTGCTGCCCTCCGCCGTCAATCTCGCCTTGCCAGCCTCCAGTCCCAGGATGCATACGCCTCTGTCACTTCTGCCGCTGCCGCTGCTCAGCAGAGCCTCAGTGACGCGCTGCTCGACTCCTGGTCTGACAGCCAGATCAAGGAGTGGGCTGACAAGAACGGTATCAAGGTTCCCCAGGGCTCCAAGCGCAACGAGCTCCTTGCTCTCGCTCGCAAGCACCGTGCCCGCATCTACGGTGACAGTGCTTCCGCTACTGCTGAGTCTCTTTCTGCCTCTGGTGCTTCCGCTTACGGCGCTGCTACCTCCAAGGCCAACAACGAATACGCCTCTGCCACTGATGGCTTTGCTTACTACACCAACTTGGTTAAGCAGCAAATTGGTCTTGCCGGAGCTAGCGCTGCTTCTGCTACTGATGCCGCTGCTGCCAGTGCCGCTTCCGCTACCAACGCTGCTGGAGCCAGCGCCAGCTCCCTCAGCGGTGCTGCTGCTAAGGCCGCCTCTTCATCCTCTTCCTCGCTCTCCAAGTCTGCTGCTAGCGCTTCCTCTGCTGCGTCCAAGTCCACCAAGAGCGCATCTTACGAGGCCGCCGCCAGCGCTTCTTCTGCCAAGAACGAGTTGTAAGAAACTCGCTACTAGCAACCTAGCCGACAAGCAGCGTTCAGGTATATTATGACAACGATACGCCTGCCTTACGTACTATTTCACGACCTTACGATCTACGTACGGATGGAAGGAGAACGGAATGGAGTAGGCAACAAAGCCTTGTAACATTAGCATCATGACGATATTATCTCTTTGACCTCATGGCAGGCTATGGAGGGTCTATGGTTTTTGTGTTCCTTTAAGATTGGGAATGATGGCGTCTTAAGTAGCTTAGTATAGCTTGATAATGAAAAGGTTACAATTATAATTACAATTGGTAGTGACTCCATTACGTTCCCTTCATGATTACCGTATCCAGGAGAAGTAGATGTGTATGTTTCGACAGATGGGAAAATATGACCTGAGCCAATTTGGGTCCTTGTAGATTGAACTTATGGGTTGTTCTGCTCCAGACTATCTCGCCGCGGCTTGACTGCTTTTTTGGCATCCGCTCGAGACTGTTCTACGTCTTTTCTTAGCCGCATTTCGTCTACGGCTGAGCCATCATCGGTCGAAGAGGGTGGATCATTTGCAGGATGAAGTTCCTCGACTGAAGGAGTAGCAGCAGCAGCAGCAGCATTATCATCTTCTGCTACCATGACTTCCCCACGTCCACTCTGCAGCAAACCCCCCTCGCCATCAGAACCTCTACTACTCGCCTTCTCCATACGAAACAAGATATGATCCGCCGCCCGCAGCAACACTCTCCCATCCTCTGCATCCTTGCGCCACCTCTCACGCTTCTCTCGGGGAAACCTCTGATCCACACTGCCCTCCTGAAACCGCTGCACCTGCGCATCAATCTGGCGTGCCATTTTCTCGATTTCCAGGACGGAGAAGCTGGGTCTGTACGTGGCGTAGTCGATTAGATGCGATTCGGGGAGCCAGCTTTCAGCCTCTAGAGAAGAAGAAGAAGAAGAAGAAGAAGAAGAAGAAGAAGAAGAGGGGGAATTTTCCCACGCGGCTTTATGTTGGAGCGACATGCGCCAGTGTATGATTTTCATATCCAATGCATCCGCCGCGTTGCGCAGGCGGGTGTGAGCTACATCTACGAGATGAATTTCCTGGAGGCGTCGTAGGCGGTCGTCGGCATCTAGTGTGGCGTGCAAGTGACAGTATTCGTAGCGCTGGTGGGCATTTAAAGAGAGGAGGTAGTGAGCTTCTTCGAGGAGGATTTGGCGTTCTACTTGCATTTCTTGGATTCTTGAAAGCGTGGTTTCGACGTTGATTTGGGCGAGGTCGGCTGTGTAGTCGACGGGTTCGAGGTAGAAGGGGGGGTCTGGAGTCTGTTCTACAGGTTGTTGTTGTATTTCTACATTTGCGACTTGTTGTGTTGTTTGAACAGTTGCGGTAGTATCAACAGAGTCGAGATCGTCTTCTGTTTGTTCAAAGGCATTATCCGGCAAGAGCTGGGTATACCAGACGCCGTTGTGCCGCACGTACTGCTGCATTATAGGACTCAATTTAGCCATGAGCTCCTTGTCCCAGAAGATTGCCCAAAACTCGAGCGACCTGCGCTTCCGTCGTGCTTCAAGAAGTCTGTACGCCTTTTGTCGCTCACCCGTATACTGAAGGTAGGCATGGGATCCCACCACACCCGTACAGCCGCCGATATTCGCCATGCCCAGGCACCGCGTCCAGCGCGGTATAGCAGGGCGGCGCATCAGGAGCATAGGTATCGATGCCGATAGTCCGATAGCGGCACCGGCCAAAGCACCATCGTCGACCGTGTACCCCTTGGTCCGCTGATACAGTCTCCACCTGCTAGCCTCTTGCACCTTGTCGGCAACAACCACATTTGCAAAAGCCGAGTAGTAGTACCAGTTCACGGCCGCTCCAGCTAGTCCGACGCAGAGGCCCAGTCTGGCCGACGACCGTACAAACAGGGCGGGCCTAGATGTTTGTGCTGCTTGTTGAGGCGCTACTCCGACTACTCGCTGGTTGAATGTCGAGGCAAACGAAGTATACACTGCGGCCAGCAGCGTCGAAGAAACAAGACAAGTCTGGGGCGTTGCGTTTGCGCCAATGCCTTCTGGTCGTTTTGGAACAAGCCCGTGTTGGCCTTCCCCTGTGTGTGTACATGTTTCTCATCAGTGACAAAAGTTCCATGGTCATTCTCCACACTGTCTCTCTCTCTCTCTCGTTTGCTCTTGGCTTACCGGGCGGGATAAAAAGTCGCAGCACCATGCTTGACTAAGGAGAAGTAGTGGGGGTGTTAGAAAGCAGAATACGCTTTGACTACACCAACGGGCTACCAGTGATGGTAGTGGTGCATCGTGGGACTCATATGCCGCGATAGCAACAGGCCCTTTGATCAAAAGAAGGGTGTGCAGGGGCGGGGAGGCGCGCGTGAGGAACCCACGGGGCCCATTCAGTACGGGCGAGGGTGCGTGGGCTTTGCCGATGAGTGGGCGAGGCGATCCCAAGTCATGAGGCTGTATCTGAAACCCGGTCGCACATAGCAGCCACTACGGACGGCCACGGGGAAAGGCGCGCCCGCAGCGGAGGCTGCGCATCAGTACCATTTTGGGCCAAGGGCCTGAAGGGGGCGTTGTTGAGATTGAGAACAGCGGGCGCGTCAGGACTAGTGGTTGCGTGGTATGCGAACTATGCAGGGTTCAGCGAGCGCACGTGACGTCGCCTAGGTGATCAGGCGACGAACTGCAGCTCGTTCTAGACACCCACTTTACACACCCTCACGCCATGTTGCCTTTACTAGCCATTACTTGGGGGCGCTGGTCTATTGTGATAGAAGATATGTATTACCAGGGGGGCTAGCCATTTATACGCACGCTATACAAGCCCTACTTCTAGAGTAATATCCCTCATGTTACCGGTACCAACTCCGGCACCCTCTTTACACCTGTAAAACACCTGCTCCCTGATACCCTAGATACACACATCAACCGTGCCACGCCAAGACAGCCCATTACACTAACCTCCCACTTGTTTCTGCGGCCCCTAGATTCCCGCCTATTACAAATCTCGTATTTCCGATCTAGTAAAACATACCGCGCGAGAAAAAAGTAAATAAGAAAAAAAAATGCAAAGTAACAAGCTTTTTCCAGTCCAAAAGAAAATGAAATGAGACGAAAGAAAAAAAGAGCTTGTCGAGATAACGCCGTCGCTAAGGAAAAGATACGAAGTGCCAAGATGGGCAAATCCAGTACAAGCCACCCACCCACACTACTATAGTGCATTCGTACGTACAGAACACGGATAGAGAGATGCAAAAAAAGAAAACAAAAGGAAAAGCGTCGTTGAGACAGGCCACCCATGGGCCATTGCTGTCGCTGCTGTTTCAAGCAGCTCTCGTATCCCGCCTCTGCATGACAATCTTGCTATCTTCGCTGCGGAGGAACTCAAAGACGCTCAGCTCGAGCCTTGCAAGCCCGTCCTTGAACAGGTACTCGCTTCCCTCGGTGTTGGTCATGACTTTGAATGCCATACACAGCAGGTCTTCGGGGCTCATGCCGTCAATTGGGCTCATGTTCTTCCACTTGAGCCGCATTGCTCGGAGGTCGTTCATCGCCAATAAGCGGTCTACGAGCCCCACATGCGAGACACCCGGGTTCGAAGCCATTGAGTGGCGCAATGCGGCAATGGCTTGTCGTTCGTGGAGCCAGGCGGTCAAGATCTTGGAGACCAAGTCGTAGTGGGTTGAGAGCTCATTGCGAAACAGCGACTCGCCATGAAACCATAGCGCATGCAGACGTTGAAGTAGCGCGGCTTCATCTGGAGGCATTGTAGGGCGTGGGAAGAAGAATGTAAACAGGCCCGCCGTTACCTCGCATTGCAGGAGGCGGAGATCGGCTGTTGGGACCGTTTGCCGGGGAATTGCTGGGGCGGGCTGTGTAACATGTGCGGGTTCTGAAAGCTGGCTTTTCAGTACGCTTTGATGCGAAGCGTGATGAGATGGAGTTGAGTGAGCATGACTAGGAGGCGCTCGATGGCTGACTAGGGCTGGAGCGGGTAGTGGCGGTTCCTGTATTGGAACCAATTGTATTCCATAAGCGGCTGCACCTTGCGAAAGGGGCGTAGACGTTGGCTGTGTATTAGATGTCGTAAGTGGCTTATTAGGTGCGGCCTGCGCGAGGGGTGTACTGGATCTACTTCGGGGGTGAGGTACAAGAGAACGTCCAAAGTGAAGTGTTGAAGTATTAGGTGGACTTGATGGTCGAGGTGTCGACTGTTGTTGGTTTTGAATATGTGGATGAGAAGGAAGTGGGGCATGCTGGGTATGCTGCGGTTGGACGGGTTGTGGTGTATGCTGCTGCTGCGGGCTTTGTGATTGCGATTGTGGCTGTGGAGCAATGTGAGCATGGTGGGCATGCGGAACGATAGGGGAATCCTTCTTCAGAAGTCCGCTTGCTCCATTTGTAGGTGCAGATGTATTCGCCGGCTGAAGAACATGATTGCTAGGAGCAGACGTGGAACTCACAGGCATCACGGAGCGTGGAGGATCCGTGGCAGGCCGAGGCGGAGCTGAAGTGTGCGGCGATGGCTCATAAGGGCTGGTGTAGCTATTGCTGTGACGATGTCCGACTATAGGAGAGGGCCGCTGCATTTCCTTGGAAGATTCCCGTACGGCTTCGCGTACAGGATCTCTCAGAGGCTCCTTGACGGCCAATGGGTTGTTGACTGCAGTAAAGCTTCCAGTGTTAACGGCGGTGAAGCTGCCGGGTGTCGGGCTTTGGGAAACAGAAAATGGCCTCGGTACGCCGTTGATATCGTTGTTTGTCAAAGGAGCAAGTTGCGTCCTGCCAGCTTCAGGGCCGCTTCCTGGTGCTGGGGAGAAACGATGGGCATGGATTGACATGGGTGGCATGTTTTCCATACTGCCCGACACAGCAGGATAGAGTGATTTGAGTGACTTCCTAGGGCTGCCCTTTCGGCTGATGGGCATAGTGCTGTATGGCCGCTTGACAGGTGTCGTGTCCATCTCATCATCGTCAGAATTGGTCAGGTGAGTATTGCTTTTACGCTTCTTCAGATTGACTGGCTTGACGTCAAGGTCGGCACCGGCAACAGAATCCATGTCCGGCGGTGTAAGCGACTGCGGTGTGCTATGCGGCGACTGCATTTTAATTAATAATCGGATGAGATGAGATGGAAATGTCACTATTATGACGGTGAGCAACTTACCAGGCCCTCGCCATCAATGTCAGCAATCTGGTCATATTCGTTTGCGCCCGACGGTCGTTTGAGCTTCATGTTGCGAATATAGTAGCAAGCCTTGATGATTATCCATCGGTGCAGGTGTATCTTAAGACTGCAAAAAGCTTAGCGCGCGCCCACCCACAAGTACCCACACCCCCTGCACCACCCACATAAAACACAAAACACAAAAGTGCATGGACAAAACTTACATGTCCTTGTGCTCGGACTCTTCGTAAAACAAATCTTTGTTGTACGTTTTCTTCGTTGGATCGGGAGTCAGCAAGCAGCTGCGATCCGCATCCCTGCCCCAAATAGCGGGTCCGTAACTCGCTAGCAAGTCCTCGAGCTCCTGGTCGAGTGAATGCGGATCCGCGGCAAAATCGAGCAGCGCGTCTCGCTCCTTTGGCAATTCCTTGGATAGCTTGGTGACTTCGCTGGACAGCTTGCGATAGTCGGGATTGTCGAATTTGGGGATGCCGCGGTTGGTGGTGGACGAGGATGCGGACAGGCCGAGGCCGAGGCATTCCGTCACCTCGCGGATAGTCGGGTTATGCGAGCTGAAGACGGAGATCCATCGAGCGCGGTCCCATCGTCGCACGCCGTGCTCAAGGTCGAGGGCTAGGTTGTCCTTTGAACTCATGGCCGCTGCATGGGCGATGGTAATGGTGGTGGTAGTGGTAGTAGTTGGTAGTAGCCGGGGGGGGCGGTTGGACAATGAGAGAGGGTGTAGGAAAACAACGATGGAAACGTAGACGGTTAGAGATGGCAGTGGATGGGGCGCACGAGCACTCAGCGGAACGTGTGTGATGATGAGATGACTGGGGTGGGATGAGATGGGGAGGTGTGATGTGCCGGGCAATGGTAAAAGGAGTACGTTCCACTAGGCCGTCTTGGAACAAAGTTTTTTTTTATTGCCAGTTGCCTCTTCCAAAAAACTTTGTTCAGCGTCGGATGCCGATCGTGCTACCTCAGCAAACAAAGAAGATAGGCCCAGACCCCTGTAGACGCTGGCGCCAGGGTTACAAGCAACTAAGCGGACTTGCTGGGGCAGTTGGTGGTTAGTGGATGGGTGACAGGATGACAGGATGACGACGATGATGGATGATTGATGATGATTGATGGCGGGTGACGTGTAAGAAAAGCGACAGAGGGTATGCAGCGTCGAAAAGATAGGCAGAAAAGAGGAGCGTGTCCAGTAGCGAGACCATAAGGTGGCAGGGGCGGCATCAAAAAACATGTGCATAGGTTAATACGCGTCCGTTAATGACTCGCATGCCAATAATTCCCCATCAGGTGTAAATGATAGTACCGCCCGGCCCTCATTCGTCCAAGCGAACGAGGCCCGCCCGCCCTTGCTCGTTCATAGCAATAGTACGACGCTTGCACTATGGGCTTCATTGTCACTCGCTGCCTTATGCTAGTCATCTGTACTTATTACTTGTCCCATTGCCGTGTACCCAATCCAGTACAGCCCCAATACAGCGGCCGTAACCACGCCCATTGGTCGCTAGCAGCAAAAAACTCTTACTCGCCTAGGCCAAAATATCCGACCCTCTTTACTCAAACCAAGCACTAGCCGCCATGTGCTATCAGCGAACAAGCGACACTACGACGTTTTGCGCATAGCTCAACATGGTCCTTATTGGCGTCGTGGTCAGGAGTTACAATTACACCTTGCATCTATGACGCGCTCGTCCCTCGACTCACTCGCTTTTTTTTAGTCTGCCTGCCCATACAACTCGTACTCTGCCGTCTTTGTCGCCCACTGTTGTACTGTTTTTGATCAGCACCGCCCGCTCCCACACACACACACACACACTTCTCTCTCTCTCTCTGTGTGCCTCCCACTTCGCCCCGCCCCCTATTCGCTATCCGCCCTCTCCTAACATGGCCAGCACACCAGCACGAGGGAAAGAAACCCGGTATCGCATGGCATGACATGACCCGACCATTGGTGGCGCCCTCCCTGTCGTAAATCTATCTACACGAGGTCAGTGCCCATGAGTAGGAATACATTACTTACTTAGGCACATGGAGATATGCGCGACGCTCGTCCGTCATGGCGTCCTAAAATAGGAACCTGGCATTACTTAGGCAAGATTTACGGCGCGCTGCCCAAAAAGCCAAAGCCCCACGCCCCTTGCCCGCAGGTTACATTAAGCGAGAGTGTACTGCGAAGTGCTGCCGAGCCGTCACCATTATATGCCCGGATACTGGTTGCCGAACTATTGATCGCTGCATACCTGCGCTTATCCTTGGCAGTACGTGAGACGGCCGTTTATTTATTTTTCTTTATTTTAAATTTATGCCTACTCGTCGTGTGACCGCCGGCTGCACGTTGCACTTATGTAGGCTGACGGGCAAACGTAATCTACGGGCGGTATGGGCTGCATGTCTACTACATGTCTGTGTGTGCATGTGTGCGTGCAAGTGGCACACCTGGCCTAGTCTAATCCTACACGATCCTGTAACAAGATGAAATAGCTGAAACCAACCCCTGCGGCTGACCTACCCCAATAGACAATTTTCCCGAATTGGGTCGCCTAGTGCGCCTTTTAAGTCTGCCCGATCGATCGATCCCTTGCCTGCTGCTGAACGCCTGTAAGATCCACACCGCGTACAGAGTTTACCACTATACTTCAAGCCCACTGTACTATATTATATGCGTGACAGAAAGAGACGCAATGTGACAACCTCCGACGCCTATTATCCGGCATGCCACAGCATACCCTTGCCGTCTTCCTCTTCTTCCCGCCGGAAATTCTCCAGGTGTTCGTGCAGCCAAGCCATTGTCGCTGTAAACTCTATAGGCTTCCACTGCATCTCTACCGCATACTTCTCTCCAGCTAGCACGACCAGGGCTTGTCGCAGTAGCTCGTCACGATCCACTGCAACATTAGGACCGAGTCCAAAGCCTTGACCTACATCTTCAAAGTTTGCAATAATCGTTTGTGTACAGCCCATCAGAGTGCGGTGTTGTTGGATGCGTCGTTGGATTTCCGCCGTGGTATGGCCTTCTGCTGACCACCCTATACATTTACAGTCATTGTCAGTGCGGGACGATATGCGGACAGGGCTAGAGATCGTCGACTTACGTTCATTTGCACGTTGCAGAGCTGCCAAATGGCGCTTGAGTTCCACCCATGTCAAAAATGCCCTTTCTCTCGCAATGAATACGGGAATGTTCTCAACCATTTTCTGATAGTCAGCGCGAACCCGCTCTCGCCATGTCTTTTCCAGCGAATTGAGTAATGCTTCCTCGTCTACTGCAACTCCATGCTCTTCCCCATAGACATATTGTCGTAGCGCCCGCAACCCGTCGTAATCTAACCCGCGGTAGGGTATGCTGTTGTTTGGCTGGGGTATCTCCTCTGATCCTGCATCGTCCGAGCGGAAGGTTGCTACCAGCTTCGCAACTTCAACGCTGATTTGCCGGTCGACCGCTGCTTGGTTTGCGTTTGCGACCTGCTGGTCCACGGCCCCTTTGCTTTCTGCGGGGTGCGTACCATGGCTGTGAGCAGGGCCTGCAGACGTAGTACTAAGATCTCTCGATTTGTTACCGTCTACAGATAGTCGGTTCCAGACGCCTTCAACAATGTTTTGTCGCTGTTGCAAGGTTTGCGCCTGATATGCGTTCGTGGCTGCAAAAGTGGTATAGCCGTTAGGTACACACCCACGACGGTTGACGGACGCAAACTTACCTGCTTCGCGGGGTCCCATAATAGGACTTTCACCCGATTCTGGGGGTGTGAGCATTGCACTAGAGGAAATCGGACTGCCACGTGATACTGTATCACCATCGTGCAGGACTGAGTTGGGTGCCAGCGCAACAAAAGATGCTGGTGTTCCGCCGTCTTGCTGACCAGAGAACTCAGCCTCAGCTCGCGCTTGTCGGTTCTCTGCCTTTTTCCTCCTTTCCCGATCGAGCCGCTCTCGTGCAAGGATGACATTGCACGCTTTCAATCCAATCCACCAGTGGAGAAGCTTGTGAATTCTAGGCGATCCATCAGCAATCGTTCGTGATTATCCGAGTTTTCGGTCTGCACAGCCAGCCTGCTTACAATTGCCTATCCTCTTCATTCTCAAAATAGAGGTCCCTGGAATAAAGCCCTTCTTCCACGCCAGGTTCGTTAGCAGTGAGCAGATGATCGCGCTCTCCCACTCTCCCCCAAACCTTCATCCCATGCTTTTCAAGTAAACCATCGACCTCCTCTTTTAAACTTCCCTCGTCGCTGAGGAACTTCATCAACTCATCGGGCTCCTTTGGTAGCGTAGACACAACGTCTCCCATATCTGCCACGAGTTCGCGCACCAGGGCCGATTCGAAATTGGTTTTGCCGCGCTTATTGGAAGACCACTTTGCGCGTAATCCAAGGCGCTCAATAAGCTCATGCATGCGCACTTTGGACCGATTTTTCATGATATCGAGCCAGTCTTTCGAGGTTGCATAAGTGATTGCTGAGCTTTCCATGTTTGCGACGGTTGCATGAAATGCCAAAGGTCGTCAGGAAATTTGGTAATGAAGCGCGAATCCAAGTGCTGATTTTCCTTCGGTATGATTACATGCAGATGCGCTCAGGACTGTAACGGCAAACTGTAGATACTAGCAACAGGCCCGCTCAATGGATATATGACACCAACTAGAGAAGAACGCAAGGCAAGCGAGCGACAAGGGGAAGATGGTATGGAGATGCGATTGATGGCAAAAGTACAGATGAAGAAACCGTAGCGCCGCGTACGGAAAGCTCGTTTACAGGGTCAGCCGCGCCAGGCCGCGAAGGGTAGGCGGAAGAGCAAGGCAGTTCTTGCTTATTGGCCAACAGCTTCGCGTTAGCACGACGATCTTCCAAAGGCTTACACAATGTTGTGCAGATTATTATTCGGCCGCCAAGACACGATTCAGTCCTGTTTCGCTGCTGCAAAGCTACATCGATGGTCCATACGGCTATCTTGAGATTCTCCGGAGTCTGTTGTCCCACCAATGGTGTTGTACAATGTGCGTACAACGTAGGGATATCCCGTTGTAGGATTGTCAAGGAAACCTTGGACTTGCCTACATCCTCAACAACCGAGATAGATGCTCGAGCAACAATGAATCGTATGGTGTGAGACTCTGCACATATAAACATCAATATGCATCCATACCTCCAGTATGCTGTTGCTCTCGCGCAAATTGAAAACTGGGCCCCCGCCTGTTCCATTGAAAACTGACCAAAAGACAAGCATGGGGTATATGTGATGCGACCCACAAACGCAATCAAAAAGTGTATATTCCCAGAACGACCTCCGTTCGATCACGGCCTCTTTGTAGACAGCACAAGCAGAATCTGATCAGCCCAAAGACCTGAGTTCGACATGAACTCGACCATGCGAGTTCATGCTCCAGAAAGGGGCTTCTGTGAGTATAGTCTGCAGTCGGTCAAATGCAGCCTCCTTTCCTTCACGGGCGATTAGCGCCTTGTTCATACCACCATGACCGTCAAGACTGCAGCACAAGCGCCAAGTCTTTGTTCTTTTTAGAATCTCAGCAATTGACGGGATGGCCTCTGTGTCTTCTTCCAGCAGTCTGAGTAGGCCTACGAAGGTCTTGCATTCACCAATCGTGTGGACGAACTCATATTCTAGATCTCGGTCTTTGACTAACCAAATGATGTATATGCGGTCAGCTTGTTCCTTGGTGAGCTCGGGATGTACTGTCTCACAGGATAAATGGCGTTTCGCGACTCGCGGAGGTAGGTTTGAGGTGGATGTTACTGGGCTCTGGGCACCACAATCAAGGGACGTCTCCACGAAACCTCCAGTATCTGGATATGCAGGTCTATCGTAGTCACTGGGTTTTCCCTCCTCTATGGTATCGGACTTGCGCGAGGTCGTTGTGCTACTTCTCTGTCGCTTTGTTTTGATCGACTCATCTTTTTGTACATCGTCTTCTCTGATTTCTCCCTCTTCTAGCGTTCGCGTTGTTGGCTTCGAAGTGTCTGTCATACTCGATACAGAAAGAGTCGAAGTGTCATAGATGTAATTTGAATCCGACACTGACCGCTTCTTCACCTCCACGGCAGTCCCAGTACGCCCTGGCAGTGGCAGTACGTCGAGAGCTGTAGCTAGTACATCAGCACTGCTGTCAAGGTTACGGAGCGTGAGAACTTCGTAGTCGTTGGAAAAATCTTGTCCATTTTCACTTTCAATCATTTTGTAAGGCCGGTAGGATTGAAGACCGTGCAGACTTCTGTCATGCTTCTGTGGCAACATGATGGCGAAAACCCCAGCTTCATCGTCACCATCAAGCGGCATGATTACCAGTTTCTGTGCATTGTTAGTTTATCTTTACAAGCTGTATATATCTGATAGCTGGAGAACGATTGCCTAAAACAGTTAGTACTTCCGACGCATGACTTACAGACTTGCCGTAGAACTGAACTTCTCTCAATTCGAACACCTTTGAAGTAGCCGAAACGCATCCCCGACAAACAGCATGGCGGATTTGCCCTACCAAGCCCTGTGTTGCTTTGGGATATGGCGCAATAAGCTTGGCACAGTTGGATTTCAACACATTGAATGAAGGAAGTCCCCGAAACGACTCCTTATGTCGGTCTGGTGCTAGATAGCCAATCCAAACGCCTTGAGTGAAGAGTTGATTGACGGAGTAAAAGTGACCGTTTGAGTCATCATAAGGATTGAAGCATTTGCAAAAACGCCTAGAAGTTTGCGAGCTGGTTGGCCGACTTTGTTGAACTGTTTTGGCTTCTCCACTGCTTGGAGATCTTCCTAGTTCAAGCACGCTAGGTGGCATGGCTGGCCAGAGCAGCTCGTTAGTCTCGCAACCTCCAGTCTGATCGAGAGATCCTGATCCTGCTGCTTGGACCCCTTCATGCATTGCAATTTGTGATGTTGGCGGAGCTTCATCTTTGACCTCAGAGTTGCCGCTGCTACCCCGGGGCTTGCGGGTGCGACTAACGATACCTGACAGTATCTTCAAGTTGTAAGTGTTGACATTTGTTCGATTTCGTGACGGCCGCATTGAGTACTGAAGATGCGGGATACCCGCAAGTTGTACCAAACGGTTATCTCGTGTTAGTTTGTGGGGATGATGTGTAGTGTGTAGAGTTGGGCAAGGCTGAAGTTGAGCAAGCGCCCTGTGTTTATGGCTGCCTAGGCTAAATACACCCTTACCACAAGTGGTGGACCCTGGTTCGCCGTTTGCCTTTGCAACAGATAGCTAATAGCAATTTGCCACCATCGGTAAGGCATTGCAAAAGCTTTCGAGCCATCTCTTCGTCTTCACTGTGCAGCTTGTGAGGTACGATGGCCTTCTTTTATCCACAGTGAAGGTGCCATATGAATTCACGAGCCTACTTCACCCACAAAACTTGCCCTAGAGCGATATAGACGTGTCCAGTCGAGGCTAGATACACGTGACTAAGCTTCGCATTAAACTGCAAAATGTAGGGCACTGTGGCATTTAATTCACATCGTACATGTGTGATGTTTATAGCTCTCCTCATACCAAGAGTCCCAATTTAGTCCGCCCTCCCTGAGTTACTCGGTTCAAGTATGTTCTTGGTTATCGATTCAAACATCATCTTTCCAAGCATATGTGTTTTCATCATATTTGATGCTTGATGGGACTGCGTCATTATGTTATGGGTAAATGCCCAATTTCTCTATTATTACATACAAATATTCCCTTGCCCATTTTTATAGCGAGAATTTGACACAACTGAACCTGGATGTAGTCTTTGAATAGACTAAGAGAGAGATGAAGTTATGTTGCAGTTGCTTCTAAAACAATATTCGTATATGTGTATAGGAAGCTCAGCTTCCTGTCATGTGGTTGTTATTTTATCCGAAACGTTGAGCAGTCTATATATGACTTGCATGCACGTACTGACCGTCTAATATGCTCATTTGTTCTGACCCAAAGAAAAAACATTACCGCGCAGGTTTCCTCTCATCGACTAACACACTCCAATTCTTTTGCACATTGATGCCACCGGCGGCTGTTCTTTGCTCGCTGTCTTCGCTCACACGCGCTAGCTCAATATCAACATTGTTTTTACCCAAATCTTCGTTGACAAATTTAGTCTCCTCCTCTTCATCGTCCATTCTGCTGATTCCGGCCAGTGTGGAGAACAAACCACCTGTTGCGCCCTTCTTGCGTGGCCGGGAGCCTGATGAGCCACCTGATGCAAACTGATGTGCCGCTCCTCGTGATTCGACATCGGAAGGTCTTGATGACGAGAAAGAGAAGAGTTTGTTCAACCCTACTGCCTGGAATACGGGCTTCAGACTTGGCAGACAAGCACACGCCAGGCCAATGTTGACCTCAACAATCGACCACAGGATGATCTCGCGGAAGTTGTACGTGACATCGCCCTGGGTGGCGATGGGAATTTGTAGAAAGATGATGAGGCGCACGAGCGACACGACGGCGATGAAGGTGCCGAGGGCGAACATGCCTGCGAGCACAATGCGCTGCGCAAGGGGCGCGTGCAGGCGCCACACGTGTGGCAGGGGCATGAGGACGATGACCAGGTCGAGGCAGACGTTGGGGACGGAACCGCCGAGGTAGATGGCTCGGATGGAAATGCATTTCGCGCCTGTTATGGTGATATCCCAGGCGGCTTGGACAGGTATGCAGTTGAAGATGACACAGAGCAACTACAAAGATACAATCGTGGTTAGTGTTTGAAGTCCATTGTATGACACTGGAAGACGGCATCTACTATGAGGAAATGCATGACTTACGATGGCAGTACACCAGGCGATTGCTGCGGCAGTGACAATGTAGATTGTGATGCGAGCCTTGATTTCGAATAGACGCCAGTAGAAAGCTAGCACGGAGAGCTTCACTGATGTGATACACAGAGTGTACAATATGTTTCCCACGTAGATGTTCTTCAGGAAAGCTATGATTTGGAGTGGATTTTCAATCTCGTAGATGTGTAGACCTAGCGAGTCTCGCATACCTACAGGGCAGCCCGGTCAGTTCTTGCTCATCCTCAAATGAGAAGAAATGTAGGAGGCAACGACTTACCAATTATACACACGTAAAAGAAGCCGTTCGCGAGGGCCAAAGCGACTATCGACATGTAGTCATCCCATTGAACGTTGCGCCATCCCCGGTGACGGTAGCGGCACCAGATCTTCAGGGGGACGAGAAACATGATGAGGATGTATGTGAACATAGCAACTCCATCGAGGCGTTGGCGGAAAGCCGCACTGTCGTTCTGTCAGTCGCACGACTCCCCAGTGTAGTGTTCTCTGGTCTAGGTATCGCCAGGGGCCCATAGAATGTGCCTGGTCCCATCATACGATATGATCAGAGTCGGGGGGGTAAGAGAGATTAGTTCTCGTCAACAACTTACAGGCTTTCTTGAGGATCAATGATGGGCGCCATGGCTTAGGATACTTGCCCAATTTTCGTGACGAGCAGCCTCGAATTCTTTTCTGTGCGTAAAAGAGAAGGCGGCGATTGAGCACCAAGTACGCACCCTTCTGATCTGCGAAAAAGTGAATAGTTGCAGATGTTATACTAAGGAGAAGGCCCTCTTGGAGGCCTAACCATACGCCTCCAGTATATTCATGGCTCGCGCCGCTCCAGCCACTCCCGACTGTAGTGCCCCTGGGGGCGACTCCATCCATATGACAGTTTTTTGCTTCTGAAGCCCCATAATGACCCAAGAGGAATAAGAAAGCGGCAATCCTCACTACGCTTGCGGCTGTTGGGCAAACTCTAACTAACGGAAACCAGGGCTTAGACCCCCGCGGGAGCACTAGCAAGTGGGTCTTGTTTGGAGGACGTGGGCTGGAGCCTCGCAAGGGACGGAGCCTTGCCTTTTGCACTCGAACGAGCATGGATAGCGGCCTCCCGACAGGCTGGGCTGTGGATTGACGTAACCTGCGGGAAAGAAATGAGCACCTGCTCCACCACGAGTATGCATGGTTGATACACACTTGGTAAGAGATTCGAGCCTGCGGAAAAGGAAGCTGGGCATCTCCCGTCCAAAAGAAAATACATGCACACTCCAATGTTGGCTGAGCGATATATTTGGATGTACATGTGGGACTGGCATGTAGTGTTGTGCATGAACTAAGTGCCTGCATGGTAGTACCTCGGCGAGGAGCATAGCCAACGCGTTTACCTTGTGTACAACTGATATCTGATGGTTATTGTATGTGAGAATCACACGTAGCGATTCACAAAAACTTCGTCTCAGTGGGGTCAAAGTTGCGAACCGGCTGCCATCGGCACTTGTGCGAGGCTTGCCACCGTACAAAGTATAGCACAAGGGATTAGTTTCCTCTTCTGTGGCGAAGGAATGCCGTGGCCACTCGTTTGGTTCTCCTAATTTTCCTTACAAGACGCCGAGTCAGAGTCAGCCTCGGCAGTTGCATAACAGCCAATTATCGCGGAATGATGCAATTTGCATCCAGGTGCCTATGATCGGTGTGTGTAAGCATCAAATATCTTGTCTTTTTCTTTACCGCAGACGCTGATTGCGAGATGAGAATCAAGACGCGATTCAATTGGTGTAAAAGCAAAGATATACTAAATGCAAAGATGCACGAGTAGTGTGTGGCGTACGAGCCCGATGTTGTCGGTCAGATTATCCGAGATGCCAATCAGGCCTTCAGTGTGCGCCCTGAGCAGGGGCGCGGAAGCGGAACAAAAAATGGCGTGCAGATTCCCAACCGCTTGGGGTTGAAGTCACATGAGCCGACGGCATTTCTAGTCCCTTTTCGGACTGCACGTTAGAAGCGAGAACTCCAAAGGAACCTATAGGAGGCCTATGTCCACATCGCCTCTCCCACCCTTCATGTTTCGAAAACGACCGGGGGGACTGCAATTCTTTCCTTTCGGGTAAATCGAGGGGCCCACCATCCCTGTTCGTGAGACAGGGTTAGTTTTTCTGAATATTCAATTTACATAAATTTCAGCTTACTAAACATGAGATTCCTATTTCGAGATAGCTGATTAGTGGCACTGCAGAGTGAGGGGATACATCTGCAAGCAAGACATGTGTAAGTATGTAAACATGTCGTCCTATTGCCCAGGTAAGTAGTAGGTGTGTATGATTGGTGTGGCAAGCACCGCCGGGAGCGGCTCGCTGTCCCCATCTGCCGATCCCTCCGAAAAGCAAAACCCCACTTCTTTGTTGGCATGAACAGATGCCGCGGACTTTAGCCAACATCCAAAGTCTTTTGTAGACTAATCTGCTGGGCGCTAATGGACAGGCGGACACTAGAAAGGAAAGAGTAAGATAATCCGTACTAGATGATTAGTCGGCGAACATGAGATACATATCTACAAAGCCCTTCATCCTCTGTCTTGTTTTCGGGTCATTGAACTTTCTTTTTCTGTCCAAATCGAGTTGCTGGTGCATAATGGTTAATCAAAACATCGTCAGCGGGGTGTCGTACCCGAGCCTATTTGCCTTCTGTTGCTCCTCGGTATTAATCTACATCTTGGTAATTGGAATTTACCGCCTCTACTTCCATCCACTCGCCTCGTTCCCCGGCCCATTTTGGGCTCGCTTATCGGTAGTCCCGTCTTGGTGGTATACTCGTACAGGTGACAGACACATTTGGCTGCATAGTCTTCAAGAGAAATACGGTATGATTGGATATTTCGTGTTTATGGATTACTCGTTAATCGATAACAGGCTCCGAGTTTCGTTATCGCCCAGACAGCGTCGTGCTAAACACGCCAACTGCGTTTAAGAAAATATTCGGACCGAAAGGCAACGTCAGGAAGAGTGACTACTACCGCGTTTGGCCACGCAATGTTCACTCGATCAACACTTGGAGCAGTACGGCTATTAGTGTCCACGCTCGCAAGCGCCGCGTGTTGAACTACGCATTTTCTGAGGCTGCTTTGCGTGATGCCGAAGTGTTTCTTCATTCCAACATGGACCGATGGCTGGAGCTGATAGGACGACAAGCAACAAAGGATGGTGAATGGACGACACCTATCAACATGTGTGACTGGATCAACTGGCTTGTCTTCGATATCCTTGGTGACCTGTGCTTTGGCAAGAACTTTAACATGAAAGAACCCGAAAGTGACCTCCGCCATATCCCAGAAATCATGGCCACATTTTTAGAAATTCTCCACTCAGTGAGTTCTGTTGACTCCCTATCAGGCTTGAAACAGTACTAATTTACCAAAGACTGCCTTCAGCCCATTTGCTGATTTATGGGTGTGGCTGAAGCCTCGCGGTCTTGATTGGCTCCTTTCAGTTGCATCACCGCCAGCCGTTGTAAGGTGGCAAGACTTCGTCACCCAGTGTCTCGAGAACCGTTCTCGTGACGAGAAAGAGTTGGAAAAGAACCCAAAGCCTGAAGGCGAAGTCCGAAAAGACTTCTTCCATTGGCTGTTCAACGCTGTTGACCCTGAGACCGGAAAGCGTGGCTACGATCTGAACGAGTTGTTTGCTGAGTGTGAGCTCCTGACAATCGCAGGCTCTGACACAACCTCTGTCGTAATATCTGCTGCTTTCTTTTACTTAGCAAAGCAACCAGCAATTCAGGCCAAGATTGCTCAGGAGATTCGCTCGAAGTTTGCAAGCTACAATGATATCAGGTCCGGCACCAAACTCATGTCCTGCACCTACCTCACAGCATTCCTCCAAGAAGCCATGCGGATGACTCCACCAGTTGCCGCAGACCCAAGCCGACAGGTCCTTCCAGGCGGCACTACTGTCGACGACCACTACTTCCCTGCTGGTGTTCATGTAAGCACTGGACTTTATTGTCTCAGTTACAACTCGAATGTGTATCCTGAGCCCTTCAAGTTCCGCCCCGAGCGCTGGATTGTGGACGAGTCTGGAAAGGAAGGATCCTCAGCAGAAAGCGTAGCTTTGGCCGAGAGCGGCTTCTGTGCTTTCTCCTTTGGAACCCGTGGTTGCGTTGGAAAGAATCTCGCCTGGCTTGAGATGCGTCTTGTTCTCGCAAAGACGCTCTGGATGTATGAGGTGCAAGGAGTCCCGAATAATAATCTTGGTGGAGGTGACCGGAATGCTGCGCCCGGGCGGCAGGTGGAAGATCAATACCAAATCTACGACATGTTTGTGGCTAACAGAAAAGGCCCGATGGTCCAAATGAGAAAGAGGCAGTGTTGAAGTGTGGTAAGCCAGGATCAATTAAGAGGCGGCAGTGTGCATCTGCAGCTGAGGCTGAAATGCAGTAGTTGCTAAGAGAGCGCAGCCACGTCATTTGGTACAGCGACACGACCTGGCAGACCGCATATCGGCTTTTTTTCTTCATTAATTCAATAGTAAATATTTGCATTTGAACCCCTACGCATCTCGTGTCAAGTTTATTCCGCTGGTGAGATGATTGCCAGCATTCGTCCTAGCGCCTCAACGTCACTTACTACCCCGTCGCAGGAAAGCAAACAAATCTATGGCGATTTTCATAACCTCTCCTGCCATTGATGCAATATTGAGCTGCCTTCGCATCTGCAGCTGTTTCTTCTCTCCAGCACAGCTGTGCACGTGCCGTTTGCGCTGCGCCATGGCAACGATTTTGGCCCCCAATAGTCTCCTGCCCGAACCCACACACGGCAACAACAAGCGAACGTCCAAAGCCATGCTGCTGCAAGCCGCATATTTAGCACTGCCTACTTCGCAATACCTGACTAGAGTGTTCCAGGCATGTGACCTACAGCTTGCTGAAACCCCAATTTTCCGTCTCATTCTCTCCCTTGATTGGTTGTTCTTCCACTGTTACGCAGCACCGGTCACGGCTGAGCACTTTGCACTAACATCAGGCACGGGAAACCCCCAGGCTGATTCACCGGCTCACCACGTCGCAGCTCTGCTAAAGTAACAAACACTGCCATCTCAAAGCTTCTTCATAGATATTTACATGCGCCGTTTGGTGTTATGAGACAAGGCTGACGGGTGCATCGCACACGTTGCAAAGCATCTTTAGCCGCATGCGTTGCGTGTCCGAATTGTTGCTCCTCTCCTTTTCTTCTCTTCGCTGCTACACCAGCCTTACGCTCGCTATTAATTTGGGCTGTCAAACGCTCAATGCACGAATCGCCATATTAGGCCACACTTGAGCTCCACAGGACGCTGATCGCAGCCATGGCACATGTACCACCTGCCCTCCAGATTGGCTCCCCTGTCAAAGATAGAAGGCAGTCAGAATATGCGGTTCCCTCCGCTTTGCGCATTGGCTCCCCCATAACTGAAGGTCCCATGCCGCCTCACGCTCGTCCACCACTCACACGCCAGACCAGTTCTGGCTCATCAAATAGGATTTCTCAACTCTTCCCATCGCATACATCATCAGATGCTTCGATTGTGTCTCCTAGCACTATATCTGACACAAAAAGGCAGTCATTACCTTCATATTTAGTGCCGGCTACCAGGATATCGTACAGCAACTCTTCTACCGCCCCACCTCCCATACCTCAGCCGCTTGCATTCACCGAAGAAACTTCATACGACCCTCTTGCAACCCTATTTAATCAAGAAAAAGTCTTTCCCCCAACGGACCAGAGCAATGGCAGGGCTCGACGGGTGTTGGACCGATTCACGTCGCTGAACAAAGGTTCTTTTGGGAGGGGTCATTACAATCGACTGGATGATGGAGAGGCAGTTCCTTCAAGGGGTAGACCCAAAGACATCGAAGAGGAGGATGAAGCGGTGGGATATGACTTGAGTTCTCTTGGAGGACTGTCAATGAAGATGTATGAAGCGCAGTCGACTGGGTATGGGAAATCTGAAGCAAATACAAAAGCTCGGGAGCTGGACGAAGCCAGTCACGCTGCAGAATTTGAGAGCCTAGAGGCACACCTAGGCGCAGGCATGACATCTATATTCCACAAGCCGTTTACCCATACTCCCATGGGACCAATACCAGGATCGTTTCCAGGCCATCGACGAATACTATCGGCAGACGAGGTAGCGGACGAGGAGGCCAAGAAGGCACAAGTCGAAGCTGAGAAAACTGGGCAAGTAGTTGCAGTCACAACAGATGTCCCCATAGATATTAGCGATTTTGCGGGTATCGCGCGAGACTTTGAATCGATGAGGAGTCTCACAGCTGAAGCTGGTCTTGTCCGCAATGGGGCAGAAACCAGTTACTTCTTCCCAGAAGGTGAGATTCCACACCTGCTTCCAAATGCCTTCAATCTAACACAAGAGAAGATCCCCAAATGCCAAATTGGCGCCCTATTACCATGAGCCAGTTGTGGCTACTGATGCTCGTCACTATTGCACTTGCGCTCGCATGCGTACAAGAATATCTTTGTCAAATTTCTTTGAACGAAGTCAAGAAAGACCCAGAAAAGGGCGGCTTGGCACGGTTCAGAAGAGTGGGAGACATGGACATTACCGTATACTTTGCATGGCAGTACGCACCGATCATGATCTTGGTATTCTACGGCGTACTCTGGCAAATGTCAGATTTTGAAGTAAAACGTCTGGAACCATTCTACCAGCTCTCGAAGAAGACCGGAGCGACTGCAGGGGAGTCGCTGAATATGGACTACTTAACATTTATGAGCTGGCTGGTGCCGCTTAGAGCCCTTCACCACAGACAGTATGCTGTCATCTACAGCTCACTGGGAACTCTGATTGCTAGCAGCCTTGTTCCTGTTCTACAGTCTGCATCGATGTCGATGTATCCATCTAAGAAGGACCGCCAGACAGAAGGATGGAAGTCTATCAGAGTCGAGCCAGTCTGGTCCAGGGCTGTATCAGCATGTCTTCTCCTAGTGGCCTGCTGCGGCGGGGCATTGATGTACGCTATGCGGCGAAAAAGTGGCTTGCAATCAGACCCCAAGGGCATCGCCGGCATCGCAGCCATGGCTACCAAGAGTCACATTCTTGCCGACTTCAAAGGACTAGATTGCGCACCCTTGGATCAAATTCACAAGAAACTTCGCACTCGGAGATACATCCTGCACAAGAGCTCACTCTGGCAGGGTGAGTACATCAGGGACAGCAAGGAAAAGATACATGAGCATGGTTCCGATCCCAGGCCGCTCATGCTACGATACCGATCTGGCATCCCCTTTATCATCTTGCTCATCGCCTTCACTGCAGTAATCCCCATCTTCACTTTCGTCGAGGATCTAGGCGTCATAACTGAGAAATTTCCCTGGGTCATGACCGGTCTCGCAACAGTAATCCGAATACTCTGGAACACAATGAACTGCGATGTTAGGATGTTACAACCCTTCTACATCCTCTCCCTCCGCCACGCCCCAGCCAAAACCCTCACCCTCGACTACGCCGGTACAAATCCGCTCTGGCTTCCCTTCAAAGCCTTCATCAACCGCCACTACCTCGTCATGGTCGTCGCCATCGGCTCCGTCCTCGCAGAGGTCCTAACCGTCTGCGTCTCCTCCATCAGCGTCGACGGCAAGAAATTCATCCCAGGACTAGGCGGCCAGAACTGGGACGACAACAAGGACGGCAACAATAGCGATCCGCACGACCGCTACAACACCGAGCAAACCTTTCGCAGTTTCTGGACGAGCTTCGCACTCACTATGTTTATCCTCCTCTACCTCATCATCGTCGCGTGTCTCACGTATCTAAAGCGCAGCCAGAAGTTCATGCCGCGCCAGATCGGCACCATGGCAAGTGTGCTGGCGTACATCCACCAATCCAAGATGCTCTTTAATTTCATCGACACCGAGAAATTCACTTCGACGCAAATGACGCAGCATCTGGAGAAAACCGGCAAGACGTACGCGCTAGGCTGGTTCCGAGGACGCGACGGTGAAGATCATCTGGGCGTCGATGAGGAGGAGATCCACAGTGCCTATGTGTACGGCAAGGATTGGACAGAGGGCAGACTGAGGCCTGGCAGGGATCACACATGGGAGCATTATTAGAATTTCGCAAAGCGCCCGCATGTCAGAATGAGTAAGCCGTGAGCATATTGTGGCACATCGCATCCCCCCTGTGATTACTCGATTTGTAAACTTTCCATATTAGGTTCAACCTTTGACATTTGGGATTAATACAACCAAGCCAAACTTCGCAGCTAAACTCCCTGTTCCTTCTTGATCCTTGCGCCCAAAACGCCCATTTGATGCTGGTAATAACCTTTGGAACACGTATGTGCCGCGTAATCTACATGCGCTTCTCGGTTTTGCCCGTAATTGTGTGAATATCTCAGCCTTTTTTACCTCATGTTGATTGAATTCACTGTTCAACTCTGGCCGTCTCCCACGTTGCTCACCAGCCAGTCCATGCCCTCCTGTACACCACTTCCATCGACAGCGCTACACGCGACAATGCTCCAATTTCTATCCTTGAGATCGCCCAGCCGTAGCGCCTCGCTGATCTCGCCTGCACCCTTTGCGCCGGGCTGATCCTGTTTGTTCGCGAAGACGAGAAGCGCGGCGTCGCGCAGTTCTTCCTCGTTGAGCATGGCACGCAGTTCTTCGGAGGCGGTGGTCAGACGCTCGATATCGGTACTGTCGATGACGAAGATCACAGCGGCTGTGTTGGCGTAGTAGCAGCGCCAATAAGGGCGGATCGAGGTTTGGCCTCCCAAGTCCTAAGAGCTTTTGTTAGAAGGTCACCATAGGTGATGTAAACAGAAAGATTTTGGAAGTTGCATACCCAGACATTGAAGTTGAGATTCTTGTATGTTACTGATTCCACGTTGAAACCTATCGTGGGTATCGTTGTGACTACTTCTCCTATCTGTTGTCGTCCGTTAGTGTATACTCTGGTTCATGGTGGTATGACATGTTTAGTATTGATTGCCTTCCGCTCCCTCTTGCACTATTAGGCGATGCGTACCTTCAACCTGTATAGTAATGTCGTCTTGCCAGCGTTGTCCTGCATTTGTAATCAGCGCTGTGAACGCCTTGTAGCGGGCTTGAGACCCCTCACAAGTCCAAGGATCAATATCCGTATCTCCTTCTTCGCCCATATAAGCTTCGTAAACGTTGATAAGTAGCCACCCATTGTGTTCTCCCTGTGTCTGATCCGCCGCTATTGATATATGTGTATGGGGTTTGCCGTCGCCGAGGCTATTTCGAGGAAGAGGACGGGGCTATGAATATTCGAGGAGATAGTTTGTTGAACGGAGGCTTTGAAGAACGTCTTTGGAAGCGATCCAAGTCGTTGCAGTACGTTCAAAAGAATGCTGGTCGTGTCTTGATGCTGTTGTCTGGCCAGAGTTGGCCATCAAAGATGCAAACAGGACAAACATCTAGGCCTGTCGGTGGTTAGTTTTGCCGACCCATACCTTTCCCCACTCCCGTAAATCACGTGAGCAGCTGTGTTTCGGAACTAGTAGGAAAATGAAAACCAGGGACATTCAACACATCTTCCCGGTATTACGCGTGCTCCAGCGCATTGGGCACCTATGCGATCTCACGTGATGCAAGTTAGATGAGTTGAAATGGCTTGTACAAGAGTTTGCTCGATCTGGCCGTATAAATAATGCGTTTGATGAATGTGTTAAAATTATGTTTCTTCGGTCTGTGGATACTTGATACATATAGAGAAATTCTAATGTTTGAAGAAAGTAAGAATGACTTGGTAAGCCTAATGTTTGCATTCGCAGTCTCCCCTTGAAAATCCGAAGACATCTCAGACATTTGCTGAAAGCTCTCAAATGACGTGTATGTCTTCGTCGACACATAGTCCAGCTATCTGTTTCCATACAAATCTTATAGTAGGGACTCATGCTGACAATACGCAAGTCTGAGTTCACAGTTGTGGACAAAACCTCCTAATGTAAAAAAAAAAACAGTGCTCAAATTCACTTACAGGAGGAAAGTAATACAAGAAAAGCTAGTAACTAAGGCGTGAGCTTTGATTTGCTTGTTTCTGTTCACAAGACGAGGGTAGCATGAGTCGCAATTTTTATACACAAATATCACATCTAAGAAGGAAAGTCATCGTTGTTACTCAATGTGATATGTGGCAGCACATTAGATTTAACCTAAATCATCCTGGGCTAACCAGGGCACAGGAACAGCAGCTTTGTTGTCGTACCACGGTTGTAAACCGATGGAACCAAAGTTAATCGACATTTTGTTCCTGAAAATTTAACATTGCGATTCGCTCCACGGTTCATTCCATTTCCTCCCTTCAATAGAATCGCGAGATTATATTTCCTTCTTCAATCTGTTGGTCGGAAATGATGGAACGATCAAAGTAAGGCAATTTTCATCTATGCGCAGTAGCATTCGATGGTTGAAAGACAGGAAAAGTGAGTGGTTTGTCATAATTACAAAAAAAAATTGTTATCTTCAGAGCTGTATTTGGCACTGCCTCCCAAAGCACTTATGCCCCTAAACACAAATCCTCTCCATTTCTCTAGTGAACCTCTTTTGACCCAACTTCTTCATTCACAACCACACGAACCTTGTTCTATAACACGATGTCATCTTTCCTTTCTATACTGGAGGAAGCCAGGGGAGAGGCCCTCGATAGTCACAAAGCCACCCCTGAGTCCACTACTCCCAAGAGAAATATTGTAAGGTTGAAAAAAGGGGTTCCGCGGACCCAGAAGAACATGAGGCGGAAAGACGGTTGTGATACCGATTTCGGACACTCATCGAAATCTGTCATTCCACCCACATCTTGTAGTGACAACAACAAAGAGCAGCTCAAAGGCCAAAAGCGTCTTCCTCTGGTCAATCAGAAGGACAAGATGCTCACGAAGAGGAGGAGGATCCCAAGCTCTGATAAAATCAGTGGTGGGAAGGCTGGTAAGGAGCAGAAGCCCTCTTCAACAACCAGTGCCTCTCATGTTATCAAAGTCAAGCCCAAAACGGTGGCGGTCTCACGGGCCACGCAGAATCCCGACCACGATACCAAGGGACAAGATTCGGAAGACGATTTCGTCGTCGACGACATGGCATATAAACCCCGGAAATCAAAGGTCGGTGCAATGGCCCGTTCAAAACTCTTTGCAGGAATGAAATAGTTCATATCGGTACCAGATTACCGTCAGCTCTATAATATTTACATACGAAAAACACGCACAAATCCAACAGCAGAAGCCCGAAACTCTAACCTCCTCTTCATTCTTCATACCAAAGATACCGTCAACTAAACCAAATCCATCTCCGTAACATTCCTCCTCCGCACCTCAAGCTGAACCACCGGATCAACCATTTTATACACGCCCATCTGTACCATACTCGACTGGTACCCCTTCGCCATCCTAATCTCATACTTCAGCAATATATGTGCCATCGCGAGTTTCACTTCATTACTAGCGAAATAGCGTCCGGGGCAAGTATGGCGTCCACCGCCAAACACGCTAAAGTCCGGGCCTGATTGAACGAACTGAGCGAATTTATCGCCTGCCTCGCGTTTGCGCAGGAAACGGTATCCGTCGAAGTGGTCGGGGCTGGGGTATTTGTTGGGGCTCCGGAGATCGGTGCAGTCAACCATGATGTGGGAGCCGCGTGGGAGGTTCTCGCCGGTGGGGAGGGTTGTGTCTTTGAGGGCTACGCGCTCGAGAGCCACTGGGAAGTATGTGTTAGAATGAATAGAAGAGGGAGAGAGAGAGAGAGAGAGAGTGTGTGTGTGTGTGTGTGGAGAGGAGATATAAGTACCTATGGGAGCGGAAAGTCTCTGCGACTCTTTCAGAACGCTGTCGAGCAGGACCATGTTGTTTGTCGCAGCGGTGGTTATACCGTGGGTAGAAATTTGTTGCGAGACTTCTTTCCTTAGTGGCTCGACGAGCTCAGGGTGCGAAGCAACATCGATCAAGACCTGGCGGAATTGTTCGCTTGTGGTGAAGAACGCAGCCATTGCTAAGGACAATTGTATGTCGCCAGCGTCTGCCTTGGGGCCTGATGCAGCTTGTGCCCATGCAAGCGCATCGTTGTATTGCGGGAGAGGATCACCTTTGAGCTTCGCATTCTCAACCTCTTTTTCTCTTTTGTTAATTACCTCCTTTATGATTTTGCGAGCTTGAGCCACGTATTTCCGACAAGAAATAGCATTTGGTAGAAACCGTTGAACAATGCGTCTCGACCAGGCCGGATATTCATGCAGCTCATTGACAGCCGTAAAGAATGCGCCGACGTAGCCTTGTGCAATACTCAACCACTCTTCATCCTCGCACTTCTCCGGACCGACAAATACTGATGACGCTGCACGCGCGATAATGCCCGTTGTGTCTTTCTGCCAGTCAATGACATGCCAGTCCTTATCCTCGCCCCAATGGATTTGCAACGCCTTTGCTATACTACTATTCACCACTGGCATGATACTATCGTTCTGGCCCAGCTTCGTGCGAATCACATCCAAAAGCAGATCTCCAGACGCATGCAACGCATCCTGTGCTTCGAATCCAGGAAGTCCAGCATAGAAATCTTGTCTGGCAAGCTCCCTGTGGTCGAAGTCTTTGTTTGATTTCACCCAAGCGGTAAGCGACGCTGGGAGAACGATTTTCTGACCACTCGGGACGGAGAGGGAGATCGGGCCTTGGTGTTTTGCGAGGCCGTTGGTGATCAACGATTCGGCGTTGGTGCGATACTCTTGATGTGCTTTTTGGGAAAGAGGGTCAAGGGGAAAATCATTGATGGCGGGAAAGACTGAGCGACGTCTTGAACGGAATAGAAATGTGATGATTAGAACAATAAAGAGAATCCATACACGGATGTTGGAAAGAAATTCTAGAATCATATTGGCGCTGTGTACAGTGACTTTTGCGAAAATAAATGGAAAGGTTGATTTTGAATACATCTAAACTACGAGACTGCAAGCATCATATACCCAACTTGGAAGCTTGAGAAGCAGTTAAGTTACTGTTATCTACTCAAAATGAGTCATTATGAACAACCCCGGGTGAAACAAGGGATAACCTGAATAGCTCGAGAAAAAGACAATAAAGTGGGTTGCAATTCTAGCTAAATATTGCTGCAACTGCTCTGAGGTCTAACTACTAGCTCTTTCTGTTTCTTTGACTGAATAGGGAAACCTGCTTAACTCTCTTCATCTACTATGCAGAAGATTTTAGTGTACTAACTACATGGGAAGCTAATCTGAAGGGGGTAGGTCCAGCATCTTGGCATAAATTACACCATAAATAACAGCAGGGGTTCTTAGGGCTATTTCGGCCGCGCTGTTTCGTCCAAGGAAGAAATACCTATGAGTTGTCTTTAGATTCAACTGAAGTTGCAATGGGTACTTCAGTAGACAATGTCTAAACGGCCCGACGTTGATTTCTCGATACTATCGATAATCCGAGGCATTTACTCCTTAATCCTTACCTGCCCGGTTGCCAAGCTCGGTGGCATTCTCCGCATAACTGACCGAATGTTTCCGCTGCTCCACTTTCAAACCCGCTTCGACGTCCATCCTCCGTTGTTCGGCCGACACATCTCCAAACAAAATATCAATTTCTTCCAGAGTCTTACCCTTGGTCTCCTTGATGAAAAAGGTAGCAAAGACACTCATAGCAAGACAGAAGATTCCAAACATGAGGAATGTTCTCCATCCAATATTGTTGACGGCAGCTGGAGTGATTTTGGTAATCACAAAGTTGAAGAGCCATTGGGTCGCAGCGCCCATTCCGACACCGTAGGAACGGAGGCGCGTAGGAAAGATCTCGGAGAGATAGACCCATGGAACTGGACCCCAGGAAGCTGAGTAACCAATGACATATAGGTAGATCATGGCTGCCATGGCCATGGATGCCGAGCTTACAGTAGACGATGAGGGGTTAGGTGGGTGGGTTGCGAGTACGGCTCCGATGATGAACATCATGGATGACATCCATACCGCGCCAGCCATGAGAGATTTCTTGCGGCCGAGGAAGTCGATGCCGACGAGGAGGAAAATTCCCGTAGTGATGACCTTGACAGTGCCGTAGATGCCAGTTGCGAACAGGGAGGCATTGGAGGCAGATACCCCAATAGCTTGGAAGATTTGCGGCGCGTAGTAACCTAGATGATGTGAGTTGATTTTCTTCCAATCTCTGAGACATGAAAGACTTACCAATCGAGTTTGTACCGCTGAACTGTTGCCAGAACATGAGAACGAAACCGGTGATGAACCGATATCTGTTCCCAGGGAGAAGGCACTCTTTCCAAGTAATTCCTTCGGTCTGGTTGAGCTCTTCTTCAACAGCAGCGCGGATCTCTGCCAGCTCCTGCTGCAACTCCGGGCTGTCGGGCGTATCGCAGCGAATGAAGCAAAGAGACTCGACAGCCTCTTCATGTCGGCCCTTTGACATCAACCAACGAGGGGATTCCTTTAAGAAGAAAAGGCCGAGCAGCATGAAGCCGCCAGGGATGAGCTGAATAGCAACAGGAACCCTCCATTGCTTGGTTTTGCTCGGCATGTGTAGATTCACACCATATCCAAGCCAGTAAGCAAACGTGCTGCCGATGACAAGGAACTCCTGGAAAAGACCTGCTATGCGTCCACGAACAGCTGGAGGCGCGCTCTCAGAAACAAAAATTGGTGTGATGGAAGACATGCCACCGATGCCGAGACCAGCAATAACGCGGCCACCGTAGATCAGACCAATCTCGTGATGAGCACCGGTCTGGAGCGCAGCACCTATCAGAAAGACCACAGACAAGCCCATGAGAGAGTATCGTCGGCCAAAACGCTCGTTGAGCCATGCTGCTCCTATGGCGCCGAAGAAGCATCCTGCCGTTAAAAGCGACACTACATTAGAGGAAACTGTAGCGTTCTTGGAGTCGGCGAAGCCAGACTTGTCTGTCGGCAAGCCAAAGTCCCGTTTGAAAGATTTGAGCGCAAGAACGCTGCCCATAACCCCGGTGTCATATCCTATGGCGAATCAGCTATGATGTCGAGTTGAACAAGAACTAGTCGCATACCGAAGAGCAGCGAGCCCATGTAGGCAACGCCAGTTAGCAGATAGACTCTGCGGTTCTTGAAGAAAGCGGACGGCATTCTGTCGTTCAGTTTGCTGACTTGCCTGACTTTGAGAAGGGTGAGCGAAGCCTTTCTATAGCAAAGACCAAAAGCTAGTAAAGTGGCACCACCAGCAATCCTGCGCCCGGAGGTTGCATCGCTATCTTCTGTAGGAGTCCTCCCGACCCCACACTCCACTTGCCGTAGCTATTGGGGACAGTAGTGTGTGGGCAGACCCAGTTTTCTTTTCTTCCACCAGTCGTCTGCTGCTGTTCGTGGTGGCTCGAGGTCAGCTTCACGTTGTCTTTCGTCATCTCGTGCATATAGGATAATCTTGGTGTACTGCAAGCATGCTCATGGTCGTTTCTGATGTCCAGCCATGCTATACAATCTAAAATAACAAAGACAAGCCTCCCAAGCCATGTCTTGCCGGAGCGCCGCAATGCTTGGTGCTGCACAGCGGATGCACGTGTGGAGCCTAGTGCGTGGTGCTAAGTGGTGGCCTTTCTGCCCAACGGATAAATAGAGGGATCGCTGGCAGGTATTGCCTCGGGCTCTGAGAGTCATGAAAGCGTAAGATGAAACGCATATATATGAATGTCGACGCCGCTCTGTGTAACGTTAAGAGTTCTATTAATTCTCTATTTGTTCCTGAAATGCACCGCAGCATGACGTGTGGTTTGCCCGGTTCCGAGGCTACACCGACCCAACAAGTGGCGACGGCGTGTCCAGAGTCGTTGGGTGCTGGCGTTGAGCTCTCGTTGGGTGAAAAAGTCACTGCAATCGATGCTTGAGACAGGTTACCTAAACAGGAAATAATGTCTTGGACTCTCAGTTGCTTTTATTAGGTCCACGTTCGTTTGGCCAACATGACTGCTAATAATCAAAATATCCACATTAGATGACGCACGCCAAGTCCCCACGTTGATACTTACTGTTGTGTATTTGCAAGTATGACGAGTTCCTTGGCATGTATTTGTCTTCTGAATTGTAAAGTTTATTGGTAGCATTGGGTTCGTACCAAACCCCAGTTGATGTTTATCTAGGGTTGAAAGAACATCGTTCAGTAGCGAGGTATTCAGTGACAACACATATTTCCTGTCAATACACCAATTGGAGCTGGTATGAAGCTCAATACTGGCAATGAAGAAACTACATAAATGTTCATGATAAGCGGCTCAAAGCTTACATACGAGTCGAAAGTAACCTCATTGAGTAACCCCGACTATACGTAAATACGCAAATGGCTACGGCTAGTAGTAGTAGTAGCAACGTCCCACCTATCTACACTCTAGTCGACCATACCTACTTATCATCACACAGTCTATTCCGCCAGACAAGATACATCCCAAACCGCAGTCTTCGATCTCTACACGCATTTCAACCACATAAACATACCATCTCTCAATTCCCGTAAAGTATCACACCATTTCAAGTAGTTTGAACGCGACCTCGGAACTCCAATTCCCATTACTATCCTCAAAAAACATCGGAGTAACAAATCCACTCCGACCTGCATTAACCCAGCCAACCACATTCCGCGGGGCACCCTCGTCACCACCGAATGCAAAGAAAAACCGGGCGTTCCACTAGTCATTCCTTCCAAGCGATAGGGCGCACATAATGCACGCTGTGCAACCACCCGCCACGTCTTGATTACCCGTTTGCCGCAATCCCGCCGTCAACGAGGCCTCCGTTGTCGCAAACTGCCAAGACACCCACACCGTGCTGGATACGGTATAAGATGTGCGGGTTGCCGCGCTCCGCAGTTGTAAGATCGACAACGGGTCTGCAAAATAGTCGATGACATGTAAACTCCATGCAGGTGGATTTTCCATGTGATAGACTACCAACGCAGAGTTAGCTACAAGACAAGTTTTTTCTTTGTGTGGATTTGGTTCACGCTGTCGCGGAGACTTGACGCAACTTGTACCTTTTTTTTCACTATCTTTTTATCTGTCCATATTGTGTTGAACTGCCAGCGAGACATAAGAGTAGGGAAATCATTCTTCATTTGCCTCGTCACAATGGATCCAATCGCAAGTCCAACAAGCCAGACAAACACCCTACCAACGCCCAGCGCCAAAAAACCCTCTGAAGAAATCCATACTCCACTCCACCACGCCGACCCAAAAATGAAATCCTACCCAACACACCAAGCCAGCGAAAAACCCACCCAAAGCTACGATGCAGAAACTCCCTCTCATCCAACAGACCCCGAACCCGGCCTCGCCCTCACCTCTCCCACCCCAACCTCCGAATCCCCCTTCCCCGAAGGCGGTCCCCGCGCCTGGCTCGTCGTCCTCTCCGCCTTCCTCATGCTCTTCCCCTCCTTCGGCCTGCAAGTCTCCATTGGCACGCTGCAAGACCACTGGTCGCAACACCAACTCTCTTCCATGTCCTCACGAGACATCGGCTGGATACCCTCCCTCTTCGTCTATCTCTCCCTCGCCCTTGGTATCTGGGTGGGTCCGCTATTCGACCGGTACGGCCCCCGTTGGATCGCGCTGGGCGGAAGCGCCGCGTTCCTCGCCATGGTTTTCTTGCTAGCAGAGTGCAAGACGTTTTGGCAGATGCTGCTTTGCTGTGGGGTTCTAGGTGGATTCTCGTGTGCGGCGCTGACGACGACGAGTTTGGCGGTTGTGGCGCATTGGTTTAAGGAACGGAGGGGGTTGGCGCAGGGAGTGGCGATGATGGGGAGTTCGGGGGGTGGGTTGGCGATTCCGCTGGTTCTGCGGACGACGCTGCCAAAGTATGGGTATGCGTGGTCTCTTAGGATACTGGGGTTTGTGTTTTTGGGGTGTTTTGCAGTGGCGAATGCGTTGATGAAGGCGAGGATTCCGCCGTCGGCGGCGGCGAAGAAGAAGGCGATTATTTCGCCCTCGATCTATGGGGATTTGAGACTTAGCTTGTTTACGCTGAGTGTGTTTGGGTTTGAGGTGGTGTTGTTTGGGGGACTGGGGATTTTGCCGACGTATGCGACGCGGAGTACTAACTTCCCGCCTGATACTGGATTTTATCTCATTGCGGTACTCAATGGGGTTTCTTGTCTCGGACGCTTGCTCCCGGGGTACGTTGCGGATAAGATTGGGAGGTTTAATACGCTCTTCATCATGATAGTCTTCACGCTGTTGTGGATGCTGGTTCTTTGGTTGCCTCTTGGAACTACTTCACTGCCGGCACTGTACGCTTATACGGCCCTCTTTGGATTCGGAACAGGTTCCTGGATGGCTCTGACGCCTGCTTGTGTCGGGCAGTTGTGCAGAGCAGAAGAGTTTGGCCGCTACTATGGGAGTATGTACTTCATAGCTTCTTTGGCAACCCTGGTCTGTATTCCGATTGGTGGTGAGCTCGTGGAGACCGTTGGACCTCAGCCCATGGTGGCCTTTTTTTGTGCAGTTCTTGGGTTGAGTTTGATTAGCTTTTTGTTCAGCAGGTGGGCCTGCGTGGGAAGGCGGTGGATATTGAAAGTGAAGGTATAGAATAGGAACTTGTGTTCTACAGAGTAACATAGATCAGGCTGAAGAGGGCTTTTTGCTTTAGGGCATCTGTACCGTCATGGAATAAAGATTTTGCAATATAAAGTAATCTCGAAAAGTACACTACGATGTATATAATCTTCTGTTTGTGCTTTGTGCGTACGCTGCTCTCAAATCATCAACATCCAAAGTCTCCAAGTCTATGACAGGCTAAGGAAGCGTTGCTTTTAGTCTCCTTAAAGTCGTATGTCTCCAATTAAACATTCGAACCTGCGTCTTACTTACAAACCCCAACCCCCACCCGTGTGCGGGGCCAGCATACAAGTAATTACAGAATATACCAGTCAGGCAATAGTATTTCATAGCATGCATTCGATGTACCTTTTTAGCTTTGGGTACGCTTTCCATTGTCCAATCTTCCCATAAAAAGCCGTAGACAAGAGTTTTATTATACAACAAGAGGACAAAAAAAGCGCCACTAGGATAGCAGACAAAAACAGACCGGATCCAAGAGCGCCACCATCCATTGCCATATCCATTTCCTCCCATTGCCGTTACTTCATTTAGTTTTTCTCAATTGTCGCTATAATCTGTTTTCGCTCACCAATTGACCGCAATGGAACGCCGCATCCAACAGTATCCAGAATCACAACGCGCATATCAAGAAACTTGTGCTTGAAATCTCACTTTAGACTGCGAGGCGAGAGTGCACTTGTTGATACTGAAGTATGGGCCGTAGCAAGGGTTTTGCTGTTTAAGCCTTGTTCCTGCCGCTTCGGCGTGGCGTACCGTCGGCAGTGGCGGCCTTCTTGGGCTCCTTCTTCTTTGCGGGTTCCTTTTTCTCCTTCTTAGGGCGGCCAGGCTTCTTAGCGGGTGTCTTGGTCTCGGTTTCTTCCTTGGCCTCGCCTTCGCCATCGGCTTCGTCAGTCTTTGTTTTCTTTTCAGCAGGCTTCTCAACTTCAGCATCAGCGTCAGCATCCGCGCCGTTGGTTTTCTCAGAAGTCTCCTCGACCTTGCGCTTGTCGCCGGTCTTTGGGTCATCCTCCTTGTCAGCCTCGGACTTTTCGTCAGACTTTTCATCGGATTTCTCCTTTGATGCATCATCCTTGGCGTCTTCTTTTGTCTCGTTGGACTCTTCCTTCGTGGATTCGCCGTTAGTGTGAGCCTCTTCCTTCTTCTCCTCACTGTCAGGTGCGTCTTTCATTTCCTCATCCTTCTTTTCGGATTCAGCCGGCTTGTCATCTTCCTTCTTGTCTGATTCAGCCAGCTTCTCTTCCGACTTCTCGGCGTCGTCCTTCTTGTCATCCTGCTTGGAGTCGCCATTGGCGCCATCGGCCTTTTCATTGATCTGAAGCTCGGAGGCACGCTTCACGACATCGTTGCCTGACCTCTCAACGTGAACCGCAGGGTTTTCAGGGTCGGCATTCTTCTTGATCGTGTTGCCCTTGTTGGATTCAATGGCAAGCTCGCCCTGCTCCTTGACCTCGGCAACGGTGCCGCTGGGCTGTCCTGAACCCCAGTTCCATGAGACTGAAGATAGACGCGTTAGCAATGATGTTGTACATTCCCAGCGAAGACATGATCGAGGCGACCGAGACTGCATTAACGCGCCGGGATGCGCGAAGAGCGCGCGTGAGTGGGTGCAATGCGCCGAACGGGATCTGACTATACGTAGTCGCGCCGGGCTCGATATTGTGGGAACATAGGAAGAATGAGAGGCGCGTACCTTTGTCTCCTTGTTGAATTTCGGTGTCAGTCATTGTGTGTAACGTGGGTTTGCAATCGCAGGTGATATGGGATGACGTTATGCTTCGCGAAAGAGCCTTTGGCGTCGCAGAAGCAAGGTAGTGAGGAAGTTGACGCGCAGAGTGCTTCCAAAGATGATATGGTATGTAGCGATGATGTACAGACAGTGATCAGAGACGCGACGTGTAGATGAAAGAGAAAACAGAGGAATGGGCGTCGGAGAATGAAGTGCTGGGAAGAGAGCTGCAAGATCGGTAGCTATGGCGGTGGATTGTGATTGGTCGGACCGGGCCCACGCGTGTTGCATTTCATGGGGAAGGTGGCTGGCACGGCGTCATCGGCTAGTCTGTGCGGCGTTCGCATCGCGCAAAACACCCCGGTCCGTCTCAGAGTTTTACTGGATTTGTACAGAAGCGCATGTTCCAGAAGGCCATGGAAGAAGGCCATATCCATCTCTACAAAACAGATGTATCTACTATCATACGAGAAAGGAAAATAATACAGCTACTGAGGTGCTCGTATCCATGATAGCCAGAGGATAGTTCAGCGGGAACCTCATTGTCGTGCACCCAATCACGTCGCCCTTTATATCACCGAGCCTACAACCCCTTGCTCCCCAGCGCAGCCGTTATTTCGCTCCTTCTCTGGCCGTGCTCATAGTCAAAAGCTTGGACGAGGCCGTTGAGATGACTTGCGGCAGCTAGAACAACCAGCACGTGGAATATCTGGTGGCTGGAGCCCCAAATATCGTATTTTCCCGGACTCCACTTCTCGGGCACTCTGGCGGCATAGATAGCAGCACCGCTGATGTACAAGACGCCTTGCAACAGAATCCAGTCCAGTCCAATACTTCTTCGCAGGTGTTCGATTCCATACAGTTGTATCCCATGCAAAACAGGGAACACAGCAGAGAGGCCCATGAGCACGAACATCAGAGCTCGAAAGGGGCGAAGCGCTGGCGTGCGAAATTTGGGATGTGTGGATACGATGGAAGTTCCCGCTGCCAACGTCGTGATCATGGCCCAATATGTTTTCCTCAGCTCGGGTTCATCTTGGAAGGCATAGTACAGCACTGGAACAAAGCTGCCCCAGATCAAGAAGACAATGCCTAGATAGTCGAGCTTGTTGCCCCATACGGCTACCTCGTGCGAGTGATTTTGGATGGTGTGATACGTTCCGCTCATACCCAGGCATGCCACTGCTCCGACAAAGAAGCACCCAAAGGCCCACATATCCTCCGTGGTTGCGGTCGCGTATCGTGGTCCCAATGTGAAGTACAGAGCGATGCCAGTCACAGCTGCTAGGAGAGCCCCGATGAGATGCGTATAGATGTTGACGGTTTCGTTGTGCAAGTATCCAAGGCTCTTCCACGACTTGGAGTAGGAATTTGACTGCGCTCGGTAACCAGTTTGAATGTAATGGTTGTCTTGCTGCCATGGCGATAGCTCGTCCCATACCAATATTAGCTTTTCCTCTACCTTTTGCTCTATCTTTTTGCCGGCATCTGCGGCCTTTGAGGCTGCTTCTTTGACAACATCCATAATTGCAGTAGGAAATGGTCAAGGTAGATATTAAGTGTTCACTTGGTGTCGAGTATGGTTGTCCAGTGGTCGAGGGTTAAATGGTGTGAGGCGACATTCGAGGACGAGCCAACTGGTACATATGTACTTCCAGGGACCTCTGACAAGCTATGCCACATCCAGTGAATCTTGCGAGCATCACACGTCGCCTTTTGACAATCACCAAAGACTCAACAGAATTCCAGAAAATCGATGACATGGCACGTCTGCTATCACGCCGTCCCAGCGGGGTAGCGACGCGGTTCAAGTCGAGCTCGGGCGCGCTTGCCCCTCCATCCCACCTTGCCTCGATGGTGTCTCCTACGCGACTGTCTTTATCCAAGCCCATCATGCCTCGCAATGCCTCTCAGCAACGACACAGGCCGATGCTGAAAACATCTCTCGGTCTAACTTGAACATTTCGTTTCTCGCATAACCACATCAACCGCCTCCATGAAGTCCACCGACCCCGTTCGTCCAAGCAGCCGTCGTGCTGCATCAGGCGCATGGAACCGCCTCAAGCCCGTCCGAGAAGACCTTCTTGAAAGCTACGGGCTCCCCAGCAAAGGCGAGACACGGTACCATATGCCTCTGCCTCGCCTTTAACCAGCACACCCACTGATTGCGCAGACTCAACGACTTCAAGACGCAAGAAACCTACTTCAACCGCATCATTGAGCGCTACATGAAACTCTGCGCCCTCAACCGCGAAGAACTAGACCACCTCTTCGCCTCCGCAACCGACACAAAAAACAGCGAAGCAAGCTCCAAACTCACCAGCTCCTTCTCCTCCTTGTCCCTCTCCAAATCCAAACACGCGCCTCCAGAATACCAGAACACTAAACCACTACCTCCTCCTACTACTACCCCATCCGCCCACACAATCCCACAAAAAGCGTTCGCGCCCTCAATCCAAGAACTAGAAACCGTCCTCTCCTCCCTACGTAAACTCCGTGAAGCAATCACAGCATCGAGCCGCTCGGACGCCTTCGCCTTCCGCGCTTACACATTTGCCATCCACGTCAGCATCCTCTGCCACGACTGGACCTCGTATCTCCCCTCCCTGCTCTCCCTGCTCAACATAATCCACCCGCGGAACCCTCTCCCGCCATCTACCCTCCACGAATTCGTTGGCCTCTTAATCCTCGATCAAGCGTGTCGCCAGTCGGATTTCTCGGGCGCCCGCCAGACGAAACTGCAGTATGGGTATAAGGACTGGCGGGTTGAAGCCGTGCTGAGAGCTTTGGTTGCGGATGATTACGTGGGGTTTTGGCGCGTGCGCAGGGCGGTAGATGGGTATCAGCGGAGCGTTATGGAGTGGGCAGATGGAAATATGAGGGTACATGCGCTCAAGTGTCTAGGAAAGGCGTATTTGAGTGCAGATCGGCCGTTTGTGGAGAGGACGACGGAGAGACGGTGGGAGGAGCTTGTGCAGGAGGGAGTAGGGTGGGAGTTGAGTGCGGATGGGGAGAAGGTGATCATTAAGAAGCCAAAGGGGGCGTGAGGTAGTGGATTGCGATGTAGTTGAAACGCGTGTATTGAGGTGTATACAATTGCGTGATGCAAGCGTCCAACGGGGTATCATTACAGATCATTTTTACGTCAATCACTCTTCCATCTCCTCATCTTCATCGTCCTCGCCCTCCTCTCCAGCATCCGCAGCATCCTGCCATACATCATCATCCATGTCGTAATCCTCAAAATCCTCCATCTCCTCATCCCCCTCGGCTTCCTCGCCTTCTCCCTCAGCAGTCTCCCCCTTATCCGCCTTCTCCTTCCTCTTCTTCTCGATATTCTCCCGCTGAATACGTCGCCTCTCCTCCTTTTCTTTGTTCTTCTGCTGCCATCTCTTCTCCAGCTCCTGTTCCTCAGCCTTACTCTTGGTAATGAATTCGTGCCACAGGACTTTTCCGCCACAGACGTCTTCTTCGACTTTAGTGAGGCGCAGCTTCATGCGGGGGCCCAGCTCAATCAGCTTGACTGCACGTTTTTCCACACGTGGTTTGGAGCCGCGGGCGCGGGCGTGCGAGGTCTCGTCGCCAGCTTTGAGTTTTTCTTTTTCGCGGCGTGAGAGCACTTTTTGGCGGACTGGGGCTGTGACTTCAACCTCGGCGTCTGTGTCTTGTTCTGTGTCTGAGGCGGATGTGTAGCCTGCTGCTGAGGGGTCGAGCATGTAGTCTGCGACGTCCTCGAGCTTGCCTAGGTTAGGAAGTGCGCCCTTCTTTCTTTCCCTGCTTCCTACAAGCTTCTCGGCTGCGTAGAGTCGTCGGATGGCTTTTGGTATTCCCACTTGCTTTGTTGTGATTGCATAGTGTCTCAAGCTGATATTGATAGACCCGGTGTCCTCGGAAGGAGGCTCGCGGTTAAGGAGGAGAACTCGCTTGATCGAATGAAGAGGGGTAGTGTGCGGTTGGATTGGTGGGAAAAGACCTTGAAACATATCTGTCACGAGCTTCTCGAGATGCTTTGGTGGTGCTTTTTCTCCCAGCTTTTCCCTGTCGCTGTCACTTGTCAAGAAGTTGTTCATGACGAGTAATGGTGCGACCAAGTAGTCGCTTGCGCCGGATCGCGGGCGCTTCATGGCTTTGATGATATCTTTGCAGAGAGAATAGTTTTCAACGCGGAAGTGGAGCGTAGGGCCTCGGGGAGTACGGGCGAGTCGAAGGTTTGTGTTGCCGCTTTCTGATCTAGAGAAGAGAAGCAGATGGCTAACGCCTAGCGGACCGCACATGACGAGGTAATCCTACAAGTTGTTAGAGATTAGGACAAAAACCGAGGGCCTTGGGATGAAGCATACCTTGAGCTTGTTCGCACGTCGCTCTTTGAGCCTAATGGCGGTATCAGGTTCCAAGCAATGCCTGACATCGTTGACGAGGTCGGAGATAGATTTTCCGACTCTAAGCTGTGTGAGCGGCTTGATTAAAGACTTTTGGCAGAACCCAACTCACTCTTGTGCACCAATCCGGATAACCATGGACTTGGGACCTGCGACAGGTTTCTTGGCCAACTCCTTGTCCTTTGCCGACTGCTTCTTTCTCGCACTTCCTCTTCCACGAGCCATTGCGACAGCTCAATCGTAAGTCTTCGGGCGGGTCTATAGCTTCAAAGTCGGCTTTTCCGAAACTCAACCCTGCTGTTTGTATCACAATTCTTGGAAAGTGAACCAGGGAATGGCGCAGTAGTAGGCGAAAGTGGGACTTGGGGTGTTCGACTGAAAGCAGCCGTCGATGTCGTGAAATCGCCTGCTCTATCGCGACCGGTCGCGAACTGGAAACTTTTCTGTGGGTCTGGTCCACTTCGCCAAGATTTCGGTGGTCTATGCGTGCCATAGGCTGGTACCAACTTCAACTTGCGCACATCTTTCCTGGGCTCTTTCTTCACACCAAAATGCCTGGATTTGCGAAGAGAAAACGAACCGAAGACGCGCGTGTTGCGGCTGTGTCGGCGTCAAAAAAAGCGCGACCGTCGAGCGCACCGGCGAAAAAAGTTGTGGCGAAGCCCGCACCACCACCAGAACCCGAGTCGAGCGATGACGACGAAGAGGAGGGAGAGGGGGATGGTTCAGACAATGCTGAAGATCAGAATGTAGCGAATGCATCTGGGTCTGAGCAAGAGGCGGAAGCTGCTACAGTTGGCGCAGACGAGGCAAAGAAGACATTTGCCGACCTGGGCGTGCGCGAAGAACTTTGCGACGCTTGCGAAAACCTCAAGTTCACGAACCCGACACCCATCCAGGCTCAGGCTATACCTCTGGCTCTCGAGGGTCGCGATGTCATCGGACTTGCTGAAACTGGATCTGGAAAAACGGCTGCGTTCGTCCTACCAATTCTTCAAGCACTGCTGGAGAAACAGCAATCGCTCTTTGGGCTGATCCTGGCACCGACACGAGAATTGGCATATCAAATTGCACAGCAGGTTGACGCTCTCGGCAGCATCATCAATGTCAAGTGTGCGACGCTGGTGGGAGGAATGGACATGGTACCCCAAGCAATTGCTCTGTCTAAGAAACCACACATTATTGTTGCTACACCTGGTAAGTTGAGTCTGCCTAACCCTGAGGAGCAAAAACTGACGGTATAAAGGACGTCTACTCGATCACCTGGAGAATACCAAGGGTTTCTCTCTAAAACATCTCAAGTACATGGTTCTCGACGAAGCCGATCGGTTGCTCGACCTTGATTTCGGACCGGTCCTCGATAAGATCTTGAAGGTACTACCTAGAGAAGGACGGCACACATACTTGTACTCGGCGACCATGAGCAGCAAAGTTGAGAGCTTGCAAAGAGCTGCCCTGCAGAACCCCGTCCGAGTGAGCATCAGCAGTTCGTCCCACCAAGTCGTTTCAACACTCCTTCAACGATACATTTTCCTTCCGCACAAGTACAAGGACCTGTACCTCATCCATCTCCTGAACGACAACATTGGCCACCCAACCATCATCTTCAGCCGCACAGTCAACGAGACACAGCGCATAGCCATCCTCCTCCGCACTCTCGGCTTCGGTGCTATCCCTCTTCACGGCCAACTCTCACAGTCCGCTCGTCTGGGTGCACTCAACAAGTTCAAGACTCAAAGCCGCGATATCCTCGTAGCTACTGACGTAGCAGCCCGTGGTCTGGACATTCCCGCCGTCGATCTCGTCGTCAACTTTGACCTACCCAGCGATTCACAGACATATGTTCACCGCGTTGGCCGAACAGCACGTGCTGGAAAGTCTGGCAAGGCTGTTTCATTTGTCACACAGTACGATCTTGAAATCTGGCTGCGTATCGAGAATGCGCTTGGTAAGCAGATCCCAGAAGAAGTCATCAACAAGGACGAGGCGATGGTGTACATGGAGCGAGTCAATGAGGCACAGAGGATAGCAGTCAGAGAGATGAAAGACCTCCACGAGCAGAGGGGCAAGGGTGGCCGTGGAGGCAGAGGCGGCGGAAGGGGTCGTGGTGGAGGAGCAAGAAGAGGACGCGACCAAATGGACACTGAGGAAGGTTAATTTCTCAAAAGTCTACATGCGACTTTCCTACTTTTCAAGTTCAATTCCCTTAGCGTATACCCTATGAGCTGCTTGATCCGGTCAAAAAACCATTCATGGAGAAGATGGCGCCCAGTTTAGGACCGCGCAAAAGTCTGTTGTTCCATTATATAGATTTTGGTGCGTGTAATGATTACGATGCCCCCTGAGCAAATCCAAACATGATCCCGAGTAATCATTCCCTCAACTAAAGGCGCGACCACAAAATATGTAAATACACTTGTAGGTAAGAGGAGGAAATCGATGATCGCGGCGGGGGAAGTACTTAGCGCCAACAATAGCGCATTATTCTTTCCCTGCAAGGGAACCACAATTATCGATAATAGCTGTTAAAAAAAGCCCAGACGGGCGGCATCGGCAACTGTTACAATTGCCTATTTAGTGTTACTAACAAACGACCTCTTCCAATCTTTTTATATCTCACATCCCTCTTTCCCATCAATTCCAGTATCAAACCCTCTCAAACCTCTTGTAGTTATTATTTATCCCTTCCCTAGAAGGAACTTTACTCAATCCCATCTACCCATCCACCCCTACTCCGTGCAAGATATACCATAGAAGAAAACATGGAAACTCCAGACGTCACGCTCCCCAACCACACCCCCATCGCCACCGCGCCCCGCGACATCGACGCCATCAAAGCGCAAGAAAAAGACTGCACGCTCCCCTTCTGGAACGGAGACGTAGCGTTCAAACTCGGCATCAATCTACGCACGAGATTGCTGACGGAAGAGAGACCAGCCGTCGTACACATCTCGACGATTAGTACGCCGCCGCATGTGTTGTTTCACGCTGTACGTTCTTCTCTTCCCCCCCACTAATCCGCATTTCCTTTCCACTCCCCCTCCCCCCCTCTCTGTTTTCCCGTAGGAGAAAAAAAAAGTATCCCTATAGAAATTATACAGAAAGAAAGAAAGAACTCGAGGGAAAAAAATCATGTACAGAGGAATCCAAGAGAGAAGGAGTTGGTATTGATGATACAAACTAGGTAACCCACCCAGGCACCTCCTCCGACAACGACATCTGGGTCTCGCGCAAGCGCGCCGCCGTCATCCGGTTCGCCGCGAGCACATGGCGGTTGCAGAACCAGTACGGTGGGGACGAAGAAGCGTTTAAGGCGAAACTAGGGTTGGGGGAGACGGCGGGCCAGTATGCGATTCACGGGGGTGGAGTACCGGTTTTTATCAAGGGGTGCGATGGCATGGTTGCGGTGGTGGTGGTGAGTGGGCTGAAGCAGTGGGATGATCATCAGGTTGTTATTGAGGAGATGGGCAAGTTGAAGGGGGAGATAGAGAGGGTGGGGGGTGTGGCTTGAAAAGAGGTGATATGATAATGTGGTGTGATTTATCGGCTTGCCGTTGTGATTCTTTTTTTTTGCTTGTCAGAATAAAGTATCGAAAAGGTTAATAGCACAGACAAATCACTTTGAATACCACAAAAAATGATCTCTCAATATCTTGATGATTAAATGCTTGATTCATAGATTGGTAACTATCATTATAACTTCATACACTACTTCCTTTTACCTCTCATCCAATAATCATACAATTGTCAGATTAAACTGGCTGATAAGCCTTCATGCATTAAATTTCCAATACGTTCCACTTAACCAGCCTGGTAAAGACCAAGAGCAACAACATGAGGATTGATCATGCTGAGGTTGAAAGGAGTAAGGTACGGGTCAGAATCGGTAAGAGCAACAAACATGGTGTCGTTGGCAGCAGGGTCACCCTCGTAGACTTCGCCGGCAGGCTGGTAGGTGTATCCAGTGTTGTTGCCGGTAATCTCCAGAGGAGTGTAGGTGAGGTTGAGCTGCGAGACCCAGGCGACGAAAGCGGGGGCACCGGCAACGGTATCGGTGATGTATGACATGTTGGGGCCAACAGGCTTACCGGGGTTCTCCCAGGTCAAGTTGACGAGCTTGCCGGGGAAAGAGAGGGGCTCGGTGCGGTTGCGTGCAATGCCAGGGGAGCATGAGTAGCCAGGGTGCTCAGTGGCGTTGACGTTTACACAGCTCTCATCGGCGGGGATGGTAGAGTCGGAGGGGTCAGAGGGGCGACGGCCAGCAACCTCGTTTGGCTGGGTGTCGTTGGGAGAGAAGCGGTTGGGGTTGGGCTGGTTGTCAATGAACAGAGCCGGGAAGTTCTGCCATGCCAGACGAGTGGTGTTCTGAGGGCAAGAGCTGATGTATGGGGCAAGGTAGGTCCACGCCCATGACTGAGGGATACCAGTCTCAAACCATACGGGCATGGGTGGGAGGCCCATCATCTGACGGAAAGAGATTTGCTGGCGGGCCTCGGTAGCAATGGACAGGGAAAGCATGTTGGCGACCTCGCGAGAGTCTAGGTGGGCAATGAAACCCCAGACACCAGATTCACCCCAGCGAGTCACCTTCATGTTGAAGTCGATGAACTCGCGGACAGTGCGGAATGGGTAGTCGTATGTGCATTGAGGAGGAGCAGTCTCGCCAAGCATGTTGGAAAGGAGAGTGGCATGGCCAGTTTCCTGGACAGCCATAAAGGCAATGTAGGCGCGGTCCTCAGCAGTGAGGCCAGCATCGAGGAAATCTTGCTCAGAGAAGACGGCGAGACCGTTGTTGAACAGATCGAGCTCAATCCACTCCTGGTACAGACCAAGAGCAATGGACTCGTAGTCAAAGTCGCTGTTCACCATGTAGCGAGGCAGAGTGCCATTGGTGCCGAGACCACCAGCTGGCATGTAGGGAATGGGCATCGGGTCCTGAGGCTTGCCATTGGTGTTATAGTAAGTAGCCGTTGGGTTTGGTGGAAGAGGAGGAATGACAGTGCCAAGGGTGGTAGGTGCCTTCTCAGCTCCGGTAGTAGTAGGGGTACCAGAGTAAGGGCCGTGACTGGTGGCACCAGTTACGTCTGAGCTCCTTCGGGGAGGAGCCGAGCCAGCAGTGGTCGGGATGGCCTAATGAATGATCAGCTAGGCTCACAATTGGCTTTGAGCATTCTACTCACAGGAACCTGGACATCAGGACCAAAGCTCGTGGCGGGAGTCTCAGCTGGGTCAAAGGTGACGGAGAAGCTGGCATCCGCACCAGTGTAGCCTGGCACATCTGGCCTGGGAGCGGCGGCAGCACATGCCGCAAGCACAGAGGTGGCGAAGAGGCTCTTGGTCAACATATTGAAAAGAGTTGTCGGTTCGTAATGTTGGGAGGCCTGAACATAGGGCGCATCTGTAGTTCAATATATACACCTAGCACAGATGCTGTGCACCAGTGACCGCATCACTTGTACGCAATTTGCAAGCAGTGTGTCAACGACAACCAGGTATGTTGTCTGAAGAGGGCTAGTACTTCATGATTTCATGACTGAGCGGATGCGGCAGTGAAAGCCGCATTCATAGAAAAGTCAGCTACGACATGGGTTTCTTGGGAATGCGATCGGGCAAATCAAGTATGCTATTGGCGAAGATCGTATGCTCCATGCTTTTCGAGCCTGCAAAAAACTTGTCGATGCAGTGTGAACGCGTGCGTGCAGGGGGCAGATCGCAGGTGGATCGCAGTATTTGCCGCGTGCTAAGAACGTGACGACGTGATGACATGGTGGAGCAGTCGAAGTTTTGAGCCGCTAGTGTTCCCGCCCCGCAAATAGGTCAACCGTTCCGATCTTGTTCGGGAGTAGCACAACGCTCAAGCCTACATCGGGTCTACAATTACTGCTGAGAAATCAGGCACGTCTTAGCCAGCCTACTCCGCGGAGTCTTGTCCTCGCGTATACTCCTTCCTCGAGCATCTTGTCGAAACGTTTATCCACATGGCCGTCATCAGCCGGTCGCCTAATAGCCAATATGCAAGGCACAGATGCAGACAAATCTCCGCTTGGCTGCTAGATGCAGGCATGCGGGCGGGCATGCCAGTGTCAACCCGGCCCAAGATGCTGGAGGTAGCGTGAGAATCGAAAAATGATCGCCTAGGCTGAGAGGAAAACAACAGACGCACGAAAGGCGTACGAACGAGATGAATTGAAACTACCTGGTGGTGCCATTGGTGGTTGCTGTCGTCCTGGCTCAGCACAAGTGCGATGACGTTTGACTTGCGCAACGTGTGCCCCATATTTGGCAGATGCGGAGATGATGATTATTGGAGACGAGTCTGCAAAACAATGCAAGGCGACATCGCAACGACAACGTGTGCGAGCAGGGGCGCTCTACTTGCCAATTTTTTCATTCGTTACATCTGAATTATTTTGCGCGTGCCATTGGGCCCCAGTTTTCGCGTGGAGCAAGCTGGTAGCGGACGTACTTTCCCCGGTCATGATCCCTGCCCAGCTTTTCGTCAAAGTTGACCTCGAACTTGGTCTCGAGGTAAGCTGGCAGCTGCTTTACTCCGTTTGTCTCTGAGCCACCATCGGCCATTTCGGCATCCTCTTGCGCTGTTGGTGCCGAGTCGACAGGCGCTGACTCTTGGGGGGTGCTTCTGGTATAGCCGGTCCCACTGGCCTTTTCCATTATGGCATGTCCCGGGCTTCCCTTCTTGATTGGATTTTTGAGCGGCGCCCGTTGCCGCACCCATTCAAGCATAACGTGCCAAATGTCTTTCCACGACGCGTCTGTCTTGATCGATCCCGGCTTGCAATGGCTCATCGTCACCCTGAACCCTGCATGTCGTAGTGCTCCCCGTAGTGCTGCCAACGGCGGAGCGGAACAATGAACTACCTTGGCAACTGCGCTGGGTATGAAGAAGAAGGGGTGATGGTCTATCTGTGCAGGATCTGCCTTGGGAATGAGGGGATCCAGAACCTCCGTCTTTTGTGCGCCATTCGACTTTTCCAGCTTTGCTCCAAACGTGATCTCCTCTAGCGCGGTGTGCAGCATGCCCTCTATGCGATCCATTGTCGGGTACGTCTGCCGGTCAGCCTCATTGAGCTGTGCTAGTACTCTTTCGATGAAGCCAACGTTATGCAGCGGGCCACCGTACATTGGCCCCGAGAGGTGGGTCTTATGTCCGCAATGTTCGCAATGCTGATCCGCGGAAGGTCCCTGAGCAAAGCCATGCTTATACATCGGGTCGCCGTTTTTGTTCTTGGTAACCTTGTTTCGTGCAAGGAACTGCGTAGACCATGCGCCACAGCCGCTTTCACAGTGGTATACGAGCATCGTCTTGCCAGCGAGTAGCTTCACATCGTTGGGCGCTTTTCGCACTCGCACAAAAACTCGAATGTAATAGTCGATGGAGAGGGACAGTAAAGGCTCAATGGCCATGCCATAGCGAGCAGCTGAGGATGCTATGGCATGTAAGATCAAGCGCAGTCCGCCCTCGTGACATGGCTCGCCCTTGAAAGGCAGACCGCCATATTGCGAGTAAGTCTTTTCCAAGTATCCATGTGATGCAAATATGGCCGAATCGGTACAGGTGACACAGAGCAGTCCATCGTCGTTGACGGCTTGAATAGCGGCATCGATAAAAGGAGCGGCAGTGCCGTATGGATCGAGGTCGATGACATCATAGCCCTTTCGGTCGCAGAAGCTGTACATGTAGGCTATAGCGTTGCCTGTATTAGCCGTAATGGTGTCCTCTAGCTTATTATGCTTGACGTTGAGCTTGATCGATTCTACCGCCTTGGGAGACATGTCGTTGGCAGTGATAGCGGTTGCGAAGGGAATCTCTTTAGCGTATCGGAGAGCACGCAGGCCAGTAGCAGATAGTGCGTCCAGGATACTAAAGGGCGGTTTCCAGGATGTTTTTTCTCCGCTCTCCACTTCTTCCTCGCTCCCATCTGGAGCGGTTTTCTGCTTCTTGGAAGGACCCGCAGTATTCTCAAGTTCAAGTTCCGCAAGCTTTCTCTTTCTGGTCGCTTCATCCTCGGCGCCGGATGTTTCGGGCGCTTCGTCGACTGGTTCCGCCGCATCTCCTGCTGCCCGACTGGCTTGCGCGCGCTGTCTCTTGCGCTCGTTCTTCTTCCTGAACTGTTCGTGCTTGTTCAATTTCCGTCGTATAGAGTCCTCGCCAAACGTCTTGATGGCCAAGACGCTTAGATCGCGATTGAATTGCTGAATAGGGTTGTAAAAGACCTGCTGTTTCTGGGTCTCTTCCTTGGACAGTTTAGGGTCGGTCGAAGTAGGCACGCCATGCGGGACGAGAATATGCGCCAGGCCCTCCTTGATGGTAGTATATTCCTTTCCTTCGTGGGATATATGCTGACCGGCTTGGGGAGCTGCGTCAATGGTTTGCGCCGCTGCGTCGGCCATGGGAACGTCGTTGGAAGCCATGGTGGAGGTTGTGTGGAATGCGCGAAGAAGAAAGCTACCAGTAGCCCATGCTTTGTAGGTAATTGCTGGGCGCGCTCGCAATCCACATATACGGCGGATCCAGGGTGTGACGGAGGCCAGATTTGAGATCGTAGTCCAGGCAAACGCAGGATATGACTGTACGGTGTATATGCAATGTCCTTGGCCGGGCTATCGTCGCGTAGAGCTCCAAATTTTTGGCTCCGGAGTTAAGCTTCACTAGCGTCTCCGTGCCTGACCCTTCCCCGCGCCATGCTTGCACCGCACCCCGTCTAAAGATACATGCGAGGAATGGCACGTGAAGGTGACTTTCATCTACGGACATTCACCAATATGATATAACCTCGTGATATTTGAAATTATGGTGGCAGATGCAGATGCTTGGCGCGTGTCGGAATCCTTCGCAGGCTAATAAACCAATGGTTGCCTGATAATGGGCGCTGAGACTCATGTGGCGTTTCATCGGTCGCCTGCCATCCTCTAGATATTATTAGGACCGATGATCGCCTTTCCTGTTCCACTATCTCTGCTCTCCCACTACTACTCTCCCATCGTGCTGTGCACCCCTACACATCAAAATGGGCAAGCCTGTCCCTCCTCCGCCCAGCTATCGCGACGACCCTGAAGCCGTGTCGCTCCGCACCACACCAGACGACTACGCCTACACTGACCTACCAGAACCCTCTGGTCTGCCTCCCTCCTACAGCGAGAGCGAATCCAGCAACCATGTTCCCGCCTCAGCAATTCCCATCCGCCATGTGGCACCACCCTCGACGCGAACAAACCACGACCGCCCCAGCTTCAAGTGCGGCAAGCCCTGCGTAGTCGAGACGGTCGATGTTACGGAACCCGCCTACGACACCGACCCAGCCCAGCTCGAAGAAGCAATCCGCGCCTACGCCAACTCGGCCCCCGTCCCCCTCGTCTACATAAGGGGCACGCACAAAGAAACAGTTCGCAAAAACGACAACAAGAGAGAAACCCACCACGTAACAGACTTCCGCATCGTGATCAACCTCCAACACTACCTCCACCCCAACTTCAACCCATCAGACACCTCCCCAATGTCCCTCGTCACCGTCTCCAACGGCGAAAAAACCCACCGCGGCACCATCCTCGCGCACCGCGCGCCCGGTGTAAAAAGCGACGTTGAAATCGGCACCACACGCGCACCTTCACTAACAGAATGGTGCCACCGCTACTGCGCCTCCCCCCGCATGCTCCGCATCTTCCGTCTGCGCCGCCAAATCACGGGCTTCGAGGAAACACAGCTCAGAAACCGGATCGTCGGGCTCCTCCGCTCGACCAACTACAGGGGAAACATTAGCGTCACGTTTCCCGTCGAAGAAGCCAACATCGACATCTACACCTCGAACCGCATCAATACGCTCCGCTTGAAAACGTGGGTGTGCTGGCTTTTCTACCTGTCTTTTCTCTGGATTTTCTCCTGGCCCATGTTGTTCTTTGCGACGAGGCGGTACGCAGTTGTGCGCGCTGAGTGGCCGTTTTCAACGACGGATGAGCGGGGTGAGAAGAGGTATACGACGGTGAGTGAGGAGCAGTGGTTTGAGACGTGGAAGGTGGCGATTCGGCGGTTGGCGCTGGAGCGGTTTGAGGGCGAGGCGACCGAGGACATGATGAGGCGGGTTATGGCGAGGGATGAGGATCCGCAGATGCCTATGGGGGATGCGGGTGTGGATGGGGCGCTGAGTCTATTGAGTGAGGGGGTGAGGGTTGTGAGGGCGATGCAGGGGGGTCACGGGGTCGACTTGAGTTTTGGGAGGGGGAGGAGTGTGCAGGGTGGTGGGTGGGGATACGACTGTTGAAAGCATCTACGCCGTTTTTCTACCTTGCCAGATTTCATTCAAGTATTCGAATTATCTTTCGACTGTTGCTTAGTCGATCTCAATCATCTTTCTTCACACCCACCCCCAAACCTCCTCAACCACCCATTCAAACTCTCCAAACCGCACCTTCCCTCCAACTGCTAGAACCGCATCCCGGAAACACACCGCACAAGGCAAAAACGCCTCGCCAATCCTCACAGTTCTCTGCCACTTCGCAATCTCATCCACCCCCTCATTCTCCGCCGCCCACTCCCAGCGCTCCACCGTCGTCTTATCCCCTTGCATCAGTATACCCTGTACATGCTGTCCCACACGTACAATCACGCCTCGAACCCCCGCAGCATCATCGTGGCACCGCAGTACAACACAAAGTTTCTTTTCTTCCTTACCAGTTGTAGGTAAAGATGTCGATTTTATCTCTTCGTCCCGCCACATCTCCTCATGCGTCTTTACCGCCTCAAGTGCTGGATGATATGCATGTCCCACTTCAAGCGTCAGCTCTTCAGACAGGGGATACATATCTCCCTCATCAACTGGGATATTCGGGTCACCGACGCTGTAGCGTGAATCGAGCCAGTGCTTCCATGTAGAATGTGTTACGTTTTCCCACTCTTCGTCTTCTTGTGGCTTTTGGGTCCCGCTGTGGGATGCGCTGGATGGCTGTATAGGCACTGATGTCGAGGTACCGGCGAATGCCCATTCGAGGCGTTGCTGGGAGCCTTGGTCGATGCTGTTTGGGGAGGATGTGGTGGATGTGGTGAAGGCTTTGTAGATGCGGATGTCGACAAAGGTGCGGAGGGGACTGGTTAGAACGAGGGTGTTTGTAGGCTCGAACTGGTGAGAGGGAAGGTTCAGTGGGTTTTTCTCGGGGAGGTGGATGGAGTAGGGGACCTCGGTGCCGGGTGGGAGGGGGTATGGGAGAAAGTAGATGTATTCGCGCTTGCTGATGTTTGAAGCTGCACCGGAGACGCCCTGACGTGTCGGTGCATTTGCATTTGGTAGGGTCGTTACTGAGGTGTTGTCACTTCCGATTGAGGAAGCTATGCTGGTAACAGATTCGGGAGGCGTGTAGACGATATCGCTAGGCCCTGTACTTGCTTGGTCGCTCATGGCACTAATTAAGACTGTATTCGCCGAGGTTTCGCCACTTTTGGGGGCGTTGGCATGAGAAGGTCCAGTCTGGCTGTTATCTCCGGTCGCCATTTTAGGCTAGAGTATGAGTCTTGAAGTGAAAGAGATGTTCGAAAGCGGTAATTAGCCTGACGAGTGCTTAGTTAGTGGTACTTGGCACGAAATGGGAGTATCAAGGATTACATATAAACCAATAGAGATGTTACAATAGATAAGCTTAGGAAATGGTGTACGTGAGTGGTTAAAGGGAAAAAGTTTAGGTTGCATCAATGTGAGTCGACGTGTATGCGAGGGTACTTCGAAGTCCAATACTCACCAACTTCACCAAATGGACCCTATGAAATTGCTTTGCAAAGTCTCAGCCTTCTGTGCAAGCTGTTGTGGTATATCTGAGTTTGACAATGGTGTCGAGTAGCGATTGCGGAGAAGCCGAGGTGGGGATGTCGTGGAGCAACGGTCCCCACTACGTCACGGCAACAGCCGTGGGTCTTGAAAGACCAATATGCAAATCATCACTGCAAGAAAATCTTTGGAAACGGCGTATCAGCAATTCGAAACGAGATTCTCGTAACTCATAAACAGACTGCTATTTTTTCTATCCGTAAATGCAAAAGTGGTACAATCTAATGCGAAACGCTCCTAGGGGTATCAACTAATTCGACACAAAAGCGACAAACAACCTTGAGCTCTCCTATACAACTCCATAGTTCAAATCATGACTACACTTCGTACTCAAGTTCATCTTCTGAAACTCCATCTCCTCTTCCTAACCATTGTCTCAGTCTGGGCCCTTGCCAATGATGGCATGGGTGGTCCCTGACCATCGAAGGTAGGAGCCCGATCTCTCCTCTGAAAAGTTCTAGCTCTGTTCCACGCGCGTTCTCTGATGCTTTCTCCTCCATCAGCAAGCTCTCTTTCGCGCTGCCTCCTCTGTTGCTCTTCGGCAGTCTGTTGCTTCCAGCCTCCTTCGGTCCTATCCTCCTGCTTCTCTGGCCAGAGTATTTGGTGGATAAAGACAGCCCGGACGTTCATGAAAATAACGAAGAACCACATGGCTATGAGACCAACAGTCATGACGCAGCCAATGTATGCAATGGGTTTGTTGCTGTTGAGGCATCGGGAGATGGCAAAAGTGGATGTTGTCAGTGCAGTGTTGGGGAAGATGAATGAGTACCATGTCATTGCGAAGTCCATCTTTCCTCGTCTGGCACATGACCAATGCGCGCCAACACTTATCAGGAAGAACCAGAGTGCAAGGCCCCAGAGCCAGAGTCCGAGAAAGTTTGCGCAGATCATGCCGACCTTGCCTGCGAGTTCGCCGTTTCCTTCTCCCATGAAGTCACTCGCGACGACTCTCGGAAGTTCTTGACCCATTGTGACAACTCCTGCTATGGTGAAACCCGAGGGACCAACGCTGATAAACATACCGGGGCGAAGCGACTCCTTAGGGAGCTTCTGCGTCATGAGGCGGTAGATGAAGGCAGCATAGATCATGAGCGAAACAAGGAATCCAATTCCTTGGATAACGTAACCAGTCAGGATGATCGTGAGGGCTGTGGTTGGATTCTCGACCTTGGGGGCTAGGTTGCCGGCATGGGGTCCGATAATGAGTAGTGGATAGGCGGGAAAAATCCAGATAGGCGTCATTTGAGAGATTGTAAATGTTGTTGTGGACCACCTATGTTTGTTAGCATTTACATTAGCGAAGTAACTATGGCAAAGACCCACATGAGCAAGTAGATGCCTACGGAAAAGCAGACAGCAAGGCCGCAGTCCATCCAGAACAAAACAATCATGATTTTCTCCAACCAATTGCCCAAGCCTGAATGGTGTACACCGTACTGACTGACGTTGATCAGGATGATGCCGAAGCTGACTACGGCGGCAGGGATAAACAGGCTCTCAGTGGGATGCAAAAATGAGGCCTTGAAGGTGCGGGGATAAAAGTAGAAACGGAAAGAGATCATGATGCAGTTGAATAGGAAAAAGACAATGTTGAGGATGAAGAAGATGCAGCCAATGGCGTAGAGGCCTCGAAAGCGGAACGGAACACTGTACAGGACGTTGGCAATGCCTCCAGTAGCCATTGTAAGACAGAACCAGGTCCAGGTAAAATGCCGTATTCGTTCCTTGAAGCTTAGCTGCTTCCTCTTCTCGGGTACATCACTCTTGAGGGTACCTCGGGCGCTGCGTCTGGTACTGACATTGCTGATAATGGGAGCCAAAGGCCTGGGCTCCTCAGTCTTGTCGGATGCATTTGTGTCAGTCTTTGAATCGTCGTGGCATGCATCCTCGACTTCTTCCTTCTGTATCTGCTCGCGCGCACCGTTTCCAAGCTTCTCACCCTGGTGGCTCAGTGGCAATGACGAGTTTAGGTTGGGGTCATCAAAGGGATTGTATTCCGTCGAGTCTGGAAATGGGGTTGCGACGTTGGGGTGACTGCGCCATTGCAGCCGTTCCTCTGCACTCGACACCGATTCGGTCGATGCACGTGATGCTGGTCTCTGGATGCTGGCAATGGATGGGAAGCTATCGGCGGGCGGTGGGCGGCTGATTGCGAGATGCTGGGCGTTTCGGTTCATTCTGCCAAGTGCCAGGTCGCAGGGGACATGCAGGGCGTGAGAATAGGTGGGATAAGTATGGTGGTGTTGGTGATGTCACTCTTTGTTCCCAGACTGTTTTTCTCCACAATGATCCACTCGTCTCCAGTTGCTGCACCGAAGGAGAAGCAGCGGAATCTATGGTTTAGAGCTAAAACCCAGAGTCAGGAGAGACGGGCCCTCTATGTACCTGCCCTGTCCCCTCCGAATTGCGCCGCTACCTGAATTTTGACAAGGTCTCCATACCGTCGATCTGCCGCAATTCCAGCCTGGACGAACCAAACTCCCGCAATTCCGCCATGGCGGCCACACCATCTCGGCTATCTACCCGGCATCCTTGCTGGCACTGAAGCCATTGTCCGCTCCAGCCTCATCTGCAGCGGTCGTGTCCCTTCTAGACAAGGCTATAGGAGAGATTTTTGGCATGCGACTTGAGGGTGCGCCTCTTCCGGTGAGAGGCTTGGTGGCGACGTCAACTCGGGATGGCAACTGCGCCGCGGTCGGACCAGGATAACAGCACTGTGAGCCCAACAAACGAACCTTCAAGCCCAACCAACCCCAATTCTAAGGCATCTTCACTCGCCTTATCTCTAACAATGCCAGCATGCATCGAAAACACATAAACTTTCTGAAACCCTAGTAAGCATACTGTCATCCATCTAAATAGGATGAGTTGCAAGCACGCGACACAGACGATCGAACCTTCCAGCTTGACTTTTCCATTACGGCCTCTCATCTTGATGCTGATTGACACATGTACACATGTCCAAGACTGTTTCTGATAAAAATTTCTCTCAACCATCTGTATTTAATCCATTTCATAGACAACCTCCAAGTATGCCATTGGCCACATGCCGGACCCTTGTTCGACATAATCACATAGTAATCACTTTAGATCACAATATCGGCCTAGGGATCGAGCAAGGTTCAAACTTTAAATTTTTGCGCCACCCTCACAAACGCCTCGAGTACTCGGTATAGTTTCCCAGTCATGATGCTGGTGAAAGCAAACATCATGCAGCTCGTGGATCCGAAAATCATAAGTATACACCAAAGTTTGCCTGGTTGGGGTGCACTGCAAATTTCAGCTTCAAAAAGTCGAATAATGCAGCACTATGACATGCAAGGAATTAATCGACAATACCACTGTCCCAAGGCCGGGCTCTTTTCGGAAAAGCAAATGTGACAAACGATAGAAAAAGCAGCCATCGGCACCCCGGTAGCTGCATGGCCATTGTTTGCTGCATGCAGAACGGCTATCGACTTTATTACAGCAGCTGAGACATCCGGTAGTCTCCACTACGGAAAGATTTGCAATCCTTACTCCAGACTCAACATTATACCACTCCTAGTGCTTATTAACTAGCTACAACTGGAAAGTAACACTTCTTTATGAAATTAGATCAACCAGGCCGCCTCAGTCGCACCAACGCAATGCAAGATTGTACCTTTGGTGTGGAGATACACCTTCTCAAGGGCACCGCAACCATGGGACATCGCATTCACAGCACATATATAACTAGTGGCTCTCCATCACCTAGTGGCAATTACACCAGTCTATTTCGATACGACGATGTTGGATTTGAAACACACACACACACACACACACAAGATTATTGGCTCTACGTGCTCCTTACATGGTAGTGATGACCCCACAGACACATACTTTGAAATAGTCTATCCTCTCTGCTGGAATCAAACGATCCAAGCAAATAAACAGCGGGACAAATAGCAGGATTAACGAAAGGATGGTCAACGTCGTTGATCTAGATCTAGTTGTCAGCGAACTGCTTTAGTACTTCTATGCTAGTACCAGTAGCTATATCAATACTAAAGTCGCTACTTTTTTTGACTAGTTTAAAGAGAATACTATCAGTGTCTAGCCTCCTCTGAACCCCCATGACGGCCTTTGGGGCTTATTGGCCCAAAGCAGGCCTTCTTAGTTGCATCTTACTCAGGGATGTAGATATAAGCCCTGTGAACGCTAACTTAGCTCAGTAGCTATTCGTCTATAGTGAATACAAACTAGTTAACTATATTTGCTATTGTCGCCCTCTCCTAGTGCCTATGACAACCCTGTTGTGTGATACGTACCTTGATCCTAGCTATGTTCCTATTTCTCGCTTTACGTACTCGCGCAATCTATATATACTTTGAAGTTATGCAGGTTTATCGCTTATGGATTTCGAATTATGTTAGGGCGTTTCATGGTAACAATAACATTTTACTATACCTAAAAAAACAGAGCAATCCAGAGGCTTACATATTTGATAGGCTAGTCAATTAGTGTCGAGACAGGGCGCTTAAGCGCGAAGAAAACCACTAAATTCCAAAAATCAAGTTCTCGCTTTGCTGTGGTTACAAGTTACGCACTACTCACTTTCCCTCAATCTTAAGAGTTAATACGTTGATGCTCCGATGCTCCGACGCGCCGATGCGCCGCCCCCTATAGTACGACGATCGAAAATGGGCCTTGGTAACCAATGAGACATTCTTTTGCCTTATATCCAATATAAGGCTCATACGAGGACTGTCTGCCATATGTAGCTTTAAATCCTCCTCCTGCCCGGCTGCTTAGCCATCGCAAACACCTTTCAAACAGCCACTGTGGCACAGAGAAGATTCCAAACGCATAACTTGGATTCTAATTCTTCACCATGGGGAATCCACAACATTCTTACCACTTCTCTGCCTTTTTGCAGGCCAAAAACCTATTAGTAATTCTTGGTTTCATGCTTGGAGCAGTAAGGGAACCTATCACCATTGCACCTTGATAACTTGTTAACTAGAACGCAGGCTATCCTGCAATTTATCCTTACCCGCTTCTATAATTTGTATTTCCATCCTTTACGCAAATGTAGGTCAAGTTTACTCGTCCGAACGACGTCGTCTACTAAGCCACCTCACCAGTCCCCGGCCCAAGACTCGCAGCAGCCACTGGACTAGTTTTCTCCTACAAGGTTCTACGTGGCGAAGAGGCTGCATGGGAAGCAGAAATGCACAGGAAATACGGTGAAGTTGTGCGGCTTGGGCCTAATCGATTGAGTTACGTGACACCTGAAGCTTGGAAAGATATCGCTGGCCCTGGAGCGGGCAAGCGCCTCGAGAACACGAAAGACCCAACGACATTCGGACCAGACTTCGCCGGTACATTGTCTTTAGGTTCTCAGCCCAATACAATGGTTCACAGGACGCACCGAAGGGTCTTTGCACCGGCGTTTAGCGACAAGGCTTTGAAGCTACAGGAGCCATTGATCCAAGGTTACCTCAACTCACTCGTAAGGATCATCAAGAACAACGCAACAGCTACCCCAGCTGTTGGATTCGACATCGCTAAATTAATCAACTGTATGACCTTTGATGTTATGGCGGATCTAGCTTTCGGAGAGCCTCTTGGTCTCCTTGATCAATCAGAGTTATCGCCCTGGGTCCAGGCAGTCCTTGAAAACGTCAGAAGGATATCAGTCGCACGTCTGGCACGCGAGTACAAGAGTTTGAAACTTTTGGTTAAGATGTTTATGACTAAAGAAGTCATGGAGGGCGCACGCCTCCACTACAACCACTCCTATGAACGGGTAGAGAAGCGGCTGAATCGAGGCATCGACATCGGGAAACCTGACATATGGAAGCTTGCCATGGAGAAGACCGATCAAGTATCAGACATGTCAAAGAAACAGATGACGGCCCACGCACAGGCTTTCATGATGGCTGGAACGGAAACTACTGCCACATTACTAAGTGGCCTGACATTCCTCTTGCTAAAGCAGCCACACTACATGCAGAGACTACAAGACGAGGTGCGTGCGCTAGGCAAAGAGGACTTGAACCTTGAAAACCTAGCCCGTTTGCCTTTCCTCAACGCATGCATCCAAGAAGGTCTTAGGATCTACCCGCCTGCCCCGATTGCCTTCTTCCGCATTACACCCAAGGGAGGCAACATGATTTGTGGACAATGGATACCAGGAGGCGTAAGTACATTTTATGATAATAATGCGAGTTGCATAACAGCTAACTGACCTACTATCACTCCAGACCAGCGTTGCTGTCCCTCACTACGCTGCCTACCACCACCCTTCCAACTTCAAAGACCCGGATTCCTTTGTTCCAGAGCGTTGGCTCCCCGGAACCGGATACGAAAGTGATCGCAAAAATGCATACAATCCATTTTCAGTTGGGCCGCGTAACTGCATTGGTCAGAAGTAAGTTCCTTCCAGTTTATCTGAAAAGATTTTCAAAAAAGAAAAGAGAGAAACAGACAGCTAACAGCTCTGGGTTGTGGTAGCCTGGCTAATCATGAGATGCGCGTCATTCTTGCATCTCTTACCTGGCACTTTGATTTCGAGCTGTGTCCGGAAAGTGCGAATTGGCTCGATCAGAAAGTGCACTTCTTGTGGGCTAAGGATCCCCTCCTCGTGAAGGCGAGGTATATCAGATAGATGGATGAGTGTATGGGGTAGAATTTTACAAGTATGCTTGAATTGTAGTTCTGTTTTTGTTTCATGATTTGATGATGTGGGTACGCATGTAAGCGTGCTTTGATCCCATCTGACGCTGAAATCTAGTCTTATCGGCTTGCTTGCTCGATTTTAATTTAATTTATTTGGTACTACTCGGTTTCAGCCTCGTTATACGCAGCTATAAGGTGGTAAATGGGCAGAGATAGAGTAGGGTTGGGTTTACGAATGACCCTATCCCTACCTTACCCCTACCCACGGCCGTGCGATCACTACTACACCCATGCCATACCTCGTGGCAGAGGGTACCGATTTGCTAGTGTAAGAAAGTATACAATTCAGCTTGTTACGGCGTGTGTCTAGCGACGCCGTGAGGTACATTTCATCTTCTTTCAATTTTACTTTTGAATTACCTGCCTTCTCTAAGTTTCTTTCACTATGTACAGCGACGTCATAGTTTAACCTACAGCGTTTGCTCGACAGTCACATGACAATACTAACCACCGTTTGCTTCTACAGCTTCCCCAGTCCAAACAAAGAACCACTAAAATTTTCCAGCGCAAACTGCGACTGCACTCCTTCCTTTGAACTCACTCGCGAGTGTTATCAGAGTGCTGGTTTTGACCACAAAGATCGAAAAACCTTCCATTCCACACGACAACCAAGATGGAGTAAGTAAGACCCACGAACATACATACATTCAGTCTCTAACAAACATAGACCACGCGACCCAATCATCACGCTGAACGTCAAAAATTCAGCTGGTGGCACTGAAAGTTTTCACGTTCACCAAGGTGTCCTTTGCAAAAGCTCAAAGTTCTTTCAAAATGCCATGAAGCAGGAGTGGACTCGCTTGAAAGACAAACCCAGTGTCATCGACCTTCCTGACGAATGCACGGAAACGGTGAAAATATACATTGAATGGCTATACTTGGATAAAAATCCTATCAAGCGTCATAAAAAAGGCAAAGAAATGCAAGCAGGTGACTCGGAAAAGATCTATGTCTTGCTTGCGAAAGCATACGTGTTTGGAGAAAAGATTATTGATCCGAAGTACAAGAACGAGATGTTGATAAACATAGGTGAGGCCTTGGCATTTTCGATCTATTTTCGAGTCAGAAAGTATCAGCATTATCTACAAAGGCACCCCTTCAAATTCTCCGCTTCGGCGTTTGCTTGCCACAGAGTTTGGATTGCGGCTAGGCGATAAACCCCCGCTGAGCGACAACCTGAATTTTCTGGATACATTTCCTAAGCAAGCACTAGTAGATATATTGAAGGCCACAGTCAGAGAGCGCAAGTCAAAACCCTGGGAACTTTTTTCTATTATGCCTTACCTTGGGGATGAGAAATCGTAAGATGTTTTCGCCTAGAAACCAAGATGCTATAGCTGACGCGGGAACGGAATTTGGTAACATGTAATGAGCGAAGTCTCGGACAAAACAAGCATGCAACTTGCTATCATGTATTCTAGATTACGCAGGTCTAGTGGCAGGCCTCACTCTACAAGTCTGACCTGCAGATTTTCACGGATCAGACTTGATAGAATAATTATGAATTTTATTCTGCAAGATGCGCTCTGGCTTTTAACCGTGATCACGACTATCCCGCTTAGACTATGAATTTCCACTGACGACCTAGGCACAATTCTTAACCACAAGAAAAGAGGGAAAAGAGCCAGACTACAATATAGCCCAAAAACCTGGACACTCGCTCTCGGACAAGTCTACGCCACTATGCTTTACCCAGTCAGATACATATGTAGAGAAGTGAGACGACTCCCCTCTCCTCCACCTCGGATTTCCAAGCCCGGCAAAAGACATACACCGCTACTCTGAAGTCCTTCACCATCACCATCTAAAATATCACGCTACCACCTCCGCGATCAATCTTCACCCTGGACACATTGTAGAAGAAGACAAGCCATCTTCCGTCACTACTGCAAAGACATCACCACACACACGCAACGCAACCCAATCAATCACAACAAAATCCTTCATTGATGTAAAAACAACAGGGTATCCCACAGCACAAACCAAAATCTTCTCAAACCCCCACACCCACACCCTGCTCACTCCGAATCACTATCAACCACGAACCCGGCCCTCGTATTCCTCTTCGCAGGCCGTCTAGTCGGCACAGCAACATGATCATCATCGTCATCATCCGAATCCGCATTCTTCATGGTAACATCTTCACTCTTCTCAACTATTGACTCTTTCCGCGGCGTAACATCACTATCACTAGCCGTCATTGCCCCGGGATTTTGGGAGGAGAGGGGTGTCTCATCCTGCTCCTCCTCATCATCATCTAAAACGTTTCCAGCGGCTTCGGATGCTGCTCTACTACTGGCACGATTCTCATCTTCCTCACCATCATCGCTATCATCAAACAGCGCCTTCCGTTTCGGCGGACTCTTACGCCTCTTACTCTTCTCCGTCGGATCATCTGCTTTCCGCTTTTTCGAAGCAACAGACTCGACGGTACCAAGAACGAGTGATTTCTTGAAGACCTGCATGTTTTCCTGGCGGATAGCTTCTTCGCGGGCGAAGAAGGCGGCGTCTTTTTCTATGTCCCATTCCTCGTCGTCCGAGTCGTGGACGAACGTTGTGCTGAGTGCTTTTGCTTGCTTTTCGATTTCTTTCTTGCGGCGGGCTTCGGCGCGGCGGTCTTTTTCTTCGTCGTCGAGTTCGACGGGAGTACGTTGGCGGCGGCGCCGCTTGAGTTTCTTGCGGAGGGCGTCGCCTTCACGTGTTGTGGGACCGCCTTGAGTGTATTCGCCGTGGTCTTCGGGGTCGTCGTCTATACCATTGTCGGAATCGTCGTCGAAGTCGACACGGCGAGTTGAGCGGCGAGTTGCAGCGGTCGCGCTGCGGAGCAGATCTTCTGGTGTTTTGCCGTCCTCGTATGTAGGGGGATCGAATTCAAACTTGCGGATGAGATCGATAGATCCTTGTAGTTGTGCTGATGTGAGGTTTGATGGTACGACCCATACAGCGTCTGGATCGTGATGTTCGCCTAGTCGCTCAAAGCCAACCAATTTCATGAGTAAACGTAGCTTGTTGTCTTTGAACATAGCAACACGACGTTCTCCAGTGTCGTGTTTAATCACTGCACACATTAGTCAGTCAATATGGAAAAACAATCTTCTAGAATCTTGCTTACCAATGGATGGAGGCTTTGCCGTCTCAGCCTCTGTATCTTCAGCTGGTGTATCGCCCTCAGGGCGCTCCATCTCTGCGGTCAATAACTTCTGTGCTTCTGCAGCCTCCTCCCACGCTTTCCGCTCTTCAGCCGCCGATGTCAGAACGTCTCGGACCCACCTGAGGGCGTCTGATTTGGACTGGTTGACAAGCACGCCAACAGCTACACCAATTTGCTCCGGCGGCTCTAGGCCAGGTTTGACCTCCAGCTCTGCCGGCGCTCGTGGTGCTTTGGTCGGCACCTCACGCTCATACCCGTGTTCGAGGAAGAAGAGAGTTGCTGGAATTTTGCTGAACAACATCTCGACTACAAGCTCTGGCCTCTCCTGCACCTTCTTCACTACTTGCCTGAAGAAGTGCTTGACAAACTCGTCCCATTCCTTGTAAACTGGCGACTCGGGATCGAGGCCTCCAGGACCCTTCATCATCTTGTTAAATAGATGAAGAATGTCAACTCTGCATAGCAAAACTCCGAGCTCCATCTTGAACGCCACACGGTGGAAGAAGCGATGTGCACGCTTCAACTGCTCAGTATCCATATCATTAAAGTACCTAGTGAAAGCCACAAAGGTATTGATACTGCTTTGGTTCACAAATTTTGCCGAAAAGCGGTGGAAGTCAAACTTGCGCTCCGAAACAGTCTTCTGGGCTTGTTGAATGTCTTCGGTTTCGGAAACATGGCCCTCCTCTTCTGCTTCTTCGCCCTGTTTTTCTGCTTTCTTCTTTTTAATCTTTCGTGTCCTTCGTTTTGATCGAATTTGCATATCCACGTTCTGCTTGGAATAGCGCTCCAACATCCGCAAAAAGACATGAGATAGCTCAGTGACGGCGTCTAGGTAGCCGAACCCTTGATCCTTGTATGATCTCAAGATGGCGACTATCCGGTCATGTGTTGCTTCTTCATAAAAGATGCGGTTCTGGATGTTTTCAGCAATCTCCTGGTCATCTTCTAATGTCGACTCGGACATTTCGTGAACGGTGAGCAGGATCTGTGTGAAGCACTTGAGTCCAGCATTCAGATCTCGCCATGCCTTCTCGTCTTGGCTCCTCTGCATAAAGCGGTTGAGTAAGATAAAGGTCTCCTGGTTCATGACCTCAGCGACCAGACCGTAGCTTTCATCCTCGGCAGACAAAACTTCTAGACTCTTGGGATCAGCGGCTCTCTCCTTCATTGTCCGCCGGCGAGCACATTCTGCTCGTAGAAACCATGAAACAAGGTAAAAGAACTGCCTGGAGTGCCGTGTCTCGACTCGCTCGGTTTCACGCTCAATGGCCTTGCGAAGGTGTAGGAACAGGGGGTTGAATGACGAGTCCAGGAACTCTTCAACAAAGGCTTTGATGTGTTTCCGTGCTGAAGAGGTCAGGGGTACTGGCAGATCAAACTCCTCCCTCTCCTCAGCGCTATCTTGCTTTCGTCCGGGTCGCTTGGGCTTGTTCCACTTTTTGGTTTCATCCATCTTTTGCATACTGGCCTGCGCCTCGCCCAGCACGTCCTGTCCGGAGATTGTGGTGACTTTCTCATCGTCTCGTTTTATCCAGATCATTGTGCCGAATCGATTGTGCCTAGTTGGTGCGTTGCGTGCATAGCCTGCAAGCATGGCCTTTTCCTTCTGGATCAGGCTCTTAAGTTCGTCGTTGTTCTTTGAATTCAGCTTCTTATCCTCCATGAACAACTTCTCAGCGTCGATTCCCTTGAGAAGAAAGAAAAGAATCTCGAGGATTATGACGTCCTGACTGACAAAGTCCTCTCCGATGCTTGACGCAATACTCAGTATGGCCTGGAATATATCCTGCTCATGGAAAGTGTCAATGGTGGCAGAACGAGACACCTCGGCTTCGTCAATGTCCATGGGTGCACTGTTCGGCGGTGAAAGCATGGCGATATTGCGTATAAAGTACAAGGCGATGCGAATGATGCCTTCGTCTCGGGGTGTTCGTTCTCGGAGGGGCACTGCCATGGACGGAAGAGCGATTTTGACGGCAGTCTGGAGAGTCCTGTCTCGGTCAAATTGTAGAATTGCGCGCTTGTAGCCCATTTGGGCAAGCTGGATGTAGGGACCATGGCGATGGTGGTTGACGGTCGCTTCGGTGGGGTCGATTTCAAAGGGCCATGTTAAAGGGACAAGGAGTTCGACTGGGACAGTCAGCAGAGAGTCGAAGAACCAGACATGGCTGCATACGTGTAGCCACTGCGATCTTGTGTTTCCATCCACTTTCTACAACTGTCGGCGATATCTTTGCCAGGATTTCTAGCAAATCTCCCTTTACGAGGTTTGCCTCTGCCATGCACCGCGCAACGTCACGCCGGTTGTGGGCTCCATCCGCAAACTTGAGCCATTTTCGAAGGTCCTTGAGACATAGCAGGGCATCATGCCCGAGCGAGTATGTACCATCGTCGCCGATACCGCCAAGCTGGACGACTATTTAGCGGCGAATGGTATCAGTGAGTAAGAAAGAAGACGTACGGCAGAAATCAGACTGTACACATGGGCGCGCACTTCGGGGTTGACGGGGTCCGACACCCACTCGTCGAGGGTAGCCTGGGCCATTATCGTCGTGGTTGTGTCGAGGTGCCGTATGGCCGTATATTCATTCACCCATCTATTCGTTCTTGGTGTTAGTCCAAAAGACGCGTCGACGCGTAAATTGGTTCAAACAGCGCAAACTCGCCAAGCATAGGGCTGAGCATCCCGCACTCGCACCCGCCCGCCAGTCAACGTCATGCCTCGGCTAGCCGTGCGCGGTTCCCATCGGCTGGCCCCATCACATGTTGTGCATCAGAACAATTTGCTGGTTACACTCAGTGCTTGCACTTCGATTCCATTGAAACCGATACAAACAATCACAATGTTTTCCGCAGCCTCAAGACAAGCCGCCCGGTGCGCAACCAGACAGCAATGCCGTACTTTTAGCTCCACTCCTTCTGTTGGAGCCGCCGCTGAGGTGAAGAAGCTGGGTGTAATTGGAGCTGGCCAGATGGTATGCATCAATTGATATTTTATGGCATATCCACCATTCTGACATACCCAGGGCCTTGGAATTGCCCTCGTGGCAGCACAAAAGGCCTCAGTTCCCGTGCGACTAATCGACAACTCGCAAGCTTCCATCGACAAGGGCCTCAAGTTCGCCGACAAGCTCCTCGAAAAAGACGTAGGCAAAGGCCGAATCTCAAAAGAAGACGCCGTAGCTGTACGCGAGCGCCTCACATCCAGCACGCAGCTCTCGGACCTCTCGGACGTCGACTTCGTCATCGAAGCCGTCCCCGAAATCCCAGACCTCAAGCACAGAATCTTCTCCCAGCTCGCCCAAATCTGCCCCTCCCACGCCATCCTCGCAACAAACACCTCCTCCATCTCCATCACCAAAATCGCAGCAAGCACAACCACCGACCCTACGGATCTCTCCGCATCCTCGCGCGTCATAAGCACCCACTTCATGAACCCCGTGCCCATCCAAAAAGGCGTGGAGATAATAACCGGCCTCCAAACCTCACAATCCACCCTCGAAACCGCCCTCGCCTTTTGCGAGAAAATGGGGAAAATCCCTTCGAAGTCCGCAGACTCACCCGGGTTTCTCGCAAACCGTATCTTAATGCCGTACATCAATGAAGCAGTCATTTGCCTCGAGACGGGCGTCGGCGCTAAGGAGGATATAGACAATATCATGAAGAACGGAACAAATGTCCCTATGGGCCCCTTGCAACTCGCGGATTTTATTGGAATCGACACGTGTCTGGCGATTATGCAGGTTTTGTATCATGATACCGGGGATTCGAAGTATCGGCCTGCGGTGTTGCTCAAGAAAATGGTGGATGCAGGGTGGTTGGGTAAGAAGTCTGGAAAAGGCTTCTATGACTATTAGAAAAGTATATACATGTGAATTGAGGTAAAATCAAGCCCAGATTGCTTGCCACTCCTCTTCTCCTAGTACAGAAGCTACAAATAACATATCTTCCTCCTCCTCGCTGCGAACTGCCCACTTTCCTTTGCCCCATAGCCTCTCCCTAAGCCATTCTAACTCCTAGTTTTCCAGCTCGTTTCTACTGTTTTCCTGTATTATCGGTATTTCTTCTTCGCCTCCTTCATCGACGAGAGGATTGGTCATACCCTGACCCCCTTGTACAATTCCGCTTCCCTTGCCTTCTAACGGTGTAATGCCTAACCTAACGTATTCTCTGAATTCCGCGCGCCGAATTGAGTTTCGGCATCGTGTCATAGCAATGGATTGGACGGCGTTGAGGGGCGTTTTGGGGTAGGAGGTGGATTTTTTGATTTTGTAGGTGGTGGAAGAGGATTTGTGAGTGGGTGTAAGGTGGGCATGAGTGGTGTGGCCGGGGGTTGTTAAGAGGGTTTCATCGCTTTCTTCTTGTTTGATATATATGTTTTGTGAAGGAGATTCTTGTGGTGATGTGCGCGTTTGATGGCTTCTTGTGTTGCGCTTGACTTGAGACGGAGTTCGCTTGGTCTTTGCGGCTTTCTTAGTTTTCCGTGGAGCCATTTTGTATTTGTGTGTGTTGGAGGATTTGGAAGTGGTGTTGTGTGGGCTTGAGAGTGTGGTGTAGCAGTGTGCGAACGTGGAGTGGAGGATGAACTGGATGCGTGAGGGGTGCAGCCTTTATACATTGTTGACAATATTCCCTCATGTTTATATGTTTCACGGTATCATTTATTACAAGCGTCTTTTACGGACTTCGAACCAAAGTTGAGCTCTTCAACATTCTGTCGTCCGCCAATCCTATGATGCGCGATCGTTAACTATTTCCATTATTGTAATCCAATGACGTACCCACTCATTGTCGTTTAGTAACAAACTCTTCTCCATAGGCTACTGATAACGTTTGATATCATCGGGTCTTGTTCCTGAACACATTCTTTAAATCGACTCGTGTTTGTCATGTATCCCAAAAGCCACAATCACGTCTACTCTTCATCACTCTCGTCTCCCTCAACTGCCTTCTCGCACCCACACGGCCACAAGTGCGCAACCGCATACCCTGGATACTTCTCGACAAATCTGCCGTACCAAATCTGCCACTTCTCCCATGTCTCCTTGATCTCACGCTCGGCCGACATGGCCTCTCCTCCAGATACAGAATGCGGCTTATGACAACGCCACATTCCATTGAACACTATGAAATCGTTCCATCTACGACGATCGTTTGGAGTAATCTGATGGCCGTGGCCTGTGTTACGATCGGGGTCGTGTACGAAGGCGCCGTGGCGGCTGTGTATTCCTTGTTTCAGAAAAGGGGCGTGAAGCATTGGCGGAATGCTTGTGTTTCGAGGTACTGTTGATATGTTTAGCCTGCAGTGAATCTAGAAATTTAACTAGAGGTAAAATCGAGAACAAAGAATGTCAAATGTGGAAATGTTGAATGACGGACGTAATGACTGTAATGCATCACGTGTTAACAGTCAGTTGGGGATCCACCTGTTGTGTCAAATAACTGGATCGCGCCAGTACGAGGTTTAGTTGTGGCGGTAAGCACTCTGTCATTCTTCTTATTGTGAACGATCGTGGTGGATAGGTCGAGGTTGGAAGGATCCATCCCAGTATTGCTCATGAACCGCATCTGCTGCACTTCGCGATCTCTAGCGACCTTGTGCGTATTGATTTTCTCGCTGATTTGAGGAAATGATGATACTGTTTCAGGACTTGAATTGCCCTGTTGAATGGCATCGGTTTGATGGTCATCTGCTGTAGCTACTGGTTCTTCCGGAGTATCCTGCTTCTGAAGCTTTTGAAGCTTCTGCGGCGGTTGGCCATCTGGCTCATCTTCATAGATTCGTCTCTTCCGGCTATCGGGCTGCTCGCGTGTATCCTTCCGTACAGCTGTATGTGACATGTTTTTCTTAGTGTAAGGAACGGAGGGAGTTGTTGTTCCATTGTTCAGGGTCGGAGCTGCAGGGGTATGTGAAGGAGCGACCGTTTTCTTTGCATGGACTGTGCCATGTGCTGTATTTGTATCTGCAACTATAACGATATCTCAGTATGTGCGGTACGAATGTTGACTCTGGGACTTACTTGGTAATGTTGATTTGGGGTGGCGCCCAAGAGCAAGAGTTTCCTTTTGTTCGATCCAGGTTGCTACCTCAACCTTTGAGAGTTCAAGGATGCAGAACTCTATTTGCTTCTCAGTGCCTGCATACTGCTCTACGATATCGAGGAGTTTTTCCAAGTCATTGTGGAGGAGAGACTTTGCCAACCGCGCGTGTTGTCTCTTCTTGTCTCCTAGGCCATCTTGGTCATTCAATAGTATCTTTAGCCCATTCGCTTTATAAAGTTGGCCCCTCAGATGTTGGCTTGGAATAGCAGTAACAGGCGCCCTTGGTTCCTTCCTCGCTGCAGGTACACTGCTGATCTTGTTCGGTCTGACTGGAGTGGATGTGCTGCTTCCAGCTACCTTGCGCGCTACAGGTGAATTACTAGTCTTGTTTGTTTTGACCGGAGTAGATTCAATGCCTCCTGTTGCCTTGATCGCCGCAGGTACGGTGCTGGTCTTATTCTTTTTGACTGGAGTAGATATACTGCTTCCAGTTACCTTGCGCACTGCAGGTACATTACTGGTCTTGTTCGACCTGGCAGGAGTAGCGGCGCTGCCTCCAGCTACCTTGCTCTTACACTTTCCCTTGGTCTGCGAGGATGCAGCCATCGCTCGCGCGACTTCATCGTAGTCGATAATGTTAATTCGTCGGTTCATGATGCAGGTCAGTGATGATAGAAATGGTGTGAGTAATTGCGATGGTTGTGGGATCGAAATAGAGAAACACACAAGTTTCAGCAGGTCACAATGAGAATATGTCACAATAGCAAGTGAGCGTGAAAGGGAAGCCTCCGCGTGTCTTGGACCCTGTTCACAATGCAGTGAATGCTGCCCAAGTCCACTACAGCGCAAAACAGCGCGCATAGTTGAGACATTCGATTAATGCAGCCTACGAACCAGCCAATTTCCACCCCAGAATTTTTAACGTCTCAGAGCTTCCTATGATGAAATCCACATTTGTCCAACGTGCAATCCAATATGCTCTGCATATCATGATTCCGACACGCTTTGAGGCCGCGCGATGGCACCTGGGGACTACGGACCAGACTGCTCGCAACGATTAAAATAACGTGTCAATATAGCAAACGATTAGGAAGTTACCAAGTCACTTCAGTTATCTGTGAAGCCTAAATACTGAGATTATACTATTGTGCCTGGGGCGACAACGATAAACGCCTTGGCGAAAATGACAAATCCAATTGCACAAAGTCGATAAGAACAATGGATAGACTTCTGTGCATGATGAAGATAAGAATCCAGTGTCATTTCCGGTATCGATCCTGAGTGCAGTGTGTCGTGTAGCTGGTCTAGCAGTCTCGCGTACAAGGGTCGAAGTCGGAAAAGAGTTGCGGCGGTGCCACGTGAGACGGGCGCTGACCCGACCGCCGACCGACGCAAAGGAGCCGAGGCATTCCTGCCTCGAGCCCTTAGATCGTCGTTTCGCGACTCCTCAACTCCATCACCACCCGCCATCTTGCGCCTGTTACGTGTGTTGCGTAACTTGTAGCCAAAATGGTGCGCGAGGACCTCATCATATCGGCCGTCTCGTGTAAGTAAATATGACGGCGATTGCAGCCCTGCACGCGACGATACTAACAACAACATTTAGTCCTCCAGGATCCGTCGGTTGCCAGCGCGCCCCTGGAGAAGCGCATAGCATTCCTGCAGTCCAAGAACCTCACCCAGGAGGAAATCGACGTCTCCCTCGCCCGCGCTGCCGAGGATGCCGGCCAACCTCCGCCTCCCCAGACATCCGCAGTAGCCAGCAATGCGTCATACAGGCCACCGCCGGCAGCCCCATATGCAAGCTATCCACCACAAGGATACTGGCAACCACCACCGCCACCACCAGAGTAATTCATCAGATTAGTATTGCTAGTGCACCAGCTGACACACACAGACCGCCGAAACGCGACTGGCGCGACTACTTCATCATGGCGACGGTCATGGGTGGCGTAGGCTACGGACTCTACTTTACCGCAAAGCGATACGTCCTGCCCCTGATACAACCGCCCACGCAGCCCCAGTTGGAGCAAGACAAGGCCTCTGTCGACGAGTCGTTCAAGCGTGCTTTTGATCTTCTCGAGCAACTCAACACTGATACTACTGCACTCAAGGCATCCGAAGAGGCGCGGACTGCAAGACTTGATGACGCCCTAGGTGAGGTGGAAAGCGTATTGTCAACCCTCAAGGAATCATCCAAGCGACAAGGAGACGACAACCGACGAATTGAAGATGATGTCCGCGGCCTGAGGGATCTGATCCCCAAGGCATTGGAGTCTCACAAGGAAGCCACCGACAACAGACTGAAGGAGCTGTCTACTGAGTTGAAGAGTTTGAAGACATTGATCGGAAACAGAATGGGTTCAGCTGCTCCCCGTCCGCAGAACGCCTCGGGCTACTACGGAGCCGGCCAGCAACCAAGTGCTCCCCAGACTCCGAACGTAAACGGCACATCCTCTGTTTCAACACCGACACCCCAGGCACCATCTACACCCGCACCCGCGCCCGCGCCCGCGCCCGCTGAGCAGGCAAACGGTACTTCTGTTGCTGACAACCAAGCCAACGGCCTTGCAACCCCCTCAGCTTCATACAGCAGCAGGATGCCTACTGGACGCGCTGCCATTCCAGCATGGCAAATGGCTGCCGCAAAGAAGACGGAGGAGGCCAAGAAAGACACGAGCGAAAGCGGAACAGCAGTTGAGGCGAGTGCAAGCTCGTAGAATGCGCACAGAAGTTTGATTTGACAGCGGGTTTGCATCTTGGCGTTGTACCTTGTACTAGTATTAACTAAGAAGCGATGGACATATCCTTATGTTAAAATGTAAATCTTTCTAATGCACAAGTAATACTCAAGTGTGCGTTATGGATATGTTGAAGTCGGCTCGTCGCCCATAGTGACCCAAGTGGCGTTTTCATGTCGTGACGTCGCGATAGCGCGTTTCGTGTCAGTGCCCATGTCAACGTCACTCCCAGCCATCGCCAAAACAAACGTTCCGACCCGTCGTCATCGGATTCTCGCAGAATCCACTTTCTTTATGCAGGATCGATTTCGCCAATCTCGCATCCACACAAAGAGCCCCATGTGACCCCTGACGCTAATCTGGTGTTGACGTCGACCGTCGCGCGTTTTGGGACTGATGCTGATCCACTGCATGTGCAAATGGTCCCTTGGACGGTAGAGCGTATCTAAGTCTCGGGAACTTGCAGTATAGTGTGCCTTTTGCGATGGCATGACGCAGGGATGAAAAGCGACCCAACTCTCGCTGACGCTTAGTCAATGTGATACTGTTCTCATGTCGACCATTGAGATGGGGTTTTGTGCAGGTGTATGATCTACAGACAAAGAGACATTCAACGCTTTCGCTATATCTATTTCTTCTCAAAGTAACAATACCAAAGCATGACGCAGCATTGCTTATGTCCAGGCCATCGCACATGCGGACTGCTCCCGCATCTAGTGTCAGATCCCTCGTATCAGATCGACAAATCATTACCCACTTGCACCACACACACCATCTTCGAGGAGGCTGGTACCTTTGTTGAATTACCCTTTCCCAAGCCCATGCTGTCATAGTCTCGATCACAGCATGGGATTGTGATCGCCCATCCTAGCAGTCTATGATCCCAAATCCTATGTTACATCAGAGGCTTGGATACTCTCTATGACGCATAGTCATCATGGACGAAGTCTACATAAAGACGTGATTCCACTCCTCCTTGACTCCATCATCACACCACAGCATCTGATCTTCACCTCAATACACAAACATCAACCATTTCCCAACTAAATCCCCAATATTCCATCCACAACCATGAGCTCCACCGAAGTCCCCACCGGCAACACAATGGATAACTCCTACCAATCCCGCACCGGGCAATCCGAAATCCGCGTTGTCAAAGACGAGGCCCCTATTGAATCTACTGAGTACGACAACGGCGGTGATTCTGATCAGCAGCTTGGTTAGTTCTCTATTTACATACCTGTGGGAATGTTTGCTAATAAAGTACAGAGCGCGACGACAATGAAGCTATCGACCGCGACAACATTATAAGCGAGCGCACTCGTGGTGCAGCCAAGCAGCCTGGTACTTATGCTGAGCCAGGCGATGAGGAGGGGCTTGGGGATGCGGCGGATGGTATGGATGGGACTTCGTCTGTGAGGTAGATGATTGAAGTTGCTATGAAGATATGGAATTTATGAGGAGGAATCAGTTTGAAGTTCTTATCATGTATTATTAGGAGTAGGTTTGAAGTTAATCGAGAGATTTCTTATGATTACAATTGACACGGTGGTTGCACGTTTCCGTAGCTCTATTATCCGTGATCACGAGTACGGTATCCAGCTGACTTCCCATTGATTCGCAATTCTAACTCGTGACTTCAATACCTATCGTCTAATAGGATGTTTGAAAATCGAGAAATATTGTACGTCATGTGCATCCAACAAGGATCCACAAGACGTTCCAATGAAATGCCCTTCGTAGGTAGGCGATAAAACATTCTCCTGTACTACATCCGGGTAGCATCTAGTCTTGCGACGTAAACGAACTAGAGTTCTCATATACCCAAAACTCGCAAGTAGGAAATACTACCATCTGCCTCCGGCATTGGCTCTCAGCCATCACTAATAGATCACCTCAGCAAAGCAGTGCATGCTCGATGCTTGGCCATCAAGAGAAGCTAGCAACTTCGTCAAACAGCAGCGCACAAAGCACACGTGCTAGAAACTTCGCGCAGCGTTTGTCCGTGACTCCATCTCTTCACTGAATGACCATCTGCCTACCATATGATCTCTCCTGCGGTTTATTTGCCCTTTGTTAGGAGTGAAAAGTCAACGTCTAGGCCTCAGCCACGATCCAAAATAATAGAAAGATGATGCATCAGAGGCAGCAGCACCAAATATTGCGTAATCCATCAAGTTTTTTCGAAATGAACAAACGATACTCAGCCACGTGATTGGGTCTTCTCGCAGGCAACCAGGTACCGACAAGTGAGCCCGAGAATATACGAAACCACGTGGGCTAGCACATGAGCTATAGCAAACAATCGAAAGAGTTATAGGGCCAGGAAAGCGGAGTGAACAGCGGTTTCTAGAGGGTATATGTGTGGGTGTAGGCACCATCGTTTTTGAACTGACAGAATCAACCAGCAAGTTACTTCTTTCAACTGCATATATTATTATCTTATATTGATATCACGATATCGAAGATGACGATCTTTTATACCACTACCTACCCAGACTTCATCACCAACTGGTACGGCCGAATGAGCTTCATAGTCAACGAAGCCTATATTCCATGGTTCCTGGGTTGCAATCCGGTTCAACGCGGTGTAAACCCAACCCAGTTCTTCATGAACATTAAATTCTATGCCATACTTTAGGCAGATAAACATCCTCTGGTAGCACGCGCCCAGGGCTTTCGACTTCAGATTCTAGCTCGTATCAAGGCGGAGGATGCGAAAATCATCCTTGAAATAGAAAATAAAGGATGGACTCCTCGATGGGTGGCACCACATCTATGGCCATCCCCTCTTCCGCGCTGGAGTTGCATATAAACATGGCAGCCAACATGGTGAAGAAGGGGATGAACGGTAAGTCAATCCCCATCAGTTGACAAGAACGTTTTCCAAAACGCTCAAGCATCACTCAGCCATATATTCTCATCGCTGACCTCCTACCAGAAAAGCCTGGCCGTGACAAGGCGACTCAACAGCGCGGATATATGTTCGGCCTCAAAGCCACTCACACCCTGGAAATTGGAGTGGCCTGCCATTACCGGGGCCACTATATATACGCATATCCGTCCAGCGTGCCGATCGACCCAATCCTATTTGCCACAAAAACAGGGGTCAATGTTGCAGGCATAAAACGAAGTTGCGCGTCAGCTCATGACCCGTGTGATTCGGGTTTGGTAGATAAGAGCAGAATTCACGCACTGGAGCGATCCTGTTTTCATGAGCGGGAGGTCCAGAGGGAGCATATGAAGAAGATGAAGAAGAGGAGGTTGGACATGAAGGACGAAGCTGTCCAAGCAGCGTACGAGAGGATATCGGACATGGTACAGAGGCTTCTTGATCCTAGTATGGCCTTCGAGATAAATTCCACTGCCCCTTCAAATCCTCACTCCTGAATTCTAGCTAACCATCTCACAGCAAGAAGTGACAAAGCGGAGTACAATCCTCCCGCCTCACATGGAGCGTCCATAATACGGACAACATGGTAAGTCTTTCTCTATATCCACTAATCACTGGTAACTAATGCCCGTCAGAACACTCCCAGTTTTGGGAGCAGCCTTTGGGCAACGGGTTATACCTGATGCAGCTACGCAAAGTGTTCCACCTCCTAGTCCGACTTAATGCGAAATCTGGGTTCGAGTACAAGCACGCTTCTATTCTCTTTACACGCGACAATATTGTCGTCGAGAACAGTAACGACACCAAGTCCGCCAACAACAGCGAGCGGACTGATGATACCGAGAACGGTGTCTTAGTTGAGTTCATCGAGCCGGAAAACCCTGTATTTCAGCAGCGCGCTACATCTGTACTGTTTGCATCAGCGCAGGAAAAGCTTAGTGTGAGTTCTCATGCTCGGCTCATCCACCTACACGTCCATATCAGCGTCTCCCCAGCCCAACACTGGATGAACAGCAACGAAATATATACATTGATAGAAGCGATATCGCGATATGGAGCGCTGGCGGCGGCTGCGGCTTGCAGAGCGATTTTTCCTCCTGTGACGAAATCGAAGGACCTGTGCGGAGGAGGCCAAGAGTCCAGACTCGAGGAGAGGGGGCACCTCTCGTAGCGATTGACACTAACAGCTGCGACTGCAGGGAGCGGAAGAGCCAACTCCCCACTGCATTCGTGGGCTCAAGGGCGACCGCAGAAGAATACGAAGCGGCTCTAACCACCATTCCTGCAGCACGTCGCTGCGATCCTCGTCTGCCAGGCCAGACAGGTCCGTTATTACTCTTTAATCAAACCTTGGCAATCGCGGAGGGTGTGAAGCTTGCATGACAATGCATTACGCACGGTACAGGTCCTTGAGGTGTTATCCTTTCGGACAGCACCGGGATCACCAAGAAAACAAGGGAAACCCCGGCTATCACTCTTATTGGGACAAGGGAATATAGATAGAAAACATGAATATTGATATAATGAGAAGATGAATCAAAATGGGGAAAATGGGGTACGATTAGAATAGACCCAATACGATAACTAGATACTTAATCGAGAAACATTCGATGAATGGAAATGTGATATCTTTTCAAGTAAATGTGTACGATACCTCATTTGCTTATTACCTAATCTTGTGTCCATGTCCCCAGACTAAATTACACTTGGGTATCTCTCTCTCTTGCATGATGAAGAACACGCATCCCGATGAGATACACAACAACGCCACCCTAGCCTAGCGCGACCGCATCATTGAAAGAAATGAATGTCTCCACTGAAGAACTCGGACTTACTCGGAAGCTTTCTTGCGGCCCCTGTATCTTGGTTAGTACTTTGCATACCAGCAACGGATAACTCAATCACACATACCTCTTCTGCGGCACTTTCTTAGGCTTTTGAGCCTCCTCTTCGACCTCACTGCCATTTTCGGCCTCGGCTTTCTTAGCAGCAGGCTTCCTGTTACGAGCCTTCTTAAGCGGTGGAGCTTCATCCTCTGTTTCGGCCTCCTGCTCTTCGACTACTTCCTTCTTAGGTGCTGCCTTCCTGCCCCTGGCCTTCTTAGGTGCCGGTGCCTCCTCTTCACTCTCATTCGCGGGCTCTGCGACCTTCTTGCTCTTGCCGTTAGCGCGAGCTTTCTTCGCAGGCGGGACACTCTCTTCCTCTTCATCACCCTCTGCAGCTTGCTTCTTGGAGGGACGGCCGCGCTTCTTGGGGGCTGGGACGGGCTTGTCTTCTTCATCTTCTTCCTTGACTTTGGTGGACTTCTTTTTCTTAGGCTTCTCCTCCTCAGAGGCATCGTCTTCATCACCCTTCTTGGGCTTCTTTGCTCTAGACTTCTTGACGCCGAGACGGTTGAGCTCAGGGTCCTGGGGCAGTGAGTAGGAATATGAAAATGCGTTAGTCAAGTACTTACGCGTGTGCAATCTTCATCTGGAATGTGGTTATGCTCGAGTGCAAACTTGATCTTTTCTTGAAATTCGTCTGGTAGTTCATCGTAGCCATCGACCATGTCTGTATCACCTCCGCACGTCTCATTTAGATTCTCAATCTGCTTAGGAGTGACGCATCCCCTATACTAGTTAGCAATTGTCTTTTCGTAGAACAAACTACTACACTTACCAATGGCGGTATTGCCAGCTGACATGCTCATGAATGGTAACTTGGACGGCAAAGCGAAACTCGCCCTTTGTAATCTTTTTGCCTTCGTCTTTGCATGCCTTGACCTGGCAGCCAGCACGGTTGTTAGGAGACACCTCTGATAACCGATTAGTCTTGCCCACTATAATTTCAATTGATGATTTGAAATGCGACTCATATTCCATTGAATGTAAGTACACTGGAAATCATGTAATGACTTACCGACACGGTATACACCCATAGTCACGGTGGGTTGCTGTGTCGCGTGGGAAAGAGTGAAGATTTCTGGAGAATACGCGTAGAGCAAGCTGGGTATATATGCAGCAATTCTAGGATTTAGGCAATCGGTAGAGCGTTTCTTTCTGGCAAATCTCTTTGTGAGTCGTCGCGACTTGTTTGCGCTGTTGACGCGTGAGGTCACTAGCGGCAGGCAGACGTGGGAGGCCCAGCAGGGGACCCCTGTCGGATGGTCTTAGTGCGTCTCGGAACTGGAGAGTGCAGTTCGTCATTATCCTAGTCGGAAAAAGTCAAGAAGATGCCGCCGTCACGAGCATTCACCTCCACCACCCATTCGCTACCCCTCAATGAGCACTGCGCATACATGCTTTCGCAGCGCCCTCACACAGGCATTCCGGACCAACACTCGCGGGATCGCTGCTTCCTGTTCTGTGGCCGCATTTCTCGTTCCGACGCTCGCCAAACCCTCCAAACGCACCTTTGCAAATGGAAAACACCGTTCCAACCACGCGCAGCCATCCCTGTCTCTCCCGGATACATATGTCCAGGATGAAGCCTCTCCGGCACGCCCAAAGAAGCCAAGGGAACTCATCACATCGCAGATACCCTGCCCGCAGCCAGAAGCTCGTGGTGACATCAACGCATGGCTTGCCGTCCTTGAACCCTTCCTTCCAGCCCACCTGCGAGGGGAGCGTTCAGATAGCCCCGAAATACCGGTGAGCTCGTTCGACCTTGCCTATGTTCTCAGTTCTGCTCAAGCCGCCTCCATGGATGTTATCAGCCATATAGGGCTGGTTGAGGGTCGATGGCAGACTGTGGTTTGGATGGCCAAAAAGCTTGCAGAGGACAGACAGCACTCGGCCGACACCGCTCCTCAGATTCAACAGTACTCAGATGTCATGTGGCAGGGACGTGAGTACCGGAGCATGAAGGATTTGACCGAGAGCCCTCTTGTACTCCAGCGAAGCCCACCATCACAGAGACCGAAGTTCACTCTGGACACAGCGACTTCTGCTCCAGAGTCGATCAGGTATCGGAACGTCACGATAAAACGAGGATTGGGACAGCTGTGGAGGAGCTTGGGGAATATGATCTTGACTGCCACAGAGCAAGGCAGTGCTGGGCAGGAGACCATCATGCCTCACGTCCTGCAGGTGATTGCATATTTGCATCATATAGGTCTTATTCCCGACTCTGTCTACACATATCGTCCACATGAAGACAGGCATGCGCTGCAGCAACCTCCGACTATTCATATGCTGTCGTCCCAAATTCTTACTGCGCTGTCAGATGCGACGTGGAAGGCGCATGAGTCTTCAGTCAAGACAGCAAAGGATCGGGCCAACGCTCAATACTTTCTTGGGCACGAAATACCAGGATCTCGTTACAAGGCCTACGTTACAGAGGTGACGCCAGAACTGTGGCTGGAGCTTGTGCTTTGGTCCTGTCTACATGGTGGGTGGGTGCTGGACGGAGTTTCCATCTTGGAGCAAGTTGCAACTAAGAAAGGAGAGCAAGGGTGGGCACTCATCAGCTGGCGAGAGATCATGGAACAAGAAGAACAGAGGAAGCCAGCACCATCGAGGAGTTGGAGTTTGTTTCCAATGAATGAGGATGCATCGGCAAGCCCCGAGGACCGAGCACGAACACGCAAAACGATAAGCGGCGAGGTAGTCACAGCATTTGTAGACGGACTTGTAAACCAGATGCGACTTGGAGTGGGCACTCGCGGCGCTAACCCTGAGCATGTGGTTTCGTCCATCAAAATGTTGAAGACGCTTCTTGACGCAAACAACCTAAGTCTTGGAGCTATGGCTTGGGACTCGATCATGGCGCGACTGATAGAGTCTGGTGGCTTTGTGCCGGAGAAGCGACCTGAGGTGCTGTTGCGCATCTTTGAGCTTGCGCCGGGATTTGGAGCTGAAGTTGGCACTGCAAATGCAACTACTCAGTGGAGTACCGAGATCCCCTACTTCTTTGAGCCAACAACGTTGCCATTGAGTCTGTTGCATCGCACTATGCGAGCATTCATCAAAGACGGAGATGTCAATGGCGCCATGGAAACACTGTCACTTCTCCAACGACACGCAGACGACAACAAGCAGAGGTCTGTACAGGAGTTTTTCACGTTTTTGAGAAACAGTCCGCAGCTACGAAAGGACGAGCCGTTCACGAGCAGGCTACCCCCTGTCAGCTTCCCAGCCTTTGACACCAAGCTTCCCGTGCTACTTCTGGCGCAGCTCCTAGACTTGGCGACAGAATTGAAGATGTTTGACTTTGGGCGATGGCTACTCTTCTCTGGAGACCTGGATGGCCCACTGATTAGCCCTTCGCTATATGGTCATCGCAACATATCGGCATCCATTGTGCGGTTTGGGACGTTGGCTGGGGAAAATGATTTGGTTCTCAAAGTGATTCAAAAGGCGGGGGCATGGAATGAAAAGCATCAGCAGCAGCGAATGCCAGCAGAAATTCTGACAGCTTTGCTCTGCTGCCAGATGAAGCTGGGCAGGTGGGAGGCTGTGCGGAGCATGCAACAATACGTGGAGCAAAGTGCCACGTTTAGACCTCGGCCCATTATCATCTCGACGTTTGCAGCGGAGCTTCTCCGGACGTCGAGTAGTTCTAAAGAGAGCAAACGCGAAGCCCAAGAGAGCTTTACAGGACTGCTGTTTGGATGGGAACACATTATTCTGCAGAATATCCGGGATGAGCTCAACTGCATACTCTCCATCATGTGTACGGTAGATGTGTACTGGAAAGAGTACTGCTCGCAGTTCTTGGCATTCTCGGCGCGGCACGACATCAAGCTTTCGACGGCCGACTTCAACCGGGTACTATGCGGCGTGCTTGAGGGCTACGGCAGTTTCAAGGGCAGGGCAATTGTGGAAACGTGGTGCTACAAGCCACCCAAGAGGTTTGAGCCATACAGAGCGCCGGGAGGACTGCCCAGCATGGCTCGGTACCGGGTGAGTAGAGGCGGAGAGTATGAGGATCGTCCCGAGGACATTGAGATTGTGCAGCCGTCTGGGGCAAGGATGATACTGCAGGGACGGGTGCATGCCAACCACGAGACGATATGGGCCATTGTCCGAAAAGTGCAGGAGGAAGTAGCAGCCAAGGAAGGAAGTGGCGAGGGACTGGTAGAGGCCACGCGGACTGAAGCACGGGATACATTGAGGTGGGCGGCACGGCTGCTTTACTATCTAGGGTTCGACTATGAGGATATTGCACGCGATCTGGGTAGCCTCGTTGGGCTTGCCGAGCTCGAGCCACGTGGGGGAGGTGAAGAAGTAGAAGGCGGCGAAGAGGGCGAGTGGTGAAAGGCCAGATTTTCGGCCAGTTGCATGTCCTCTAGGAAGGGCAGACATGATGTGCATGGAATTGCGTAATACAGCCTCTAGACGACAGTGGGTACATTTTGGTGTAGTACGTGCTTTGTATACACATACGTGGTTGGTGACTGGGGCAAGGCGAGGCGCGTGATGGAGAAATTGGCAAACCCTGAGCGTGTTCGTGGGTTTGGGCCCCACTAGGGGGCTCCACTTTTTCCCAAGCAGCCGTTGACGTTTTTTGCCTGGGCCAGACCACGGCCGACCATGAGTGAGAGGGTGTAGTTGCAGCAACAAAAGCGAATATGGGCTCATGAAAAGCAAAGTCGTGGTAGTTGAGACGTCCGTTGACGTGACTACAGCAGGCCAAGAGGGCTGGGACGGCGAATGGGAGCTGACGGGACCCGTGTTAGTAGACGGCTGAGAGCCAATCAAGGGCTCATGTAAGGACAGGCTTATGACACGTCGAGGATATTGCCAGGCGGCCCCCAGGTCAAGAAAGAGAAAGAGAGGGCGAGCCAGGGGGGCTGTTGCTGATCCAACCAAGAGGCTGTGGAGACGGGAGATGCACCAATGTTCTGCATGCTGCCATCCTCCCCCCACTAATACCAAGGTATAGCCCAGTCCCAGTTTGGAGGGGCGGGTAAAAAAAAAGTTGCCTTGACGTCTGCGCGTATACTTGCAACAGCAAGCAGTGAGGTGAGGCATTGCGGGCGGATGAGGCCGCGACGGGCAATTTTGAAGTGCAAATAAAATTTGTGGGATTGGCATCAGTGGCGCGTAAGCGAGTGTGCTTGGGAGGGAAGCGATAGGCGGCAGGAGCATCAGCATCGGCATCAGCACCAGCAGGAGCAGCAAGCAACGGGCCGCCGAGGGCTGTCATCTCAAGGCTGAGGCGCCGGGGCTACGTCTCCAAGGCCTTCACCGCTTCTTTCCCACACGGGGCAGTGCCTATGCCTATCGATGAACGATGCATCTGGAGGGGCAGCAATGCCCGACGACGTCAAGGACCACCATGGGGGGGTGTTTGGAGGGGCAGTGAGCCGAGGGCTCGATAATGCCATGACGACGACGGCGGGGCCGTCATGAGCAATCTATTGCTGCTCTGCTCTAGGGCGGGCTTGCATCAACGGCGGCGCCAGAGGGCGGTAGCGGTAGCAGTAGCAGTAGTAGTAGCAGCAGCAGCAGCAGTAGCAGCAATATGAGTATGTACTTGCATGGATACATAGCTAGCAGGTGAATATGTACGTTGATACATAGCCAGTCTGTTGTTTGGCCGCAGCATGTGCTGACCAGGGCGCTCTGGGCGGGCTTGAGCCAATGGGGTCCAGCCGTTGGCAACTATTAGCCCCGTGTTGCCTCATCGCCATGTCCTCGTCTGCATTAGGGCCAGTGGGGCAGTTCGGCCAGACGACCAAAATTTCCAGCGAGGGGCACGCGACAGACGCTGCTGGATGCGCCCCGGCCACGGCCTTTTGATCGTGCTAGCCAGCAATTGCGCGCCAAAAAAATAAAACACTAAGAAGCCGTTGATCGTGGTATTCGTGGCTGTTGTTTTCCCGCCGGCTGTGGTGGTTGCTCGACATGGAGTCATCGCTGCAGGCAGGCAGGACTAGGTAGCCCGCCCGGACCATGCGATATGCCGCTAGGGCCAAACTAAAAATTAAACATATCCTTTGCCCTCGCCCGCATCTTTTCTCTCCGCACCAGCCCCAAGACGTCAAAGTCGCTCAGATTCTTTCCAGGACCACTCCAGACCCCCCATCCCTACTCCTACATTCGTCGAGACAATGCCGCAGGCACGCGCTGAGCTCTAAACTCCTGGTGCAGCCCCACCCACGGGCTGCATCAGCCCGACAGCTCACGGAATTCCCAATCTCTTCGACGATACCAATACCAGACTGCGTGCAGTACCCTCTGCCCCAATCCGTCCCACTCAATTGGCAATCGTCCCGCCTGCGCTAGCAAAAAATTCCACCATTGTCTCTTGCAGTCCCGCTCCACAGCTGCAACATCGACGAAGCTCAAAGGGCCTAGCATAGTTCCCACGCCCTTCCACGCCCCTCACAGTACATTACATACATTATACCTACTCTCCCACACGCTATCCTTCTTGAAAATAAACTCGATTTCAAGATACTAGGCACCATACCAATCACACCTCTCTTTCTCTCCGACACCTTCATCCGCCTACTCCACCGCCACCATTTTCACCAGAGGAAAAAAAAGAGAGAGTGAAAAAAAATTCCACAACACAAACAACCCACCATGGCGCATCGGACTCATATTCGACCATCCATGAAGGGTCTTTCAGACGGCCACCAACAAGACCGCAGCCCCTTGCACAATGCTGCCGCAGGCATCCACCGCACTCACCAACGGTCCACCTCTCCAGACACAGTATCAGGTAGCACACACCACTCTGAAGGCCGTGGTGGTGACCAATCGGCCACTGAAGGTGCTGCTGACGACGAAGACGACGAAGACGATGATAGTAATGCTGTAAAAGATGACGAGTTGGATGATGAGACCGACACCGACGACGTCCCTGCCCGTCCCTTTGGCTACAGCAGGGGAGGAAAGGGAAAGGGAAAGCAGCCTGCTATCCGCATCGACCCTGTAGATGACGACGAGTCTCACGCTGAAGACGATGAGACCGCGTCCCACACAACCGGGCTGCGGCTTGTACCAAGCAAGCACCCCGTGAACCAACTACTAATGAGTAATAAGAAACGTACCTTTAGTAATCTCTCAAGCACTTCAGTTCTCTTTGGCGATGACTCGACCGATCAAGAGTCATTTCCTAGGCGCAAGATTGCTCGCAAACTGAGCAATGCCGCCAGTGTCCCCCTGCTAACCTACACGGACAATGAAGACACCCAGACCAATGACAACGCTATTGAGACCGACGATGAAGACTACAGCGGCGTCAATCTCGTCCCTGATGACGATGAGTCTGACATGGAGCTGATGGAGAAGCAAGAAGAGAGCTACATTCTGCAAGAAGAGCAGCAAGCTACTACCCTTCTCAATGAGTATCGTGATGCTCGCCGGCTTAGTCTTGATAGCTGCCTGAGCGACAACATCTTCGACGTTACTGCTCCCTTAGATGATGCCTTTATGGCGGGGCTTCCTGACTTTGGCTTCACTCCCTTCTTTGAGCCTGAAGCTGTCCCCGCATCACCCGTACCCATGGCAAAGAGGAAGTTTTCAGACGGCTCTGCCAAGCGTGTCCGCTTCGATGACGATGTTCCAATGTCAGACAGCTCTAGCTCAGAGTCATCAGAGCTCGATAGCAGCATCTTTCCAGATCTCTTCATGGATCAAGACAAGATCCCGCCTAGCTTGCATCAGCTGCTTGAGATGGACAACGATGATGACAATGGAGACATGGCTTCTCCTCAGTCTGATGTTTCCTTTTGGGACTTTGAGCAGAACGAGTCTCGTATCACTCAGCTCGACAACTCGGATGAGTCCGAGGGCGAGTCGAGTGAATCCAGCGGCTATGAGTGTATGATAGTACCCTATGCCAACTTTGATCCACTGACTAACATACATTCTCAGCCGACATGGGTGATACCACTGACGAAGAAGATTTTGAAAACGATATTTTGCCACGCACTCCAACACAAAAGCATTCTGTTCTGCACCGACCTTCTTCAGCACCGGGGTCCCGCGCCAGCACGCCCAAACCCTTTCAGCGAAGCGCGCGGCCCATCGGTCGCCAAATCCCCCCTACGCGTGGCATCTTCATCCACGACGAAACCGACCAGGCTATTGCCGTCACTAACCGTGCCACCAAGGCCGTTAGCTTCTATCGCCCTCGCACAGTGCTGATCCCATGGATCCCTCTAACAGAATATCACAGCAGCACTAGCAGCACTGTCAACAACAGTCCTAGGAACTCTGTTGCACAAATCAACAATGCCTCTGACAGCGAGGTCAGCAACGAGGTCTTCAACAACGGCCTCAGCACCGACATCATGCTCTCGGGTATTTTTGGGTCTGGTCCAAACGACTTTGTGTTTGGAAGTGAAAGCATCGGTCCTCCCGAGGCTTTTTATCCTTTCGTAAGCATATCTTCCAACGGCAACATGGGCATCGTTGACGAAGACGAGGATGGTTCTTCGAGCGATGATTATGAGGATGACATCAACATCACCGACTTTATGGACTTTGGTTCTGACGGCGATGATACCGATCTCGACGAAGATGATGTCGACGACACTGATGTGCCAGCAACTCCAGCCACCTCCCAGGTGGTAAACCATGGCTCGACTCCGGCTGCACCCTCGACTACTACCCCACAAACCCGCAAGAGAAGCACCTCGGATGTCATGCTCGAGCACTTTGATCGCGGTGTTGTTACCGCCTTCCGTACCAACCAAAACCGCTACCGCGACGTAGCATCTCTGCCGTCAGACCCAGCAGCTCGAGCCTCTGTCTCACGTCCGGTTCGCTCTGGAAAGTCGGCTGAGGCGTTGATCACACCACTCCGGAAGCGTTCGCGATCAAACCGCGTGGCCAAGTCACCTTTGAAGAACCACACCAACATGAACCAGAGTTCGCCCCTATCGGGCGTTACCAAGGCTACAGGCCGGCTGCAAAGCTCGGTCATGGGCTCCCCTCGAGGACCGCCTCGGATGGGACGCTTTTCTTGAACACACTTATACACACTTGGCGCCGGTTGTCGCCACAATCATCAACCACGGCATGCCAGACGACGGGCGGCACGGACTAGGAGGATGAAGAAGTAGGACTAGGGGAGGTTTGCCTACGATGTTACGATACCCACGGCCTTTTACTTCTAGCTGTTCTCCACGGCTATGTCGTTAGTACGGACTTGATCATGCATGTGCATGTTTTTCAAAAGTTCCTCTTGGGCCCTTTCGACGGTCCGGATAAAAGTTGCGGGATATTACGGGCTTTTAGAGCGGAGATTACAGCATGCGGCTACACACCGGCTTCATTTGGCTAGTGCAGCCTCGTCGCGCTTCTGACGAATTTCCTTTGTTTTTCTTCCTTTGTCCCTGATTTCAAAGCGACTGTTTATTTCCATACTCTTCCTATGTGGCTACTTGTTTCCTCAAAAGGAGTAAACAGGCTGTTTTGGGAATGATACCATGTGTTTCACCCGCAAGCACAATCTGAAATGGGGTTTCTGCTTCCTCTGGCGTTTTGGGTTCACGGCTTGCAGGCTGTCGACCTGATGGCGTTGAGAGGCTGACGGGGTTGCTCACGAGTCCATCGTGTACTCGTTTCTTTTCTTTGTATGGAGTCGGGTGATGGGATAGGCAACAGACATGGTGTAGGATTAGCGCTGGGTTCTTTTCTACTGCTGTATTGCTTGAATGAAAACTTTGTCTCATGACTTGATGGGTCTTGATTGAGCTGTGAAGTGATGCAGTGACGTGCAAATGTTTAGTGCATGTGGTCTGTGCAAGCTACGTCACAACCCAAGTGCGGCGCACGACAGCATGTGAAGATCAAGCGCGTGTGAAAAAAACGCATTCCAACAACCACAAACGTCTGCTGCGTAGTGTAGCAGGTGGTTATGGAGGAACTCGAAGATGATGTTCACCAAGACAAGTCAATTGTACGGGTTGTGATTGTAAGATGTCCCCGACCCGTCGTCGCGACGATTGCTCCTCCCACATCTCCCCACCCACCTGCGCATCGCCCGCCCACGCGTACCACTGATTGAATGCCTAGGACTCCCTACTTCTACCCCTTCGCATCGCGACATCGCCAGCCCTGATACGGACGTACCTGCGCACCGCACTTCTCTTCATCGCATCCACTATCCTTTTCGGCTTCGCTGTCGTAGCCTATTCTTCCTTTTACTATGCCTACATTCCCGTCCGCGGCATCGTAGTACCGGTATATCTCCAGTACGATCATAGTCCAGTGGTTCTACATACACCCACGCAAGTCAGTGGCGTGCCAACCGGAAAAGCAGCAAAATGGCCGTACGGACTCGCAAACATACCCGGGCTAGTGGACCGCCAAAAGTACGACGTAGTCGTTGAACTCGACCTCCCAAGAAGCGAAACCAACCTCCGCGCTGGCAATTGGATGATAGGCCTGGAATTTCGGGGCCCCACGACACTCGGGCAGGGCGTAAAACACATGCTGGGCTGGGACGAAGAGTGGAACGTCGAAGACCACAGTCAAGGCGGCGCACCGGGCAACACAGCTGAGAAAGTCGTAACAGACGATACAACGCCTCAGACTCCTACGGTCCTTGCTCGAAGTAAAAGACCAGCAATCCTCACATACCGGAGCCGCATCCTTGAAATGATTTACCGTCTCATGCGCCTCCCGTTGTATTTGCTGGGTTGGCACAAGGAATCCGAGCATGTAACTATCAAAATGATGGAATCAGTCATGTTTGAACCTGGATACCGCAATGTACCTTCCTCACTACGTCTTGAACTCCGATCGAAATTGCCGTTGGAAGTTTATCGTGCAAGCGTGCACATTACCGCGCGTCTCGAAGGGATCCGATGGCTCATGTATCGGTACCGCATTCTCAGCGCTATCCTTGGTATCTTGAGCTTTTGGGGAATGGAAATGTGCGTGTTGGTGATTACGTGGGGTACATTCACATTGCTTGCTTCGTCTTTCTCGTCGGTACCCGGGGATGATGAGGAGGAGAGGAAAGAAGAGAAAAAGATTAAGGCCGAAGCTGGGGAAACGGACCCAGGCACCCCGTTTAGTGAGACGAGTCGCACATTTCCTACCCTGCCGTCGCAGTATCCACTTTCGTATAGTTCGTCTGGTGGTGGTGTTAAGCAAGAGGAGAGTGAATCGGCGTTGAAGGATATCCCAGTGAAAGAAGAGGCGGAGGCGGATGATGAGGATGAGGATTTTTTGCTCAAAGTACCGTTGCCCGTGGGCGTGGAGAGGGAAGGTGTGTTTACGGATTCGGGATTAGGGACGGGGTTGGAGAGTGGGGTTGAAAGGGGAGCTGCGAGGAGGAGGGTGATGAAGGGGGAGTAGAGTTGAGTTGATTTTCTTGGTGTTATTTTTGAGGGGAGGAAGTATAGAAGATGGTGGCGCTGGTATATATATATCTTTTGTGTGTCTAATTTGTAAACTGAGGAAGAAGGAGATGTATTGAATATTGAGTTTTCCGGCTGGACTAACGTCATTAAGTTATCAAAAGTCGCAAGGCACTCACCCTCGTGTCTTCCAAAGAAAATACGGTGCGTAAGAAAGCTGCTCACAACATGGGTCTCTCAGCCGCAGGATCCCTCCCCCTAGCAAACTTCCTGTCAATCCTCTCCCTCCCCTTCACCATCATCTCTTTCGCTTCCTCATCTGTAATCTGTGTTAAACCCGCTGCTACGTCCTTGTCCTCCCTCTTCAGCGTCTTTGCTCGGATCATGACTGCAGTGCTTTCCAACACCTCCTTTCCTCCTTCTTTCCCACCCACCACCCGCTTGACAAACTCCATATGCTCCTTGTAATGCACCTCACTTTCCCCCAGTCCCTCCAGCAACACCGCAAAAACATGCGGCATAGCCTCGAACTCGCGCCACGTCACACTTACCCCTTGCTTGACAGCGCGTTGCGCCAGCACCGCCGCTTCATCCCTTAGCATCTCCTGGCCGATGGAGAAGAACAAGGGAGGACTACCGCTCCAGTCCTGAGCTGAGAGCGGTGACACGAGGGGATGGAGGAGGGCGCTGGCGTTGCAGTAGAGATCTGCACGGGGAGGATTGGCGGGCCAGACTTCATCTGCGGGAAAGTCGCGTTTTTCGGTTTGGCTGGGTGGCGGGAGGTAGTCGAATGTTGTTTCGCTTTCTATGGAGGGTAGAGCGCGGGTTACGTCGAGCCAGGGGGAGGTTAAGGCAAGGCCTGCTGGTAGCGGGATTTCAACATCCTTCCCGTGGAAGCGCACTGTGGGGGTTTGGCCGGAAGGAGTGGATCTGTGGATTTGCAAGAGGAGTTGCAACAACGCCGTGCAGCAGAGACCTCCTGCTGAGTCTCCCCCGAAAACAATCTTACTCGCGGGAACGGCCTCGTGAAACGCACCCGGCGGCGGCGCAAGCAGCGACAGGTACGCCGTAAACGCATCCAGCAGCGCCGCGGGAAACGGATTCTGTGGCGACAATCGATACCGCACGTTGAACACGCGTCCGCCCGTCTCCCTTGCAATCCTCGCACCCAACCCACGGTATCCCGCCGGATCAAGCAAATACATCGCTCCCCCATGAAAATAAAGCATCGTCACACTCCCCTCCTCCGTCTCCTTCATCAACGCCTCGTACTTTTCCCTCTCCCCCATCCCCGCCGGCTCCCCCTCGCCATCTTTAGCTTGCGAGCGATAGCCATTCCACTCGGCCTCCAGCGCCTTTTGCTCCGGCTCCTCCCACTTCTCATCCCCACTCCCCATATCTCTCACCGCTTTAAACATCATCTGCCGCACATCGTCTTCCCCGGGGATAGGCATCGCTACTTTGCTAACCCACATCTTGCCCTTCACCCCCGGGTCCCGGAGCGTAAAACGCTGTGTTTTGCCAATAGGCTGTGGTGTCGCATTCGGCCCTATCATCTCGCGCAGCATGGTCACCGTAAGGGAGGTTTTCAAGTCCCATTTTGTGCTTTGCGGGGTGAGGGAGAGGGAGTGCCAGAGGGCTGTTTTGACGAGTAAAGGGGTTTGCGGGAGGAGGAGTTTGAGGATCGCGGAGGGTGACGAGTCCATCTTCTTCCTTTGCTCTTTTTTTTTCTTTCTTTCTTACTTTTACTTTCTTATATGGGAATCTGAGAGTTGAAGTGTCTATGTCCCTTTCAGGCAGCTCCGTTTTAGAGGAATGTTGTATATATGTATATCCAGAGTCCGAAAGAGCGATATTATCAAACGGAAGTACTATGTCGTGTCGGGCGTTCAAAACAAAACAACAAAAAAAGGGAAGAATAGGTGTTCCCCTCCGTGGCGCAAAAAGGGTATAAAAGTCTTGACGTCGTTCGCATATTGAACCCTTTAAAAGATGCCTCGGCAACAGAAAGTCTACCCGAGTCATGCGCGCCATGGGTACGAGATACGGTCGATACGGCTCGGCGTGGGAAGAGGGCATCTTGTTACTATCTTGTTTATCAGGCAACAGCGACACACTGCAACCAAATCCAACTTTGCCAAAGGAATAATCCCTCTGTTGTTGTTTTCTGTTGTGAAGATAGTTAGTTAAAGTATACGGCTTATGTCAGCTTTCGTATTTCGTACTACTTACTGCGCGCTTATCGTTTCTTATTGTGGAGTAATAAAAGCTAAAACCATGTCAGACCTCACGACAATCATAAACCAAGATTGGAGAACTCGTTGATGAATAATATCCATTTCCAAGGCAGAATAAAAATAACGATGGGGAACAAAAACTGTGTAGTATCCCCTGGTGGTATCTTTGCCCCTGTTTCCCAAAAACGCCCTGTTGCGCCCCAACCCAACCCGCTTCAATACAAACGTACGCAGCGCGTATCCCTTTCCAACTAGCTTCACACATACAAACCCTTTCTACCCTAGTGTTGATGGAGAGCTTGTTCTGCTACCCACCGCCTTATTAGAAGACTCATCGGCCGAAGAGTCGCTAAAGGCCGATTGCAGTTCCTCAGCAACAGAGGTTGAGTCCGGGTCCTCACCCGCGGACGACTCGTTATCAGCGGAATAGTGGAGCGAAAGTGACTCCAACTCCTCACTAACAAACGACTCATTATCAGCCATATAATCCGCGGAAGTCGACTCCTAGCCATCCAACTCGCCCTCTTCACTGCCCCTCTCCGTCACGTTCCCATCCGCAGTGCCGTTAGCAGGAGGCTGGCTTTGATTGGTCATCTGGACTCCCTCCATGCTCCTAGGCGTGTCCCCAAAGTCGATGCCATCTTCGGGTGTTCTAAGCCCGGCGTACATGTTAGGCTCGCCGTCCTTATCGGGCGTCTTCTCGTACAGATCAGCCATCAGATTGCATGCTTTTCTGATGTCACGCAGCTGGACGTGCTGAATCTCCCACCAAGGCTTGCCGTCGTCGTCACTTAGCTCAACCTCGGCCATGCGCGCGCCAGCATACAGCGATGCTGCGGCAATTGTTCGTGAAGGAAAGAGCAAACACATTTGTGTGGATGTCGAGTCGGAGAGAAAAGCCCAGGCCGAGTTACGCAGCTTTTTATTGTGCTCGACGCCGTAGTACTTCATCATGTCGTACATGATCTTATATGGCGACTCAACATTGAGGTCAAAACATAGAGCCTCGAGTAAGACATCTTCGCTGTACAAGATGGTATCCCGCCATTTCCAGAAATCTTTTGTTTGCTCGTCGACAAGCTTGTTCGGGTCTTTAAGGGCCACTCGGACACATGACACGACGAGTTCTTTCATCTTGCGGCAGTTCTCTTCGACCTTGGTAGCGAGAAATAATGCAGTCGCAGCGATTTGCTAGTAATGTCAGATGCGCCCAGACGATACAGGAGAAGTTGTGTGTCGACTTACATAATGGTGAAGTGGCTTGTAACCAGGCCGTGGCTTGAGGCTCATCCGCATCAGGTAGCGGTTGAAGAATACGGCAGCCGTGCTCAGAGTCGTCTGTGGAAGCTTGAGCATCATACCCACCTGCAATATGAAACCCACGCCTTTCCGTCGCAGTGTCCGCTCCTCTTCCGGAGCCATTCCATCGGTTATCGACGGCGCCAGAAGCAGCTCTTCTTCTGTGAATATCCACTGCATTTCGGCTTCGACTACCGCCGGCGGTGGCGGACGAGGAGGCTCGCGCTGTGGCACCATTGTGCTGGATGTGGTCGAAACCATAGCCAAAGGCTAACAACACCAACGTTTGGGGGTTAGAGATGGAGTGCTGTGCAAGTCGTAGGTGCCGATACAAGTGGACGCGCGTTGTCGTAGAGGCCAAGTAGCAGGCTATGATAGACAGTCGATCAGACGCAAAGGCCCACGGAGCGCAAGAACGGATAGCGGTGTTTCGCGACGACGGGCAGGGCAACTGCCGGATAGAGAGAAGCTTTTGTTCGTGAAGTGTTCATGAAGCTCGACTGCTGCAAGGGCCAGCGGGTCTCTTCCGCGGCGAAAGCAGGGATTAGCGCCAAGCCCATGCCTCCATTCCATCACCCTACCCGCACCATCACAGCATATCGGTGGCGCCTGTCCTAAAAGCTTATTCTTCTCACACCGATGGGCGTGTGACCATACTGAAGGTTTATACAATATGACTCAGGTATCGTTTCGAACCATCCGAGGGACTCCATCTGAAAACACTAAATCCGCAGTAGTTCAAACAAGATTGCAACTTAGTAGATAGTAGATCATATTTTGTAGGCTTCATTACTGGAATCCCCTAGATACCCCCATCCGGACAAATCTTGAAGAGTTTATAGTCGTGCATGGACAAATAGCAGGTAAAATTAAAAATACTTAGAAGTAAAACCACACATGTGAAAAACCACGGTATTCGAGCCCAAGTTCGTGATTCTTTCCACCCAAACACGCCCGGTAATGCTATTGATTGATCGTATCCTCTAAGAGAGGTAAAAAGCTTCGAAAAGGTAGATGACACCAAAAATGAGGAAGGCAATCGCGCCACCAAGAGTCACTGTGTAATGTTAGACATGCTTTACCACAACAAAGAGAGGTGTTCTTACCATTGCGCATACTAATCCGGCCAGCGATGGCACGGCCGCCGATGACTGCACCTGCAGTACACAGGCCATGGCCTACCACGGCACCAGCAGTGACATACCAATAGTCTGAACCAGCAGCCATGGCAACTGTGGCAATCTGACTGCGGTCGCCCCATTCTCCAAGGAATGTCATGACAAACGTCTGAACCCAAGCGGGACTTAGGAGCAAAGAAAATAGGTTATTGACAGCGCCCATTGTGCTGGACATTGAGCCTCCGCGTGGAGATGGCATGCGGTCGGGTGAGCTAGACGGGCTTCGAGCAGGTGCAGGTAGTCGCGAATTCGATCGTGAGCGTCGGACGCCACGGCCAGACTCCAAAGCATATGGGGAGACAGAAGCCTTTCGGCGGCCCTGGTGTCGCGCAAGCTGCTCCTTTTCTTCCAATTCCTGCTCCACCTCTCGCATCTCTTCTCCAACACCTTCATCCGGGCTCATAGCGAGACCTTCCTTAATGAGCCTTACACCAAAGACGAGGAAGAGAGCGGCGGCGGCAAAATGCGTGAAGCGTTCAGACAGGAGTGCAGGGACGGCATGGCCCATAACGGCAGAAAGCACTGTCATGACTACCAGAGCAGAGAAGGCAGCAGAGAAGACGAGTAGCCGTGGGTGTCGCATGGCCATGAGAGCGGCTACAAGGAACGTCTTGTCACCAATTTCCGAAAATATAATCATGGTAAAGGCAAGGATCAAGGAGTGGAAGGGCTGTACAACGCCGGCGTCGGCATCCCCACCGGGCGTCAAAGAGGGTGTCTTGGATGATGAAGAAGTGTCCAAAGGATCTTTGCTGGAAACCGAGTTTGGAACAGGGAGGGGGTTGTCATGAGGAGATTCGGGAAGGTCGGTGGGTTTCTACATTCAAGTTAGCATCATGTTGTACTTGTAGCTATTTTGAATCCTACCTCCAACCCGCCTGCACCGAGTACGCGCGAAGGAGTTGCTGCATCTCCTGCGTCTCCCTTCAATTGCTTCTGGTCGTGAGGGTGAGGAGGCGCCTCTTTGGGCGATTCCGGGACCTGTTCCATCTTCGAGCCCGTCTTTTCTTCATGCGCTAATCGCTCCTTGTCTTTTGCAGAAACTCCACCCTCGGTGCCTTTGCTGCCTGTAGCCAGTTTCCGTGTGGGATCTTGCATGACGCTCTTGTCGCCATCGAGCACATCGTCGATCAGAACGGTGCTGGAGGAGGCTGCTGGCTTCTTTGCCACCCCTAGGTCCTCTACGACATTCGGAGCTTTGCCATGAGCCTTAGGTACGTCGGCAACATATGGGCCGTGGTGAGGCAAGCCATCGTAGCCGTCGACGGGTGCATCTTTGGTGCCTTTTGCGACTGTCGGGGATGCAAGAGGGGGTTCGGCGAGAAGGGTAGCGTCGGGGGAAGCAGGTGCGGCTGCTCGCGCGAGTCGTTTGTCGGCGGTGGTGTCAACTGGGCCGGGTGTAGCGAGGACTTGTAGAGCGGGCAAGAGAAGCAGCAAGATCTGCGGCCCTGGCTGTCGTAACTTCATGATGAAAGCAATTGGGATGTGAGCGAGGGAGGGCAGAAAGGCAAGGAAAGGGTCTTCGGCGATGAATTGAAGCGTAGGCAGGAAAAGGGTCGTAGGTGTACGTATGTAGAGAGAGCGACGAGAACAGAACAACAAGTGGCGAAGGAGTGTGGAGGTGCAACGAGTTAATTGGATTCAAGTTGGAAACAGGCGTGCTTGGCGTTTGGGCGTACGCCAGTCGAGTTACACTGGGGTGAGCGGCGTGTGGAGGAGGGCGCAGGCGTGCAGCCAGCCCACATATTATATTTAGTCGGCGTGTGTACGCAAGCACATAAGGCACTAGTTTAGGGGGAGTTTTTCTTTTCAGGGAATTCTGACAGTGGAGTGAGCAAAGGCGGAAACGTCCCTTGAATGCCGTAGTCCCGTCTCGACCTCAAACGCTTCGTATGCACGTCTTCACTGGCCTCCCCCCTGCCCAAGTTTGAGGTCCACCCCTAGGCTGCGACGGCCGGTGCTGACTCATGGCTAGCTTCGACCACGTGACTGCCCGTTGGGCAGGCGTCCTTAGTCAGCCGCAGTCGCGCATCAGACGGTAAACAAGTCGGCATCACCACCGTTAATACTCACATACGCCGTCAGCACTTGGTTGCGCCACCCACGCACCCTCCGCCGCATGTTCTACTTATCGATACAACGTGCCCTTTCGAATCCCAATGGCTGACAGTAGAGGTGTGCGGTCCGCAGGCCAACGCGAAACGCCTGCTCCACAACTACCACTCTCCAAGACTACCGCGACACAAATAGCGCGCACATCACGCGCAAGAAGCTTGCGCAGTGCAAGTCGCGAAATCACAGACTTTGTTCCTGTTGAGAAACCCACCCGTCGATCCGCACGCCAGGCAAGCGTCACTTCCGTAACCGACGAGAATGAGAGCGAGGAAATCCAAGCGCGTCAGACAAGGCGCGAAGCCCTGAAAGAGGCGTTGGAAGGTCAGTAGCCACTTTGCAACCCCGCTACATCATCTGCGCAACCCTACGCAGTCGTGAATTGATTACCAGTCACTAGACTCGCCCATGGCTGATGATGAACGTGCCTTAGACCTCACTGTCGTAGAAGAAATGGATGCCCAGCTAGCGCTCGACGAGATTGAACCCCCAGGCACGCCTGAACACGCAACTCCAGAAATCCCTATGCCATTCCGTTCCCCCGGTGCCATATCCGAAATGTCCGGAACCACTGCGATTTCTTCTTTCAGCATGGTCGAGGCCGAATTCTTAGAGTCCAGGTTCATTGTAAAACACTTGCGCAAGCTTTGCGATTCCGCGGACGAATTCTTGGAACACATTGCGCCCAGCGGTGCGACCATGCCGGACGATTTACGAAATATAAAAGAGATGCAGAAGCCGGGCTCTGCCTATTCTGAGGAGTACCTTGACTATGAGATAGAACTGAATGTGCATCTGAAGCACTTCAAGAGCGAAGAACACAGCTACATCCATGTCCGCGCGCTTCATCGCGCTCTCTTCGGCACTGACGAGCAGACTGCCGCATCGGATGCCGGCCTTGATCTGATATTATATCTGACGAACTTGCTCATTTTTGCGAAACAAATGATTTATTCTGACCGAGATGACAAGACTATGTGGGATGTGCTACGACAGCTGGACAACACTTTCCCTGCACAATTCATGCGCTCACTAGACCCTAATGCACAGCCGTCTGGTAAAGGCGAAAGCAGACTTTTTAGAGAGACATTTCTGCTTGCACTGGAGCTGCGGACCCAACTAGCGATATTGGTGCTTCAAAAATTGACCGACAGCCTCGACTTCGATCCTGACGAAACAGTGAGCGAGATCTTCTTCCGCTCAGAGTCATCACAAGCTGTGGACGGCTCTTCAATTCGTGGTTGGAACACTGCAGCATTGGGAGGCGACGAGGCTCCACTACCCCAAGAACTTCAAGATCAAGTTGCAGCGCGTTTGAACGAGATCCGGCACTTCTTCCTAACGGACGAGGATTCATTGCAGCGTGGCGAGCTTGTCGAATTGGAACGGCTGAGAGAGAAATTTCCTTGGGAAGCAACGATTCTTCGCTTGTTAGCGTGGGTGCGTCTGCGACGCAAGGAGCTGCTTGATGCGATTGAAGATCTTGGTGGAGCAGTGGCAATTGCGCGCGACATTAAGAAGCTCCATGAGGAGCCACAGCCTGTGATTGAGCAAGCGAATGGCCCGACAATCCCACAAGAATCGCCGCAGAGGAAGCGGACCTCATTTGGACGAGAGAGGCGACGCAGCAGTCGCAAGTTTGATCCCAACGCTGCTGTAGACTTTCGTGCGATTGATATGCTCAAGGCCAGGGAACGTGACTCTGGAGTAGATTTTGAAGTTAATCCTTCTCGACAAGAACAGAGCAAAGAGCCGGTTCAACAAGTAGCGGAAGCAGAAGGAAAGGAAGGAGAAGAAGAGCCTCTGGTAGAACCCCCGCAACAAGATGGTATTCAGCCAGTATTAGAAAACGACAAACCACAGCAGCAAACAGAAGAGGACCCACAGGATCAGGCACAACCGGGGGAGGTTACTGAGGAAAGGGAAGATCAATCTGAAGAACCTGTCGCGTCTAATCCACCACAAAGTTCAGCAGCTTTACTCAAACGCTTGAAAGCTGTGGGGAAACCTCAGAAGGAGAACCGCCCAGTATCAATATTCGACCGGCAGGTTACTGCGCAGCGTGTCGAGTTTGGGGATGGCTTCGACGAGACACAGCCTACGCCAGGACCTTCCAACACAAACAAAGCAAAGCCGCCTCCAGAATCATCATCACGTAAACGCTCACGACCAATGGACGACTCCGACTCTGACGATGCGTTCGAAAGCGAAGACCGTGGTCTCCGCGTTCCAGAACGCCGGCGCAACGCTCCAATGACCAAAAGAGTTCGTATTGACCCTCCATCCTCCGCTCCTCCACCAAGTCATCAACCTCCATCACGCCCAACCCGATTATCCCAACAACCACCAGATCAAGCAGAGTCCGTCTCTGAGACTGAGGCTCCGGAGATGACTGAAGAAATCCCATCCTCAAACTACCAGGCTCAACGTCAACTTGCTCAGGAGAACCAGCGGCTCCAGTCTCGCAGGTATCGAAACGAGCGCAAGCCCCGCAAAGGATGGTCCAACGAGGAGGAAGACGCCCTGTGTGAATACATGCGCATGTATCCAGGCAAGTACTCGATGATTCTCACATACGACAAGAGCAACGGCAACTTCCTGGAAGGCCGGACACAAGTCAATCTCAAGGACAAGGTCAGGAACATGGCGCTCAACATGATCAAGTAAGTTGTATATCTAACATGGACCTTTGTTGATGGGATGAACATGCTAACAAGTGGTAGATCTGGTACTGGACTCAGACCAGGCTTCGAGCACATTGTGCATCCAAAAGAGAAATACGGCGCAGCCCTGGTAGAGAGCGGATGGCTAATGCGTGATGATGGTGAGTGGGTGCACCAGGAAGATGCATGAGTGTGAGTATACGTTTTAATGATAAGCTTGTCGCGTTTCTTGCGCTTCACCCCCCTTTTATGTGTATAAGGAATTTGCTTCGCACAGGGGCACTAAGGGAAAGAGAGGGTGGGAGGGTCGTAAACGCTTTTTTAATCTTTCTTTCTTCAATAGTTGCCGATACTCTTGATACCCACGGCTCGTTTGGCGTATGAAATCGCACGTTTTGTTGGCTCCCTTCCCGAGCCAACTCTTTTTTTTCCCCACTACAAGCAAAAAATCCAAGTGTTCCATGTAATGCTCTTAGTTGATTTTTATATCAGTTCTCGCCATCTGACACCCCATTCGCCCTTTGCAAAGCTCGCTTCGACAACAGCGCCTTTCATGACGGCCTCGCACTTTCTCTTCTCGGGCTCGTCGGGAACCGTGAAGCCAAAGGCACATCCGCGTCTCGCTGCTTTGCGCACCATTTCCCGTTCGTCTGCTTTTCGCTGGCCTTCGCGGCGCTTCAGTTTCATCTCGTCTGTCTCCTCAATGCGCTCGGCCCAGCCTTTTTCGCCACCGACGGAGCCATTGACGTCGTTTTGAGCTTGTGGAGGCCGGATCTTGCCGGATCCGTAGCCATATTCTATCGTGTCGGAGAGAGCATGTGAGGTGGTTCCTGGTGGCGAGGAAGGCTCCAACACGACTCCACCATCGGCTTCGTCCTCAGAGTCTGAGATGGTATCTTCGTCACTGGTAAGATCTGGCGGCGGAGGTTGTGTTGAAGCTTCTGTGCCACTGGAAGCAGTTCCTGGTGTCGGATGATCGACCATATCTACGCTTCGCCAGTCCTCTGGTTTCTCGACTACAAAGCGCGCTTTGCGATTTTTACGGCGCCCGTACACTTTCTCGGGGTCTTTTTCGCGCTGAAAGACGATTTCTTCTACAGTGCTACACTCGATGATGACTCTGTGATCGCCTTTTGTCATCTTAGAGGGCTTCTTTTTGTGCTTCTTTTCGCCTTTGCGGCCTTTTCCATAATCATGATCTTCTTCATTTCGATCCATCTTTACGCCATCACTTGCAGGCTCTGCCCCAGCATCTTCTTTCAATGACTCTATGCTCGCGCCGTTTAGCAGAGCTGCGAAAGTGGCTTCGATTTTGCGGTCAATTGGACCGGGTTTGCTATTGCGGCATCTTGCTGAACAGTACTTTACTTCTGCGGCCTTTTGTGTTTTACGTCGGTCACCGATGACTCGACCGCAACTGTGGCAATATGGGACTGAGTCGCCGACGGTGAGGTATAGGGGCGGTGGAGTGACGGCATGTTTGCTCGGACGAGACCAAGAGTCCATCCACGACATTTTGCTGGTGATGGTGTTGAGACCTCTGGAAAATACTAGAGATGACGACGAGTAGATTTTGGATACGACGGAGAGTGGATGCCTTGACAATTGCGTTTGATGGAAGTTGGTCGAGATTATGAGGCTTGAGAGTTTCGGGGTACGGGTGCACGACGTCATCGGCACCTGTAATGGTACACGATTGTCTGCAGGAGCACACTGTGCCTCGCAGGCGCTAAGAACGGTGAATCTTTCATTGCGAACGCTTTGCAATAGCACAAGCAAACCTGATGATGACGTATTCGAAGTTACAGTTGGGTGTAAGTAGGCGTGTTTGCGGCACGTGGCTATGCACACCCATGATTTTTTAGGCGTCCTCAGCAAACAACTTCCATCGACTTTAATACTGCACTCCAAAGCCCATCACTCACAGGTGACGGGAGGTGAAAGTATGGTAGTTGTTGCACTACCTCCACAACCCCCCCCCAGCCGATCCCTCGGATGTTACTCATCTCTGTTTCTGAAAGTTACCGAGCTTAGCAATCCTCCGACTCGGCAATGTGAGCGCGCAAATTCGACTCACTAAGTAAGGTCCGTTTCACCGGAGGGAATCATGGAGAGGATATATGACCCCCGCCCGGCGCTCCGCTCGCTCTGGCAGTTGAGTTGAGGCGCCGGAATTTTGTTGAACCTCTTGGGCTCTATTCTGCGCAGAACTTCAGATCACGTCTTGCCCAGGCAATAAAGCCCCGTTGCGAAGCGGACAAATGGAGCGCCTATCGCTATCTGCAGCGACCTCAATGCCGACATCTGTCTTCGCACAGTCATCCCCCCATCACGACTTCATCGCCAGCCGACGAATTCCGAGCGTGCGCCGTCGTCGCTGGAAGAAAGTAAAGTCGCTGCCAAGACCCAGAGCATCCGTCGCCATGTCGCCTGCACTGGACCCCACGACGGGTGAAACCGGCCCCAAGGCATCGCGTGCGCAAGCCATAGAGATTACCTCGACCCCGGACTTCGGACGTCCCAGGCGGACTACTGCCCAGAGCGATATCCAAGACACCATCCAGCACCCAGGCAGCGTGCGCATCAATGTTCAGGGCGCTTTCATAGTCGACGAGGAGCAGCCGGGTACGCCGAAAAGCGAAGACTACGAACACGATCCACAGGACATTCGGCTGCCCAACCACACGGCCGTCGTGAGCCATGTAGCTGTTGATGTGAGTGCTCCTGCGCGATTCTTTGCTTGTTATTGCACCCGGTACGCGACCATGCGCTGTCGCGTTCTTCCCGCGCCGACCCCTTTACAAAAGCGTAAGCAGCAACATGCTAATGCGACCTGGTAGATTGGAGGCTCCCTTGCCAAACTCGTATACTTTTCGCGCGAACCAGGCGATGATGCGGCGGGCGGACGGCTGAACTTTTTCAAGTTCGAGACGGATCGCATCGACGCATGTATAGAATTTATGCGCAAGCTCAAGGACGACCAGAAACAGCACAATGATTCGAAGTCACAAGACCTGTGCATTATGGCCACCGGAGGAGGCGCATTCAAGTACCATGACAAAATTACACAGGCGCTAGATGTAGAGGTCATACGAGAAGACGAAATGGAGTGCTTGATCATAGGTATGATTATTGCCGCTGTCTATATGTTGCGACAGAACACTGCTGACGATGGCGCTACCCAGGCCTCGATTTCTTCATCAACGAGATACCCGATGAAGTCTTTACCTACAGCGAAGACAGCCCCATGGAATTCGTGCCACACCCTCCGGACCCACCAAACATCTACCCCTACCTTCTCGTAAACATTGGCTCCGGCGTCTCCATGATCAAAGTCTCAGGACCACGACAATTCGAGCGTATAGGCGGAACATCGCTAGGCGGTGGAACACTCTGGGGTCTTTTGTCTCTACTCACAGGCGCCCGTAGCTTCGACGACATGCTCCGACTCGCCGAAAACGGCGACAACTCCAGCGTCGACCTCCTCGTCGGCGACATCTACGGCCAAGCATACAACAAGATCGGCCTCAAGAGCACACACATTGCCTCTTCCTTCGGCAAAGTCTACAAGATGAAGCGCGCCGCCGAGCGCGAAGCAGAAGATGGCTGCAACGGTGACCTCAAGCGCAGAGAGGAAGCAGAACACGTCCAGGGCTCTGCAGAGCTCCCTCACACCCCCGGTTCCTTCCGTCCAGAAGACATGGCACGCTCGCTCCTCTACGCCGTCTCAAACAACATTGGCCAAATCGCTCATCTCCACGCTGAAAAACATGGCTTACCACGTATCTACTTTGGCGGCTCTTTCATCGGCGGCCACTCCCAGACTATGAATACCTTGTCCTACGCCATTCGCTTCTGGTCCAAAGACACGCGCCAAGCGTATTTTCTCAGACACGAGGGATATCTCGGTGCTGTAGGTGCGTTTTTGAAGAGGCAGCCGAGGAACTGGGGGAGAAGGGAAAGCTTTGCGGGGCAGGCGAGACCGACTTGAGGTTTTTTCCCTCTTTCTCTCAGGATTCCCGCTTTATTCTTCCTTCTTCATTTCTTTTCCTCTCTTCCAATTCATATGGATCGCCCTGTTTTTTCTGGGGAGACAGCTGGCGTACATAGTTGTATAGAAGATAGAGATTTTTTTCGGTATAATATTATCGACTAATACTGCCCTTGATCACTCTTGTTCTTCAGTGCTCAGAATGCTAGAAAAAACACGAGTCAATTGAGCGATTGCTCGGCCCGAGAATCTGCGGAAATTAAGAGAAAATTAAGTGTTTTTCTCAACAACATACCGGTCCGGCTTAATTGCGACCTACTAGCAAGGTTGAGCCAGGAATAATCACGTATAGTTGCAGATTCTAAAGAAAGGCCGTTGATTTTTCAACTTGATACTAGCTACGTCTCATTTATAGTACACAATAAGCCGGTTCTTATAGCTTGGACTATTCCTCTTTTGGGATTTGAAGTAACGCCAAATCCTTGTTAAGAGAGTGTTGTCGGTCCGCTATCTCATTCCCGATTAAGCAAAGTTTGTTAGCGAGGTTCGCTCTTTTGACTAGTCGACGTTGATCTTGTCTCGCGTTTGGTCGTATCAGACCCAGCAATGCGTTCAATGGGATTTGCTCTAGACCCCGTAGTTGCGCTATCTGGCTGCTGAAGTTGTTCAACACCGACACCTCGATCGAGCGACTTGGCGACATTGCTCTTGTACATAGGCTTTAGATGGTAGTACGACGGATCAGGTTGGTTGTGGCCTGGTCCACGAGCCAACACTTCATCAGGGGCATGCGCAGGCTCAAAAGTGGGAGGATCAAGCTTCTGAGCAGCCTGGAGGCCTGAGGCACCGCCTATCGAGCCACGGAGACGGTGGATATTTACGCGATCTATATACTTCATTGATTCGGCGTCAGGTCCGACAGGGAAAACGGGGTCTAGTTTGTTGGCTGCTTCGAGTCCGGATAATGCACCTATTGAGCCACGGTGCTCATGTGGTGAGTTGGGACCGTGCTGGTGTTTATGAGATACATGCTAGGTTTCTCCGAGACCATGTGAGGTGTTCCAGACGATTTCTTTGTCATCTGTATATGATTAGTTTACTAATTTATCGGAATCATATGGAAAGAATCGAAATGGTTCGCAACAGGGACTGTGTAACTTGGTGCACACACTGGGACTTACCAGTGCCGTCAGTTTTCTGGATAGGAAGAAAAGTGTATAAATCAGCTAAGACATTTAGCACAAATATCGAACATAGGCGGGATATAATGTGAAGGGTATAACAATATTAGATTATAAGGCCGTATCTATCTGCGTGTATCGTATCCCGTACCACCAATTGTAGAAGTAGGATCAGCTCGGTGATCTTGATCAGAGTCGAAGCGCGGGTCAAGCTTGTTGCCCACGTTGGTCGAGTGGGGACCAGCATTGGCAGAGCCGGTTGCTGTTCCCCTGTGGTCTGTGTCTGAATCAAATCTTGGGTCCAGCTTGTTGCCAATGTTGGAGTCGTGTGGGCCGTAGTTTGTAGATGTAGAAGTGGTATTGGTAGGAGCAACACCAGCACTTGTGACATGACCGCGGTAGCCACTGTCCCATTCGTCGACTCCCTTGTTGGCAATCTCTTGGTTCTTGACTGCGCTCGCCTTGTCACCGCTTGCTTCGTCGACCATGGACATTGCATTGCCACGGATGGCTTCGCCAGTGCCCTGGAACCTGTCAGTTATCGGTCCACGGCATTCCTGCCCAGCTCAAGATATGCAAAGACTTACATGAACCATGTGCACACCCTTGCGGATGGCATCACCAAGGCCGGGACCAGAGTTTGCGCCAGTCATGTTGAGTGTGTGTAGTCGTAAATTATGAACAATAGTTGAAAGGATCAGGTAGCAAAAGCTTAGGTGTGCAGGTCGAGAGGGGTACCAAGTGGTAGTGGATAGAGAGAAGGGAAAGAGGGCAAGATATACTGATGACGCTGCCGGCAGCTTCCACACCACATGCCAACAAGCCTATCTGGCCATGATCTGCGCTCTCTTAGTACGGACGCATGCGCAGAAGTAAGGAAAGGGCATTGCGACATAATCTTAGAATTATGATGTCATGCACTCGGTATGGTATAGCCCCGACGCCGATAGGGCTGAGCTAGGCTGCATTGGGCGATTGACGTGTTGGAACAACAACAATAGCCTTTGATAGATGAATGACGTCGGATACGACACAGCTGAATATCGTTAAAAATGCTGATGATAGAATAAAGTCAAGGGGTTGCGAGAAATCGTGCTTGATCATGTTATGTAGTTACACCAGTAGTTGTTTTAGTATCACAATGCCACCAGTAGGCTATCTTTACCTATAAGAACCTCAAGTGAGCTAAGCTTACTTAGTAAAGAACCTATTTTACATTTTTTATGCATAAACTCTTGTAGAACATTCAATTTATATGGTTTCTTATTGATTATATTAGAATGGTGGCATGTCTCGTTGCGGATCCTGTTATTATGTTGGTCCTATTCTGGTGCCTTCAACCCTTTTTGCTTTGAGTTTAGAGCAGTGCCTTCACAAGACATAAGGCTAAATTTGCCTAGGAAATTGTATCGTCGTGTTTGCAGCAGGAACCTGGGAGATAGAGGTGTGTTCGTATACAATAACACGCGCTAGCCAACGTAGGTATTTAACTAAATAAAGAAATCCGCTGATACCCACTCGCAGCACATACTCGACAAGAGCTTCATCTTTGACTTTAGGAGATATCTATAGCCTTTTAACTTATCTTGAATCAAAGTTCACCCGTGTGCGCGGTGTTATAGGGTAGTGTAGGGGTGGTTACGAGACTTTTATAAGACTGCACAGGTTCTATCCTCAACAGGATCTAGATCTTCCAACCGCACGAACTTTGCACTGTCCGTTCTACGATAGCAATAGCGATAGCAGTAACGTGAATGAATCCTAATCAGCACGGAGCGACACAGAGCCGCATTTGCAGAAGCCATGTCGCTCGCTTGCTCATAGTAGGTAATTTTAGTATTTAGTGGCGCTTAACTAGTAAGAGTCTAAGTAGCGGACTTCGGCCAGCAGTCACTCAATCGACTTAGGGGTCGCTCTATCTATGCAGTAGGAGATATACCAGCTCTATAAACTTCTTTGCAAGTTACAGTATGTGCACCATATACGATAGTTAGGGCGACGAGAGCACGTAGGTATAGGCAACTACAAGGCACATGCTGTACTCCGATGATCCCGCCTATGTGTGGCTAAAACCTGCTACAAAAGGCTTTCGAGAAACACAGCGCTAAGGGCCGGCGGTTGGAACCTATTGTTCTTGTACTTTGAGTATGGGCTCCGTACATAAGATGCATTACCCTCTACTTTGTTCCTAATCGATCTAGGTTACACAACACATGTTGCACCCAACGTTAGACTTTGAATTTCTTCCATTAATTCTATATGTCCAATCAGAACCTTAAACGTGATTTGAGATGCCCATTGTGGATGCGGCTGAGCTGCGGCTGAGCAGCCTGATGCCAAACAACCCTTAACGTCCAGGCCTTGAGGCTGAATCCTCGACATTCATCTTGTTGATCAAGTCTCTCTTCGATCTCCGAAATAACCGCATTCCCATACACCTCTCCTTACCCTTTGGAGGCGCTGTGCGCTCGATGTTCCTCTGATTGAATCGGTAGCTGTCGAGCCTGTACGCAAACCGACAGCAAACGACTAGGATCCAAGTCCGCACTCATTCTCTCAAAGACCCAGTACGATCCCCTCACAGTGGCCATGCAGACGCCTACCAAACCTAGAACTCATAATAACTGCACTACAGGATAGGTCTACGCGCTATCTAAGGAGCAGACCGCAGCGAAGGCTATGCTAGACTAAATACACCCGACTCTTTCCAAGCCACCAAACGACCAGAATTTATACACTCTTGGGTCTATCAAAGAGCATAATATTATAATAGCCTACCTACCGAAAGATAAGTACGGTACTAATTTAGCAGGCACAGTAGCTGCCTAGATAGTTGTCACTTTCCCATTTATTAAAGTTAGCCTTATAGTTAGTGTAGTGGGCTACGCCCTTTGAGCGGCGCTGCGATACGTGCGCGCGCCAATATCGAGTATATATATCCAGCTATCAAGATAACAAGACAAGCTTGTTATCTTGTGCAAACCTTTTGGTCACATGGGCGGCGTGAGTAGCTGCGCGCTAGGCCGGGTCCGGCCCACCCATTACAGCTATAGGACTAATAAATAACTTCCCCTGCATCGTTATCTAGGGTATTTGCGATTATGCCGACTTAGAAAAGAATAAATATTAGTAGAAATATACCGCAGCGGTAGCTGCGGTATATGCGAAGGAACTTCTAGAACATATTCAGCTAAGCGACGTTGATGGAGAGTGTCTAATAAAGGATATATTAAGCGACGGTTAGTTATTCTTAAGACCGTGTGTATTTTATAACGAGCTTCTAATAAAATTGTAGTTCTTAACACTGTCACTAGAACTAAGGCCGATATCTAAATAGTGAGGTCCAAGCTAGACAGAAAAGAAGACCTTAAGGTCTTATGTAATTAGCTTACGCCGGTCGACTACGGCCCTCGACAAAGTAATGTTATTAAAAGGCGAGAACTAGGGACTAAGCAATAGATTTTAGGCTCCGTTAAATACCAGGATTGGCTCAGGACCGAGAAGCAGACGTTATTCTATTCTAGTATTTCTGGAGCGGGAAAGACAATCCTTACTTCTATTATTATCCACGACCTTACCACACGGTTTTCTAAAGATCTAAGTTTCGGTGTTGCATACATCTATTGTAACTTCCAGCGGCAAGATGAATAGAATGTTGAGGATTTGCTGATAAGTCTGCTGAAACAGCTTGCTGAGAGCCAGCCCTCCTCATTGGAGAGCATCAAAGATCTATATTCTCGCCACAAAACCAAACGAACACGGCCGTCACTCGAAGAAATATCAAAAATTCTTCATTCTGTTGTAGCCAACTACTCTAGAGTATTCATTGTCGTCGATGCACTTGACGAATACAAGGCATCCAACGGCTGCTGGACGAGGTTTCTATCAACGATTTCCAGCCTCCAGGCCAACATATTTGCAACTTCTTGGATAAACAGTGACATTGCGAAGATGTTTGACAAGGCTGCACCACTAGAGATTCGTGCGAGAGATGAAGACGTAGAGGTATATCTAGATAAAAAAATGAAACTTCGACAGTCAGATATCTTAAATGATGCCACTAGCGACATGATCAAAAGAGAGGTAGTTGACACAATTGATGGAATTTAAGTCATCCAACCGACCCAAATATGATGGTCTGAAAATAATAACATAGGGAATCAGGTTTCTACTAGCAGAGCTACGCATAAACTCACTTATAACCCTGCCAACAAAAGGAAATATTAAGGAGGCCTTGAGGAATCTTGCAAAGGGAATAGAAGGATTAGAAACAATCTACGATCTGGCAATGGAGAGAATCGAAAATTAGGGAAGAGAGTCTCGAGATCTGGCGAAACAAATTTTGGCATGGATTGTTTATGCCAAAAAGCTACTTTTCACTTCAGAACTCTAACATGCCGTTGTAGTCAGGCTAGATATGGCAAAACTGGACGAAGAATACCTTCCTACCATCAATCGTCTTCGATTTCTCTGCGCTGGGTTGTTCACAATCGACGAAGAAAGTAACATCATACGACTGGTCCACTATACTACCCAAGAGTACTTCGAGCGCATTGGAGACAAATGGAAACCAAACGCTCAGTTCCATATTGTCTCGACATGCCTCACCTACCTATCGTTTGATGTGTTTAAAACGGGTAGCTGCTCATCAGATGAAGAATTTGAGGAGAGGCTCCAAGAGAACAAGTTCCTGGACTATGCCACTAAGCACTGGAGCGAGCGTGCTGCAATGGCTGAAGGCGAAGTGAGTGAGCTAGCTTGTTCGTTTCTTTCAGACAATGAGTTGGTTTCAAGCGCTATACAGGCTTTGCTAACCGATAGGAATAGATATAGGTCGCACCACAGTCAGGCACATCCAAAGGAGAGCACAGGATTACATCTTGCAGCACAATTGGGATTATCACTAGTGTTAGAGGCGATGCTTCCAGAACAGAAAGAAGAAAGATCAAACACGCCGAGGAAAAAAGATGGTGACGACCAAGATTCATTGTATATTGCGTCAAGCGCTGGACACAATAGAACAGTGGAGCTGCTGCTCAACAAAGGCGCCGAACCTAATGCGCGGAATGGAAGGTACGGCAGGGCAATCTTAGCGGCTTCAATGATAGGCCACGAAGAGATTGTGGAGATGCTGCTTGAAAAAGGTGCCGAAATTAATGCGCGGGGTGGAGTCTATGGGGACGCACTTACTGCGGCTCATGCTGGACGCCACCACACAGTTGAGAATCTGCTTGTTCAGAATGGTGCTAAAATCGTGTTGGAAGGAAAAGGGGATAACAGATATAGTTATTGGTATGATTATTTTAGCGAAGACACTGAGAAGCCTAAATGGCTGAAGATGGGATCGAAATGAGAATGTTCTGTATGAAATCACGGCTCTGTATTTAACTAAAGGATTACAGGATTTTGGTTAAGAAATCATAATAAACATGACTAAGAACAATAGCTCATCAGACCTCTATATGAACCATACAGTGTGTCGCGTAAGAAGAGGTAAGGATCGTATATTTACGACAGTGTTTAGCTGGTTAGTAACGGACTGCAAGCGCAAATGAAGTATACTAGCTCCTCCTAATAACCGATCCTTAAGCTCCACCCTCACAGACTTGGAACTGGAGAACAAGTTTAGATACAACATATCGGCAGGTTGGGAATAACATGAGTTCTTGAGGATCTATACAAGGTTTGAATAAGAGCTGTGTATTCTATGCACATGACCGTAGCTGCCCGGTCATAAGGTTGCGTAAAGGGCCTCCGAGGGGTGTTTCTTTCCTTGAGCCCGGCTCCGGATTACCCAGGGCCGCATCCAGGCTGTATGGCCTTCCTTTCGGCTAGGATCTGTTAGGGATAATAATGTATGATTAAATATTGCACTCCTTTGCAATCATACATTCAATCTCATGATGTATTATCGGTAGAGAAGGCGGTATGAAGTCTAAATAAGCGTGATGCTTCGTCTTTCGAACTTTGGCAGCCAAAGAGGCTTTTCTTCGATACCGTCAGAACGCACCTGTGCGATCCCGATTCTTTCAAATCTGTCACTAGTCCCCCCAGCACAGGTGACCAACAGCATGTTCCATTCCCCATGTTCTCCATCCCGTGTTTCAGCTTTCGCAAGTATCAACGCGTGCACAACGTCTGTGCCGGGATCCCGATCTAACAACGCGGCACCCAAATGAATTCCATCAAAATCTGATAGCTTCGAACTCCAATCACCCATCTTGCCCTCCAAACTCGAATGATTAAACCGATGGGCTAAGCCCAGGAGAAATTCAACCTGTACCACACACATCAGGCCGGTGATCTTTAGGAACCCTCCATTCACACGTCCGAACCTATCGCTACTAGCAAGTTCAATATCAAAATCATCTAGATAGTAAAGCGCGGGTGGGAAGCTCTCGTATACAGTCATTGGCCAACATACTGGCGTCTCATAAGACGTCCAAGACCAAGAGGGAGATGCATTGACTGTTGAACGAGGCACTATATTCACCACCCCCCAACACAATCCAAATTGGAGTCGCTCTTTCCAGAGACCAGCAAGATACGTTATGTTCATGCTGCCTCGGACAAGTTTAGCAAGACCTGAAATTGCGGGCAGCCGATCGGATGCATATGTCAGTTGTCGTGTCGAGTAGTGTGTGTGCAGTATTTCGTTATACCATTTAAAGATTCGATTTGACAGATCGCGGTCGCTGATATCATAGGCAGCAAGCTCCCGACCAAGACTGGGACCTGTCCCAGCCCAACCAGAGTTATTAGAGAAAGATGGGATTCCTTCCTCTATGTGGGCTGCTTGTCTACATTCCCAGTAGATCTGTTTTTTCTTGTAATGGAGAACGCGGGCAGACAGTATTCTCTCTTGACAAGCCCATGCTCTTTGCGCTAGTGTACCTGCAGCCATATCAGTTGCAGCGTCCATGGGATCGTAAGCGTCCTCATAGAGTAGCAACTCAGTAGGCTCACGATACCTCACAGCATCTCTCACTACCATCTTTTTCCAGGATGGAGAAATCTCGCTGCAGCTTTCGTAGTTGAAAAAACCATCATGCACACCTCGACTTTCGGTCGCGGCAATCGTGACAACAGCCTGACTGTATATGACGCCCATCTTTTGTGATTCTCGCTCCCAATCTTGCACAGAATCCTGAACGATACAAAGAGCATCTAGCCACAAGTAACGATACCCCAGGTTACGAGTTGCTGTGATTGCATGTTGAAATGTTTGTGGCAAGTCATTGTAGGATATGCGCGTTAGTAGTGATAGTAGAGTATCCTGTTTTGTCACGTAAGACAGGCCATGACCCCAACAGTAGCTCAAGGCTACATATGTACACACTTGATCCATTTCTACTAGCCGAATATCCTGAGACGGATGTTGGAAAGCTGCCACATCAATCATGCGGGCCGGTCGGACACCATCAAGGTACTGCGTAGTGAGTGTAGGAATAGCCTCAGAACACCGATGATTGAGCTGACAATCCAATATCCAACTTCGAGCAATCATGAACGAAGGGTCTGAAGACGTAGACGTAAGATGATGTCGAACAGGAACACTATGGCGGACAGCAGGATCCCCTAAAAGCTCAGTAACTGCTGAAAAAAATAATGACAACTAAAAAGCTCACCTCTGTTGGTCAAAATCCTGACGCGTTGTATCGTACCAAGATTGCGGAGCTGAGCATCACGAATCACGAGGACAGCAGCCCCATATCTGATTTGGATTACACAGTTAATGGGCCAATTTATACCAACGCGAGAAATGCGATAATCAGCCGGCGCTAGTATTGAAGTTCCTGTTAGTATCTTGAAGCAAAGCCAGCAGTCTTGAGCACTAGTCCGTAGTGCAGCCAAGGTAGGTGCATGAAGGCAGCCTACTATATCTGCAGTGCACACAATGTTTCGGCAATAAACGCAGGACATTTCGAACGAGTGCACCGTCGATCCGTTCCAGGGAAGATCACCTTGGTCGCAACAGATCGTCAACCGTGAAGTGCAGGACTGGTGTCCACTTTTTACACCGTAACGGAGGCCTGCAAACGGCTAGAAATCAAGCTTCAGTACCGAATAATCGCATCCGCTGGATATTGTATTGTGTTGCGAGGATGCTGCGATACCCCGCATTGAAGAAGCCTGAAATATTGTTGAACTGTTATGCCAGGGCATGTGACCCACAAAACACAAGAGCATTTAGATGAGAAAGACACCACTTGTTAAAAGTCATCATGGTATCGATTCATTTTTGGCCTCTCTAGAAGTGCTCGCTAGTGTTAGAGAGGTGTTGAGTCGTTAGTGACAGGTAGCCAGTGAATCATGTGACCAAAGCTGGACCCTCCTTCAACCCCTTTAGGGGTTGTCGGTATGACAATATCCTTTTTTGAAGTAAGAAAATTCGAAACTCGATCTATGACCACGTTAAAGAATTAGCAATTCTACTCCCATCATCTAACAAAGCGTCCTTGACTTGCATATATTTAGCAATGCTACTGAGTCGGAGCGTGTCTAACATCGCAAAGTGGGGCCACCTTCGCTTACTACAGACTTTGGAGGGTAGCCGTGCAAGGACCCCCCATATTCAAACCGATGCGAATCCCCCGTTCTGTTACACTAGTGAGCGGTGGCTGTGGAATGAGCGTGAGCAACTGGGAGCCAGATATCGACGTTTTGATGTGCTCGGTCTTCAGCAAGCGGCCTGTTAGGTTGTTGGTGCAGACAAATATATCTTTTACGAAAATCGGCGAAGGCAACTACAACAAGGCATATTGCCTTGAGATGGAAGATCGCCGAAAAGTCATTGCAAAAGTCCCACATCCTAATGCTGGTCCACGAGTGATTACGACATCATCGGAAGTAGCGACTATGGATTTTGCCCGGACTATTTTGAAGATACCCGTCCCATAAGTGCTTACCTGGAGTGATACCGACCGAGATTCTGTCCAAACAGAATATATCATCATGAAAGAAGCAAGAAGCACCTAAATCCATGAAGCCTGGACAGATCTTTCACTTAGGAAGAAGTGTGGATCATTCGTGAGGTTGTAGATATTGAAAGAAAACTACTCTCAGTTTCCATTTCGAAGTAGGATTCAACTTACCCCAACAGAGAATTTTCATTGGGTTTAACTTACACATACTGGCAGGGTAGGGTCTTTGTGTTTCAAAGGCAATGGTATCCCGGGATGCGAGCCGGCTATTATCACGTCTGGTCCGCAAGAGGTCGTTTCTCAAGCTGAGTCAACTTATTGCATTGGACCCATTACTCGCAAAGAGTTTTGGGAAAAAGAGCGCAGTAATATGGAATGCCAAGGTCCATGTATGTGTTCAAATATATCTGCAATCTATATATCAGGCTCAAAGTGATGGTAGGAACATCTTCTGCAAAATACCTCGAGGCAATTGCTCGCCGTGAGATTGATTGGATCAATGCACATGCAAATCTACACGAAAAGACTATGGCTACATGGCGTTACACGAGCCTGAAACAAAAATCTCCTGAGGCACACATAGCTCTATTGCAAAAGTTTCTAGCTGCAATTCCGTATATCACACCCCAAGACCCAGAGCTGGTCTCTCCTAGACTTTGGCACCCAGACTTCCACACTGGCAACATCTACATCGAAAATCAAGCCCAGATATCATGTATAATCGACTGGCAAGGAGCCTGGACTACCTCCGTAGTTCGACGATACTATAAAAGAGAAGCTCAGATATCAAGTGCTTCAATCCATCTTAATCCACGCATGCGAAACGACTACAGCAGAGAAGAACCCTCTAATGTACAAGGCAATGCGGCATCCCCAAGGCCAAACCCTCAAGCACTTAGAAGCTTTTGCCGGCTCTACCTGGGACGACTGTCTCTTCTCCTTCGAGGAATATTTGATCTCCGTCGAGCGGTGCGTATACCTATTCATTATCAACAATCCAAGCTGACTAGTATCCTAGCGAGTGGAATCACTTTCACACCAATGCCCCATGTCCATACCATTTCTCAGCAGAGGAGATATAGCAACACCACGAAGAATTCGGGGCGTTCAGTAAATGCCAAGAATTCCGGAGGGCACTAAAAGGCATCTTGACCGATGAGGGCTATACGTCGAACGAGAGTTTCAGTACAGCTGTCGAGATACTAAAAGACTTGAGGCAAGTAAGTCTAGATAAGCTAAATGGTAAGGAACGATGCAGCTTCGAGGAAGAGACGCGTTGGATAGCGGATCTTGATAGACATGACGAATAGTTTTTCGCATCGTCTTTGTAAGAACAAGTATAGATAGGAGCAGTATTGAGAGCAGTGGCAAAGCACTCCATACGCTGCCTGTATGACCCCCCAAGATAATTAATACATACGTTACTACCAATTTAGATTTAAACATAAGAATTTTTCTGACTACCTGGACCAACAATTGCCTCAAAATCAACAATCTCCATTACCCAAGCCCTTAAACTAGCAACAAAGGCCCGATACTAATATTAATAGGAATCATACACAGGGAAATGCCATGAACAAAACCTCTCCTTCTCCCAAATCCGCCATGGTTCCAGCATCAAAGCACAATAAAACGTGAGCAGCTAGATTGACCTGGCCCATTCTACAGAAACCTTCCATTGCCCATTAGGGAAACAAGCGGGACTCGGCGCATACACAAAAATGAGCAGAAGAAATTCAGATTACATACAAGCATTGCCATGTCCATCTCCCGGAAGAACAAGAAAACAGGTGGGTTAATCTTATTTTATCTTCATAGCAGCTCTACATCTTATTGCTGTTTTAAATTACATGTTGTGATTGGTTACTAGTAGAGGGAGTTGTATGTATGTGTGTGTGTGTGTGTGTGTGTGTGTGTGTGTGTGTGTGAATAAAAGCGATCTAATTAGTTCTAAGAATCGGTGTAAGCATACTCCTATTGGCGACAACTAGCTATATTAAGATGTTAGGAATATTACATATCTTTAGCGAGCGCATAATCACGTGACGAACACCGGAATCTGCACTAGATAGTTCAAAGCAGCAAACCAGAGGTGCTAGCCAGAAGTACTAGCTAGAGGCACGAGCCAGAGGTGCTAGATCAGTGGAAAGCCGGATGAGCCTACATGCGTGGGAAATTACGGCCTTGCACTCTTTATCTGGACTACATTAGCCCCACACACCCAACAAATCCATATATCAGCCTCCACGAATACAACTTCTATGACCGTACATTGCAGTTATGCCGCTATTTGATGACAAGAGGGTTGATCAATATATTTTACATTCTTTCATATCTGGACATTGCTTCGTAGTCTATTACATACATCTGCACCGTTCACCAACCTCATCACCAGGACCGTTGACTCCTTGTAACAATGCTTGCAGTTTTAGCTTATGCTCATTCGCAAACGCCTGCCTCACTGAGAGGCCGAGCTTGACGCCAATTCCGGCTCAGTTAGAGCCATTTAAGCCTTGCCAGCAGTGTAGAAGTCGTCAAGAGCGACCTTGATGCGCTGAGACATGCTCTTCTCACCCTCACGGACCCAGACACGGGGGTCGTAGTACTTCTTGTTGGGCTTGTCATCACCGTCGGGGTTACCCTATTGGAAAGTTAGGTACTATAGATGTAGAGGTTATTCCAGATTCAACGTACCACTTGGGTCTGGAGGTAGCCGCTCTTGGACTGGATGTAGTCCCGGATACCGGAGAGGTAGGCCCATTGCATGTCAGTGTCGAGGTTGACCTTGACGACACCATATGAGATGGCTTGACGGAAGTCATCAACAGAGCTACCGCTACCGCCGTGGAAGACGAGGAAAACGGGCTTGTCATCCTTGGAGTTGGTCTTCTCCTTGACGTAAGCCTGGTGCTTTTGCAGGAGCTCGGGGCGGACTGGGAATCACAATGTTAGCATGTCTTGAAAAATGTGCTGGCTCACTGATACTCACGCTTGACGTTTCCGGGCTTGTAGACACCGTGGACGTTGCCAAAGCCGGCGGCGATGGAGAAGAGAGGAGAGACAGCGGACAGCTCCTTGTAGATGTCGTAGATGTCCTCGGGTTGAGTGTAGAGGGAGTTGTTGTCGACGTCCTCATTGTTGACACCATCCTCCTCTCCTCCGGTGATACCGATCTCCATCTCAATCATCTGCTTCATTGGCGCAGCGCGTTCGAGGTACTTCTTGGTGGTGGCTGAAGGTGAATGTCAGCGTATGTCCACTTAATGTTTCTTCTTTTCATTTCTGTATTGCGGCGATGTACTTACCAATGTTCCACTCCTTGGGCTCCTCAGAAAGATCTGGCGAAAACGTTAGCAGAGTGAATATACCGAGACGCAGTTGCTTTTGTCTCACCAATCATGTGCGAGCTGAACAGAGCCTCTCCGTGAGCCTTGAAGTAAGCCTCGTCGGCATCCATCATACCATCCAACCAAGGCAGGAGCTTCTTGGCGCAGTGATCTGTGTGGAGAACAACGGGGATGCCGTATGCAGGGGCAATGGACCTGATGTAGTGGGCAGCAGCAATGCTACCAGCAATGCTGGCCTCCTGCTTGCCGTTGGCTACGCCCTTGCCTGCAAAGTATGCGGCGCCTATTCAATAAGGTGATTAGTATACATCTCATACATGATTCCTAAAGGCATTCCTTACCTCCATTGCTCAGTTGCAGGATGATAGGGGACTTTGCGTCGCGGGCAGCCTCGAGGGCAGCGACAACTGTGGAAGAGGAAGTGACGTTGATGGCGGGGATGGCTGTGCAAAGGTCCGAATTAGTGATGGCCCCCGGAGGCTCAGCTTGTCGGAATGCATACCATAACCCTCTGACTGAGCGTGCTTGAAAAGCGTGAGGATCTGAATAGTGTTAGTTTGTTGGGCGATTGAGAGTTGGGTATCAAGGGTCGCATACGTCGTCGCCGACGATGACACCGGTCCTGTTCAATGTCAGTTTGCGCGTTCCAACGTGATCTGAGGGGTCAAGCGGGGTCAAGGGCAACATACTTGCGGGACAGGACTTCACTGGCTTGAACCATGGTTGCTATTGTCTTGGAAATGTGCTGTTGTGGGTGGGGGTATATGATGGGTTGGAGGGTCAATTGTAAGGTTGGAGATGGGAAAGAGAAGGTGTAATGAAGAGAAAGTTTGTGCAGGCGTGTCGAGCTTTGTATTGCTCAAGTAAAGTTCAAACGCGGTAGTGGGGTTGGCTGGCGGACCACAAAAAAACACCCCCGCTAAGGACCGCAGTAGTGACGCAGCTGGTGTCGCCCCAAGCCTTCACCACCCAGTCCAGCCAGCCCAGCCAGCCCAGCCAGGGTCTGCGCAGAAACATACATAGTTACAACGCCACATGGTGTGCTTGATAGATAACGCTATGCAACTATGGTATTGATGCTACCACTTAGTCGCCTTTCAACCTACCTCTGCTTTGGCTTCTTCCATGGACTGCCACTGCCCCTCGCAACGGACCGCAAGTGGTGGTGGCACGTCTCCCACCATGTCCTTCACGGCCGCGCTCTGAAGTCATGGCGGGGCCGCATCTGCTCGGCAGCGCGGAACTAATAAAAGTGGGCTGTCTCTTTTCTGCATCTCATGCCATGGCCGCCGGTAGCTCAACGCAACATCATCGCATCCACAGGTGACAGGCTGCCCGACTCTCGCCGCAACACGCCAGTCGTCCCGTTCACCGGCCCCGCGTCAAAACCACGCAGTCGCCAGTCTGCCAGGGTCCCACCAATGATATCACCCTCGATTCACCGGAGTACATGGGACATATCGTGATCAGCATCGAGTTCTTGTCTGATTCTGTTCCGATATGCGGAAATCGTAGTCACGTGTTCAGTGTAGCCATGTCCTTTCTACACCCGGACAAGCCCTCGTTTCCCGAGGTTCTGGGCCTTTCAGCTTCATGCCAACAGCCTCGCAACGGCTTACAAGCCCGCGCCTGGCCGCTCATGCTTCCGAATCTTTCGCCCTGATCCGTATGTTCCGTACCAGTGCCCTCTCTGCGCCCGGTAACCGTATCTCGGCCTTGAATGTGCCCAATTGCTTCACCCGCGATGCATCGCCCTCCTCATGTCCTGATACAAACTTGACATCACTCTCGTTCAGAACCACACGAGATGCTTCATCGTTGTGCGCCAGCGCGCTCTTGATAGTCGCTGCCAGATCCGCAGTTGATACAGATCCATATATAGCGTTTGCCGATGCCTTCGCCTTGCTCATAGCAGCTGCAGTCAAAATGTCCGCTGCACCCGATGCCCCTACCCGTTCTCGTTTTGGACTGTCTTGCTCGATAGGCTGGCGGTAAAAGTCAATCGTTGGTGGGACGAACGTGTCGAGGAGCTCCATGGACCGCTCAGGCTATTATTTCTGTTAGCAGGCCGGTTTGCAACAAAAGAGACCATGTAGCTTACACTGAGCACCTCAATCTCAATTGGCCGCACAAAGTACTTAGGCTGCTGCATCAAGTTGCTCTCTTCCTCATTGGCCTCCTCCAAATTCAGCCTTACGCCAAATGTGACATCGCGTGCCATATCCACGTCCTGAGCCTTGAGCTGCTTCAACTGGGTAGCAGGAACATAGTCGGCAATGCGTGCGGGAAACCAGCGATTGCGCATCAGCGAGGGGTTGAGGGGCACATAGGAGCCTTTGCGGTGTTAGCCAGTGCTGCAGTTTGTGGTTTCTGGGCGCATGCTTGACACTGCAACAATGGCTTTGCAGCAAAGACATGTCGAGCTTCTGCAAAGCGCCCTCCCATTTCGTATATCGTACCTGCGCGGCCGAACCTTGGCACATCCTTGAGCAGCTTCACGACAATGTTGCGCTCGGCCTCTTTCGCCTTCTTCGAGATGCTGCGTATCTGTTGCGTCCCCCACGCTTCAGAATTTTGCATTGTGGCCCTGCGTACACATGCCGTGCACTGGGGAAGAAGGGCCAAGCCTCTCATTGAAGCCATTGTGCGTGTTGTCTGGGGGTTTGTCCAGGTCCGAGAAATATGCAAGACGTCCGGACAATTCTGGCGATCTTCGCGGCGGAAGCGGAGGTGCAAATGGGCCGGTGCGGCTTGCCGTACGTCCATGGGCTCGGCATACTTTTGCACCTGCCTCACGACCAAACATCAGAAGACGGCCAGCGCGATACCCAAAACTGGGCAGCAGCCAGACAATGGCGTCGGCCGCAGTCAGACTTACTCCACACACTGCCACACGCACTTAGCACGACCACGTACCGTATTTGCAGCACCAGCGTGCAAGACCATAACCTTGCCTCCATCCAATCCCGCGGTAGCGGGAGTGCCAGGCTCCGCAAGATGCCTGAGAAACATCTCACAATCGCAACGTACGCCGCCGGCGCCTCTCTTGCGGCCATCACTCTGGTCTATGTCTTTGGACCAACGTATTTCCTCGACGATGATTCAAATGCAGCTAGCAGTAAGAAGAAGGGTGTAGTGGGGCTTACCAATGCAGCAAACGACTGCTTCATCAACTCGGTCCTGCAGGCCCTCGCAGGCTTACCGGATTTGCGCATCTACCTCATACGAGAAACCCACAGACGGCTGCTCGACGGACCAGAAGTCTATGATGTGGATCCCGAGAGACAAGGCGTAGCCAATGGCCCCGTAAAGCCTGCCAGGTTAGAGGGTCTGCAAAGGGGCATCCTGACCCATGGATTGAAAGATATCCTGGACCGACTCAACGAACGGCCGATATACAAAAAGACCATCTCTCCGCAGCCCTTCATCAGAACGCTGGAGCGTGCATTCGGTACACGCATCAGCCGGCAACAACAAGATGCGCAAGAATTTCTCCAAATAGTGACGGAGCGTCTGTGCGACGAATACCATGCTGGAGGAAATGCAAGGCGACAGGCTACTCTAGATGCCGTTACCGTGGTGAACGGCGAAAGTATTCCCGAAGGAAGCAACTTCGAAGCGCTGCCCAACGGGACAACTACCCAAGCACCCGCTGATGGCCAGGGCGAAAACGAGGCCGAAGGAGACGAAGCCTCTATAGACGAAGAAGGGTTCCCTTTTGAGGGCAAGATCGAGTCGCAGATTGAGTGTCAGGTTTGCCATTTCAAGCCAAAGCCTACAGTATCAACATTTGTCACTTTGACACTGAATGTACCACAAGCCTCCTCGACCTCTCTCAACGCGTGCCTTGACGGTATGCTCAAGCTTGAGTACATAGATGACTTCAAGTGTGAGCGCTGTCGACTAGAACATGCGCTTAGGAGCAAAAACCATGAGCTTTCAACAGCAACTGACCCGGATATCAAATGGCGGCTGGAATCAGACATTGCTAAGATTCGAAAAGCACTAGATGAAGATCCTGAGCAGACACCGGAAGGTGTTGAGCTACCTGCTACAAGTCAAGCACCCAAACGTCGGATTTCCCGCCACATGTACATTTCACAGTTTCCCAAGGTTCTTGCGATACACTTATCACGTTCTACCTTTGCGATTGGTGCCACCTCGACGAAGAATCTTGCCAAGGTCGCCTTCCCGGAAGCTCTTCCATTAGGAGGATTGCTTCATCGCCAGAACTATCGCCTTCTTGCAGTTGTCACTCACAAGGGAAGTCACAACAGTGGCCACTACGAGTCATTCCGCCGTCAAGTGCAGCCAATGCCCTTCTCCACACCTGTGTCTTTTGGCACAGAAGGTGCATTCAGTCGTCAGGCCAGTCCGCACCCGTCAGCAGCACCATCCGCAGTGCCATCTGCCATGCAAAGCCCACGCATCTCCACACTCAACCTGCCCAGCCATATCGAACGCGGATCAGGAGTCTCCACTGCATCGACACTCGACTCACCATCGTCACGATCGCTGTCTTCGCAAGACAACATACCCCCCTCACGGGGACCAGCTCCAACATCTGCACCTCGACTGTCAGAGTCAGACCCGTTGCATCTAGCATCCCCCAGTGATGTTAGAAATGGTAGTGGAAGCGGAGACGAATCGTTGTCACGGACAAGAAGTATACGATCGCTGAGGGAACGGGCGTCAGAGAAGGCCTCTTCAATTGCAGACAACAATCTCCGGCGTCGCAAGCCGAAGAAGGCCAACAACCGGTGGTGGCGGATTAGCGACGATAAGATCAAGGAGAGTAAGACGTCTGAAGTTCTGAACATGCAGAAAGATGTGTATTTGTTGTTTTATGAGCTGAATGATAGTTAGTATCTCAGCATGGGGCTTATCTCTATGTGTGTTGTACGACGGCAAACGGTATAATACATTGGGTGAGCACCACCAGCTGGAGTAGCAATTCTTCTCTCAATAAGAGAGACACACAAATCCCTTAACAAAACCTGTAAAATTGTGCAACCGTGTACTGCACGCAAGCAGCCTGTACCCAAGAGCTAGATGCTTGCGTTTGAGACGTGTGCCTAATCACGCTTGATCTCATTGGTCCACATCCCCACGTGGCCTAGATTCCTCTGTACGAATCGGTAACTAGACTAAGTTACTGCAATGCAACCTACATACCTCACTTTCCCCTCACTTGTTGTTACGCTGCACGACTTGCATACAAAGTAACAGTGTTTGTATGCGTTGTCCTTCCACGCCACACACACACCTTCCAATAAATCCCTCGTTTCTCTTGTATCTTCCGTGTTCCGCAAGTCCCTTATTTGGGGGGCGGTCTTGGGTTGGCATCTTACTGCATTAGCGATTATCGTATTTGCAGCCGGTTGGTAGACGTGGATTATTTAAAGAGGAAATAAGGACGTCTGGAGCGTTAACTACTTGAGATTGCTTTGCTGTTTTGTGTAAAAAGAAAAGAAAAGGGGAATAGTGTTATAGAACGACAACTTCGCACTCTCTGTTACAAGAGTTTCTCTTCACACCAACAAGGCTGAATCGATCTTTTTGAAAGTCACGGCTACCCGTTCCCCTTCCCCCACCCACGCCATGCCGAGCCTCGAAGCAGACGACTCGGTCTTCACGCACACCAATGACAAACTAGCCTTTGCAAAGCCCCCCCGAATCCTCATCATCGGGGCTGGAAGCCGCGGCGCCGCCTACGCCGACGCAACGTCCTTGTGCTCGAACGCCGTCATCGCCGCAGTATGCGAGCCCAACGACTTCAAGCGCGCAGAGTTTGGGCGCAGGTACATGTGGGGACCTGATGGCGAGGCTACTCCCGAGCAAAGTTTCAGCGACTGGAGGGAGTGGAAAGAGTATGAGATGCAACGACGACAGCGGGAAAAGAATGGCGAGGAAGGCGTCGTGAATAAAGGCATCGACGCCGTGTTTGTTTGCGTCCTAGATGAGTTGCATGAGGAGGTTGTGTGCGGGATTGCAGATATGGGGCTGCATATTTGCTGTGAGAAGCCCATGAGCACGAGTTTGGAGAGCTGTGTGAAGATGTATCAGGCGCTGGATAAGGGCGCGAGGGAGGGGAAAGAAACAATTTTTGGGATTTGCCATGTGTTGAGGTATTCGCAGCATAATATGTTGCTGAGGCATTTGCTGCTGGATGAGGAGGTTATTGGGGATGTTATGAGTATTGAGCATGTTGAGCCGATTGGGTGGTGGCATTTTAGTCACAGCTATGTGAGGTATGTGAGATATATGGTTTCTTCATTGACGCATGGCTAACACGAAGCAGGGGCAACTGGAGGAAAGAGTCCAAGACTGCGCCTTCCTTACTCACAAAGTCATGTCACGACATTGACTTTTTGATGTGGATGTTGTGTTCACCTGGTGCGACTGCAAAAGACGCGGTGCCCCACCTTCCTTCCTACGTCACCTCGACTGGATCACTCAAATTCTTCCGCAAAGACCGGAAGCCAAAGGCTGCTGGATCAGCGACCAATTGTCTATCCTGTGCGCACGAGCCAAACTGTGACTGGAGTGCAAAGAAAATTTATCTTGAGGGGCATTTGAACAATGGCAACGCAGATTGGCCGGTCAAAGTTGTCAACCCGGAAATTGAAGACATGTTCAAGACGGCTGGGAAAGAGGTTGCTGGCAAAGCACTGCTCAACAGCCTAGCCGAAGACTATACCGCTGATACTCCGGCCAGCAAAGTGGACGAACGATCGTGGTTTGGTCGGTGTGTGTGGGAGTCGAGCAATGACGTATGTGACGACCAGTGCGTGACGATCACATGGGACGATGATCCGATAGCAAAGGATGATGAGGGTCTGCCTATACTGCGTGGCCGCGGTGCAAAGACGGCACAATTCCACATGGTGGCTTTCACAGAGAAGCAGTGCGAGCGACGTGGCCGCATATACGGCACAGAGGGCGAGATTGAATATGACAGCAGAGAGATCAAGGTGTACAAGTTCGGTACTGGACAGACAAAGGTCCACAACCCATATGTGGCAGGTGGTGGTCACGGGGGCGGCGACGAAGGACTTGCGCGGCAGTTTTTGCTGGCAGTTGACGCTGTGGATTCAGGCGCCATGGCCGCGGCAGACGCTCAGCGTAGATACCTCGGGTGCGACTTGAATGAGGCTTTCCGTAGCCATGCCATGGTTTTTGCGGCTGAAGAGGCCCGAACGAAGCGCCAGGTGGTGGAGTGGAAGAGGTGGTGGGCTGACCGGGTGGGGTCGCACTTGGACCAGCGGTAACGTGGGTGGCATGGGGGCATGGGGGCATGGGTTGTTGCATGGAATCATGACAATTGATGCCAACGCTGGTCAGCATGGCGGGCGCGTAGAAGGGCGAAGGGCATGACATGGCATGAGGCTCTTGCAAAGCTTGGGTTCACGGGGTTCATGTCATGGGAAGACGAAATGAAGGCTGTGCAGTCTCGCGCCAATCCGCTGCCAGCGCTCCATGAAGCAGTCCTGACCCCAGAGACGTTTGACAGGTAGAGCTCCGCTTTCAGGAAATTAATGGCCTTTTTGACCGTAGTGATCCGACTCGCTCAGGCTATATTTGGGGGCTTCGCCCAAACCTAATACTTCCCGATTAGGAAGAGTGTGGGCGCTTAATGAACCATGTTCGGGAGCCGGACGGTGAGGCTCAAGGGAACGCACCACACAGCGAGGCTGCTGGCCCAGTTTGCGTTCCGACGGCTGAGCGTACGGGCGCTTGGATTGGCAGATGCCGTGGACATGGAGCCAGCCCGGGGTTGATGGTTTGTTCCGGCCGTGGTACCTATACGCTGGGCGAGCAGGCTGCTGGCGCTGTAGATGCTTGTCGCTGTACTTTGAGTGCTCAGGCGGGAGTGGTGGCGACAGCGCAGCAGGTGGGCAAGGGCTGGGACCCCGAACGTGGTGCTTTGTCAACAACGCGGTCCCCAAGTACGCGTTGACGTGTAGAGGGGCTTGAACGACGTGTTATAGTCGTGAATACACTTCTCTCCGCCCATTGTGAGTCACTCAGTCGTACATGTGGCCGGCCTGCGGGAAGACGCATGCCGCGCTGCCGAAACGAAACGCTGGAGAGCTGACAGCCAATCAGCCCCGACACCCCGTCGATGACTCTTCATGACCCCCGCTGCCAGCCCCACCCTTCGCGGGACCCAGCACGGGCCTTGCGGCAGGGCGCCAACCACACCTGCACTACCACCCTCCATTCGTCCCTTCGCGCCGCCCACCCACAAACTGCCGCCATGGAGAAAACAAGAGAACGAGGGAAAAAAACCTCGCTCACCGTACTACCGCTGCATCGCTACGCAGAGAACGGGGCCGAGAATCCCGGTTTCAAGTTGTCCAACCGCCCCCATGTGCAGGCGCCTCGCTGGCCTGCCTTACCGCTTCTGTCTGCTGGTTGATGCCGCTGGCCATTCACACACCGTCTTGCCTACCCACCAGACCACTTCAAGCCTGCCAGGCCTCAAGAATAGCATTCCAGAAAGCCGTTCGCTAACTAGCCACGTACTCGCCCAGCCCATGCAACGGCTACGCTATGTTTCAGACGCCCTGTGAGGCTCGCATGTCGTAGACGGGTCCGCTCGTGCTACCGCCGCCAGACCGCCTCGCAGTCTTGTATACCGGCCCAAGGTATCGGACCCCCTTCGATGCATCGTGTTTCAGGCTTGTTAGCGCGGTGAGAGCGTTGGTTCTCGTGTCTCTACGCGGGGAACACCAAGGATAAGAAGTCTGGCTGTGCCGCAATCCATCATGCCCATTCATTCATCTTGCGCTGCATTTCCATCAAGAGCACTGCCTCACCCCGAGTCAACCGTGTCTCGCCCTTGCCTTTCCTTTCTCTCTACCTTTGCATTGTTTGGTCTTAGACACTCGGAGCTGGTCTCTACTATTAATCCCTATTCCATAATCTCCTCCTACCTACTCTCTCCGTCTCCACAGCGTACGTTATTTTTCTTATTTTTTGCACCCCTTCACACAGACCATGTGGGCTGCCACTGACATGAACCAGTCTGGTAGCTCTCATCCATCCAACATGTACAGCCGTCAAACAACCCCCCCGAATGCTTCATTCAACTACATCCCCGGCAGTGTCGGCTCAGACATCACATACTACTCGCAAGCCTCATCACCAGAACCCCAACTGGCTGTCCCTACTCCCCCAAGGTCACCAGTAAGGCAGTATGGTCCTGTTCTTCTCCCCAAGGTCCGCATCCAGGACCAGGTATCCGAGCCTACCACTGGTCCCGTCAGACATCGCAGGACGACGTCTAACTCCAGTGCCGGCTATGCCTACAGCCCCTACTCACGTTCATCCTCCATGGCCCGCCGTGGATCAAGCCCTTTGAACCACAACATCCACAACATGCACAGCACACTCACATCCCCCGTGTCAACCGCCTCATCATACGACTTCAACCTCTCCACTATCAACTCTCCCATCACCTACCCACAGCAGCCTGAGCTTCCTCGGCGGTCATCGTACATGAGCTCGAACTCTCGCTCTGCCTCTGCCAACCGCGCCCGTCACGACCGCTCTGCCTCTGCTGGAAGTGTCGACGAGCAAGTCATTAGCCGCTATGGCTTCCCAACTTACCGCAACATGCCTAGCTATGTCACTGCCTCGACTGCACCCCAGTCCAACTTGGGTGTTGCCACAGCTTTCCCCTCGGCATACTCCTCCGCCCAGGACATGTCCAACTTCACTGCGTCTTGCATTCAGGAGTTTTCCGTCCCAGAGTTCGATACCGCACCAGCTGTTCAATACCCAGCTTTTGGTGACTTTGCCTTTGATGGCTTCCAGCAAATCCAAGCCACATCCTCTTTGGTAGAGTACCTCTCTTCTCCCAACCCATCTCCATCTCTGGTCCGCCGCGTCACTAGCGCACCCCGGGGCATCAACAACCACTTTTGGTGGGACATCCGCAACCTTCGCAGCTGGGAAGACTTCAACATCACCACCATCAAGTCCATCCCTTCGGTGCTTCCCCTCCTTGAGGTCCCCGTCCCAGCCACCTACCTTCCCCAGCCCTGCCGCCAGAACCTGCAGCCCGAGAATGAGTCGGCTCTCCAAGACATCTGCACCAACTACTACGCCAACAAGGTCAATGCAGCTCTCAAGGTCGCTCAAGGAAACAGCCACATGGTGATGCGCGCTATCAAGCCAGTCGCCGGCCAACGTCAACAACCAGAGTTCGTCTCCAACTACCTCTCCGACTATGAGAAGACGCTCTTTGGTGACAGCCGCGGCCGCGTTGTTGGTCTCGTCAAGTGCTACGACCAATGGAACACTGGCATGCGCAGCGAGTCACCCCCCAAGCAAGTCCTCTACCTCCAAGGCCTCGCCCATCTCCAGCGCGTGATGCGCGAGCACGGCTGCCGCTACGGCTTCATCATGACTGAAATCGAGCTCCTCTGCGTCCGCTGCGGTGGTCCCTCTGACATGTCCACTCCCGACCCCACCACCGTCAATGCCCAAACCGGCGTGCCCATCTTCGGCTACCTCGAGACCTCAGCCCCCATCAGCCTGTCCACCAACGGCTTGCACCCAGAAACCGGTGACATGCAGCTTACCGCTGCGCTCGCCCTCTGGTACCTCCATATGCTCGCCAAGGAGAACCCCTTTGAGGGCATGGGAACCTGGCGCATGGACGTCGGCGGCCCTGCTGCTCTTACCCGCCAAAACTTCCTCGAAAAGGACTCTTGGATCCCCAAGCCCCAACTTGGCGAGAAGCGAGAGGCTAAGCGCATCAGAGGATGGGTGTTCCCCGATGAGCCGCTTAGCAAGAGGGAGTGCGGCAAGGGTAAGAGGGGCAAGAGCATTGGATAGATGCGGGGTTTATGAGCTACTAATGAGAATATGAGGATATGACTGGGACATGATGCCATGTGGAAATGAGCATGACGTCAAAAAATACATATATATATTAGTTTGATACCGCTGGTCGGTATCGTATTTCGCCTTTTACTTGTCTACTCTTTTTTCACGACAAGAAGCATTGAGCGGCGTTTTTTTCTTCGTTTCTTCGTTTCTAACTCAGATATTTTCGTTTGAGTGGCATTTTATAGGGTTACAGCATAGCATTTACAGGGCGCGTGGGATATCCGGATTTCCTTTTTTTCGTTATATATTACAGACTAGTTTATAAGTAAAATTCATTATTACTATTACTATTGCTTCAGGGTTGTTGATTGATGGTGATGTAGGCACGTGACTTTAGTGAGGGGACCCGAGCCTAGACCTGCTTAAGATGAGCCTTGTGTCTTGGAAAATACAATAGACGACAATGTCTAAAGTTTTGATATTGCTCTCTTCGTGGATGGATCTCTAGTATCTAAAAAGCTGCAAAAGCAGGGAAATTATAGGTCGTACCGTCTGTTTTTTTTGTTGAAGGCGTCCATGTCCAATCACAGAACATTCTTTATTAGTCTGTCTGCCGAGCTGTAGCCTTGACACCGCTCAACCTTTACACTTTACAAAAGCAGGTGCGGGCTGGTGTGCCAATCGCATGTCTGCGGAATGCGACCGTTGCGCCACACGTCGATCTGTTAACGGGAAACTCCATTGTTATTGTGTCTTCAGGTGAAACGATGTGCATGAGAGAACCATGTTTATGACGGTAGGTATGGAACATACTCTACACATGTGCAAGTACCTAGTGTACAGACGTAGCGCTCAGTTTTTGGAATCATTCAGCTCTCTTGATGGGCAACCCTTGCAGAGTCATGTCACATCATATTCGTATCCGCAACACACTTGCCCGCATATACGTGCATTTCTTACAAACTGTGCAGACGTCGCATAATGTTGAAATTCTGATTTGGGTGTCGACGTAGCAGATGTGCTAATCGCATACGTACACCATGGTGGCTAAGATCAAGGGTCGTGATAGGCCAGAAGGGTGACACGATCAGGCTCAAGCGATTTGGCATGGTGCCATTTGCTCAGAGATCGGGTCGTGTTGACATTGGAACCAGATGGTGCAGTAAGTACCATACAGATGCATACTAAAAGAAAGACAATCAGCCGCCCTGACATGGCAGTAAAGTGTCCCCTTGGTCTAGACTCGGAGAAGCGTTATCCATGGTAATGGTGCTTCAGGGTCCGTTGTAGTCAGTCAACTTGTGATGTTCACGCTGCAGGTACGGCTCGAGGCATGCTGATGCGGAAAGCGGCTTTTGGCGGGCAAAGAGTAATTCTCGAGTCGATCAGTATTCACGTGTTTTTTATACAGCATGTATGGTATTCAGTACAGCCATCTGACAGTAAGACACAAAAGCACGACAAGGTGTGTGGTGGGGGAATAGAACAAGGGCCAAGGGCAGGGAGGGCGGAGAGAATGCATTGACCGCCACGTGCGCTAAGGATACTAGGGGGAAAGCCGCGATTCTGATTCTGGTCCACACAAAATTAACTGCTGCCCCTCCATCCTCACGTCCCGCACAAGCTGCACAAGCCCGACGAGGCGCAAAATAAAGGGAAAAAGCACGCGTGCCTTTGTCCATTCTCTGTCTCTCCCGCCAATTCTTACTAGACGGCACCGTCTGTGGCCGCAGCAACAGGCGTACATATCCTTATCCTCTTACCCCAACCCCCACCGGCCTTTTCTCACCGCACCGGCCCTCGGGACGTCGTCTGCTACATACAGTAGGCCGCCGCCAATCCTCGACGCACTCTCCGTCAGCCACTCTCCACCATGGACGTTGCCGGCTTGCGGGACCGGATCCAGGCGACGCTCGACGCGAATGCCGCCGTTAGACAGCAGGCCGAGCTCGACCTCAAGCATGTGCGTGGTGGCTGCGACATACGATCCGTACTTGAACATGACACTGACGGAAACATAGGCTGAAGAAAAGCCAGGCTTCACCGGCGGCCTGCTAGACATTCTCGAGCAGGAGCAACACAACGCCGTGCGTCTGTCGAGTAAGTATGCGCCCACCGAGTGTGCACACGAAATCCCTCTCCTCCTGATACTGACGTCCCGCCCACAGCTGTCGTCTACCTCAAGAACCGCATATCCAAGGGCTGGTCACCTGCCGAGGAGTACAGCCAGGCCATACCCATACCAGAGGATGAGAAGACTGCCTTCCGCAACCGTCTGATCCCCGTCCTCGTCGCCTCTCCACCCCAAGTGCGCCTCCAACTCATTCCTACCCTCCAGAAGATCCTCGCATATGATTTCCCCGCCAAATGGCCGGATTTCCTCGACATCACTGTACAACTGCTGAATGCTGGAAACATTGAGTCGGTGTTTGCCGGTGTGCAGTGCTTGCTGGCGATATGCAAAATCTACAGGTTCAAGTCTGGCGAGAACCGCGCAGACTTTGACAAGATAGTTGCCATGTCCTTTCCACAGTTGCTCAACATTGGCAACTCACTGGCGGGTGAGACAAGCCTGGAAGCTGGCGAGATATTACGGACAGTGCTCAAGGTGTACAAGCACGCCATCTATGTAAGGTCCCAACGCGCGCATGGCAGAAACGGCGACTGACTAGTATGAAGTTCGATCTCCCTGCATCTCTCCGCGACCAACAAGTCATGGTTGGTTGGTGTACCCTATTCCTGACTGTGGTCGGCAAAGAGCCCCCTGAGTCATCACTCCCCGAAGACCTCGACGAGCGCGAAGTAAACCACTGGTGGAAGGCAAAGAAGTGGTCTTATGCAAACTTGAACCGATTATACGTCAGGTGGGTGGCACAGCGTCATACCTCGTATGCGGGCAGTACTGACGAGAACCAGATATGGCAACCCTACTGCTTTGGGCAAGAACAACGAGGTCGACTACACCGAGGTAGCCAAGAACTTCATTGCTAACTTTGCGCCTGAGATTCTCAAGATCTACCTCCAGCAGGTTGAGAAGTGGGTTGGAAAGCAGGTTTGGCTGTCAAAAGCCAGCTTGTACTACACACTCAACTTCCTCGACGAGTGCATCAAGCCCAAAACCATGTGGACTCTGCTCAAGCCTCACACCGACAACCTCATTGCGCATCTCGTATTCCCAGTACTTTGCCAGTCCGACGAAGATATTGAGCTGTTCCAGGAGGAGCCACAGGAGTACCTGCACCGCAAGTTGAATTTTTATGAGGACGTGACTGCGCCCGACGTTGCTGCCACCAACTTCCTAGTCACTCTTACCAAGAGCCGCCGCAAGCAGACCTTTACTGTGTTGAACTTTGTCAACGAAGTCGTCAACCGCTACGAGGCCGCACCCGACAATGAGAAGAACCCAAGGGAAAAGGAGGGTGCATTACGTATGATTGGTACGCTATCTGGTGTCATTTTGGGCAAGAAGAGTCCCATTGCGGACCAAGTCGAGTACTTCTTCGTACGACATGTCTTCCCCGAGTTCCGAAGTCCCCATGGCTTCCTCCGTGCGCGCGCATGCGACACCCTGGAGAAGTTTGAGCAGCTCGATTTCAAGGATCAGAACAACCTCATCATCATTTACCGCAACATTCTCGAGTCCATGGCCGACCCCACACTCCCAGTCCGCGTGGCTGCAGCTTTGTCACTTCAGCCACTCATCCGTCATGATGTTATCCGAAATAACATGAAACAAAACATTCCTCAGGTCATGCAGCAACTACTGAAGCTCGCAAACGAGGTCGATGTTGATGCCCTGTCGAACGTGATGGAGGACTTTGTCGAGGTCTTTGCACCAGAGTTGACTCCCTTCGCCGTAGCGCTGAGTGAACAGCTGCGCGACACTTACCTGCGTATCGTGCGAGAATTGGTATCGAGGAATCAGGAGAAAGGTGAAGATAGCGAGTATGGTGACTTCCTTGATGAGAAGAGCATCACTGCGCTCGGTGTTCTGCAAACCATTGGTACCCTCATCCTGACTCTGGAGAGCACACCCGATGTTCTCTTGCACTTGGAGACTATCCTGATGCCCGTCATCACCATCACTCTCGAAAACAAGCTCTACGGTATGCTATTCCACAAGTTACCTCCCTCTTCATTCATACTAATTTCTTTGCAGATTTGTACAACGAAGTCTTCGAGATCATCGACAGCTGCACCTTTGCCGCTAAGAGCATCTCCGGCACCATGTGGCAGGCGTTTGAGCTGATACATAGGACGTTCAAGGCTGGCGCTGAGCTCTACCTCGAAGGTATGTATACTTCAATGTTAGTATCCTTACATCAAGTCGCTGACGATGCGTAGATATGCTTCCTGCACTTGAAAACTTCGTCAACTATGGTACTCCCATGTTGGTCCAAAACCGAGCATATCTTGACGCCATTGTCGACATGGTCAGGACAATCTTCAAGGACGACAAGGTTGGCGGCGTCGACCGGATTTGCGGCTGCAAGCTAGCTGAGATTATCATGCTCAACATGCGCGGTTCTGTTGATGACTACATTCCAGAGTTCATTGGACTAACCATGCATGTACTGACTAATGAAGAGCCTAAGGTCAAGTCTCTGCGGATACATCTGATGGAGGTGGTCATCAACTCCATCTACTACAACCCTGCATTGGCATTACACGTGCTCGAGAGCAATGGATGGACCAACAAGTTTTTCAGTCTCTGGTTCTCAAGCATCGACCACTTCACCAGAGTCCACGACAAGAAGCTGTGCATCTCGGCGATCTGCGCTCTTTTGACACTGAGAGCCCAGGATGTTCCTGTCAGCGTACAACAGGGCTGGCCACGTCTGCTACAGGGCGTCACGCGTCTCTTCCAAACACTTCCTGCGGCACTGAAGAGTGAGTTTTTGAAGCAGCAATATCATATGTTGGTACTAACATATACATAGACCGCGAAGAAGCGAAGAAGGAAGATGCATTTGACTACTCGGCTGAATTTGAAGAGGAGGAAGACGAGGAGTGGGAGCAGGAAGCTGACTGGAGTAATGAAGCTGATGAAGCCGAGGATGTCAAGGACGAGAGCGCCGCCTATCTTGACTTCCTAAATGAAGAGGTAAGGCTTCTACGTCTTAACGCGCGTGATGAAGTCTAACTAGTAATAGGCACAGAAATTCAGCTCACTCGACGATGAAGACGACGATGAGCTAGAAGAGGAGAGTCTCTTGGAGACGCCCCTTGACAAGGTCGAGCCATATGGCATGTTCAAGCATGCATTGCTCCGTAAGTTTGTCGCACCAAAAGTACTCAGAGTGTGTATTGACGTGATGTAGGCCTACAACAAGAGCAACCTGCGCTCTACGAAGACCTTACCAAGAACCTCAGCCCAGATGAGCAACAAATCGTGCAAAGTGCCGTCCATCAGGCTGATGTCATTGCACAAGCCCAAGCCGAAGCACGGGCTGCTGCAGCAAACGGACAGCCATTGCCATTGCCGCAGTAGAGTGGTTCCAACAACCAAATCATTTACCTCAACAAAACGGACAGTTTGCCGACGTGGCACGCATGTGTGCCTTGACTCAGAGTGCAGCTGATGAAGGCGACCCTTGGCTGTTTGGGTTGTGACGCCTCGGTTACAAATACCTATTGGCAGCCATGCACATGATAGGCGAATAGAATGGAGAGTATGCGCAGGTAAAAGGCTGCTAATGTCAAGAGAAGGGAGGCGGGTTAAGGTCTAGGAGACTTCTTGGATTCCAATTAGCGAGCATCCTGGCGTTTTGATTTTTACAGAAGACGGTGTGAGCCGGAGGTTTCTTCTGGCTAGTGGTACTCTATTGGTGTCAGACGGCGTTGATTTCGGCGTGTGTTGGCACAAATGATTACGAAAAAGAGGAGGACGATATCCACAAGAGGAACTATTTTTTGGGATGACAATGATGATGATGATGGCGAAGAAGCATGCGTATGAGGAGGAGGTTGCCCCGACCTAAAGGTCATCGTAGATAGCATTTTTTAGTCTGGAATGCAATGAGATGTAGTAATCGTTGCACATTATTGGATGTTTGCTTTATTTGCTAGGTTGCATGCGGATATCCCTGAGTGATGGGCGTGGATCGCTGTTCCCTCGGAGGGGGAGCCTGGTTGTTTCAGCCCTATCGATAAGCCAAGGCACTACCATGAAACTGGCCAGAACAATGACGCCTGCGCAGGTGGCTTGTTGATTTCCTGCGCGCAACGTGGACAGAACCAGAGATCCAGCCTTATTCCCTATACACAACGATCTTCTGGCATCCCTGAAAAGAACCCTCATCTCTACGCGACACACAATTACTCGAGTCGCATTTCCTAGAGGCTCACCCCGCGTGGATATTTGTACACTGCTTAGATTGACCGCGAAGCTTGGACAACGGCAACAACCTACCGTGCGTCGCGCGGTATCAGAATAATCCGATGTCGCGACCTACCGTCTCGAAAGCTAAGAGTATGTTCGCGCTGCCGTAGCCCCTTAAGCGCAACCCCGCTAACAGCAGCAGCAAGCTACCCCATCTTCGCGGCCACATTTGCCAGTAATAGGCCCGGGATTCTCGTAGTGGGCGGCGGCGGAGGGGTGCGTACAATGCTCGAATAGAGCCGTTTACATACATGTACTAATCTCGGCTCGTTGTTGTTTAGGCCGGGCGTACTGGAGTCAAGAACCAAATCACTGCATTCGACTTCAGCTCACGAGCGCCGACCGTAGAGGCCATTGCCGAGATCGAGGCAAGCAAAGATGACTCGATTACCTGTCTGGAGAACCTTTCCACCAAAGATGGCTTAATTCTGTTCGCTGGAAACAACAGTAGCGAGGAAGACCGCTTGGCTGCGCGGAACGAACACTTGCGCGCTTTTGAGCTACGCTTTCCTAAGAGTAAGGGGACTAGCAGCGGCGCGGAGAAGGCGGAAGGCAGTATAGACTTTCTCAGCAAGACGACACTTTTTACAACCCCGCAATCGGTTGGCGCGAAAAAGGAAGGGTATCAACGAATAATCCGATTGTCACCGCCGCAAAGAACAACGACAAACACACTGAATAGGCGGGTTGGCGCAATTGCTTCTGGACTTGCAGGTGACGAGAACGAGGTTGTAATCTTCAACGCAACATCTACCAAGCCAACGAACCAAGACGTAATAGAACGCATTAAACTGCACAAAGGCCAAGAAGCAAACGATCTTGACATCTTTACACAAGAGGAAGGGCAATTTCGGGTAGTCTATGTGACGGATCAGGAAGTTTTTTTGCAGGAGATTGGCTACGAGTTTGAACAAAGAAAGACAAAAGGCAGGAATGAACACCGAAAGGTCTACACATTACCCCACGTGGAGAAGGGTGCTAGAAGCAAGTTAAGAGGTGTACGGTGGCTTTCGCCAAAGCATCTGCTTCTGCTCGCGAACAAGCCTAACAGGAGCGGTGTTGAGCTGCTGTTGTTTCACTTTTACCAGGATGGAGGCAGTATTGCTTTACGAAAGGCGTTGCCGAAGCATGTGAAGGCGGCAACTGACATGGATGTCGCTATCCTTGATGCGGATGACCAAGGCGCCTATCAGATTGCTATTGCTATAGCGGCGATTGACATGTCCTTGACGGTTTACACGATGGACTACCACGGCCCATCGAGAGACTCATTGAGTGCTTTCCACTCTTGCAACAGTTACGACAATGTAAGAAGAAAGCCTGGTGATCGCCATTTGTGTGTGTTAATTAAAACTAGGTCCACGATTTTCAAATGACCAAAGTCGTATTTTCACCATTCTACAAGCCAGAGTCCCCTAAAGGTCGCCCATCAACCCCGTACCTTCGTCTGGCAAGTACCAGTCTGGGTAATACCATCAGCGTGGAAACCTTCCCTCTGCAAAATATCGGGTCGCGCCATGTGCTGCAAACAGCCCAGTCGAGAAACTTATTTACAGCGGCGACGTACCTTGTCACAGCCATGGTTATCGCCGTAATAGCACTTCTGATACAGTCACTCCTGGATCCAGAAGGCAACCTGACCAAGGGCATACTCCCTGCCAGTCTACAAAATGCAGCCGGTCAGCACAAGACGTTTGGTGAAACCCTGCGGGAGAAACGCCACCAAGCTGTCCTCAACAATGCAGACTCGCCAGTTGTGAAGACGTCGCAACGCATCGCCGATCTATTGCATATCCACCTGCCTCATGTCTTATCCGACGAGACAGCATCAGCAGACATCCCACCCGAGCCAAAAGCTCTGGTAGTTCACCATGACGCTGAATCTGACGGTACCCTTAGCACAGAAGTACACGAGGGAGACGAGGAAGTTTTGAAGAAGCACGCTGCGGCAAGGAGGTGGGATGAGCTGAGCAAAGAGGAGAAGCACATCTGGCGTGAGAAGCTAAGTGAAGCAGGTATGTGGGCGGTAGGAGAAGGTGAAACCATTCTGAAGTCTATCTTCTTTGGGCAGTTAGGTGGACTGGTTGGGCAGGCCGCGCAGGGCGTGCTGGGCGGTTAGAGAGACGCATATGGCATAATGATTATGCGCGGGCGGCGGTAAGTGGAAATGTATCATAGCAAAAACAACGTGTGCTTTCGAGGATAATATTATTGGTGGCCGCGGCATGTTCTAGATTCAATTGAGAAGCTTGTACATGGTAACATTTACTTGATATTTCACCGCTGCTGATGGCCTTTGCATGACGAAACGCTTCCCCGGTGTAAGGTTTAGGACTAGCGCGAGATTGATGTGGGTCAGAGCTTACTAGTCCGCTTTGGTGACATACGACGTGCTGTGCCGACACAGCAGTTAACTTTGACTGCGCTCCAATTCCACCCACGCGTCTTCTCTTGCTTGTCTCTTATTCCTTTCTATGGATGGATTGAGCATCCACGCTCTTGCTGCGAGAGGCTTCAGGTGAAGCAGACAGGATGGCGCAGCAGAGTCCCCTTTCGTCCACGCTGGACCGCATAGTCCACGAACTACGCTCCAAGAATGACGAGACACGACAGCGAGCAGCAAACACGCTGCGGCAGACGGTCGAGTCGGCGCACCGAGGTGAGGCAGCAGCGCGATGCAGAAAAAAAAAACCCCTCCCAGGCTTCGGAAAACTGACGTAGCACAGAACTCGCGCCCAATCTCTTTACCAATTTCAACAACGAAGTCTACACCAGAATCTCGGGCCTTATTGTCACCGGCAGCGACTCGAACGAACGCATCGGTGGCATTCACGCGCTAAACGCCCTCATCGATTTCCGCGGCGACGATGCAGGCCAGAAGACGACGCGGTTTGCCTCGTACCTGAGGGCGGTGATGCGAGGCCAGGACATTACAGCTATGGTGGTAGCAGCCAAGGCTCTGGGACGCCTCGCGAAACCTGGTGGCACCCTTACAGCAGAGCTTGTCGAAGCAGAGGTCAAGGGTGCTCTCGAGTGGCTGCAGTTGGAACGCCTGGAGAATCGGCGCTTCGCTGCTGTTCTCATCCTGCGCGAGCTGGCTAAAAACTCTCCGACCCTCATGTACCAATGGATCGCACAGATTTTCGAGGTGATTTGGGTGGCCCTACGCGATCCCAAGGTCCTCATCAGAGAGTCTGCGGCCGAGGCCATCAGTGCCTGCTTCGAAATTATATCCCCGCGTGACTCGCAAATGCGACAACTTTGGTTCGGCAAGGTCTATGACGAAATTCTGCGTGGCTTCACAATCAACACCAATGAGGCCATCCACGGTTCGCTGCTCACAATGAAGGAGCTGCTTGACAAGAGCGCCATGTTCATGAACGATCAAAAGTACAAGGAGACGGTTGAGCAGGTGCTCAAGTACAGGGAGCATCGGGACGCACTGGTGCGGAGGGAGGTGGTGCTCATTATCCCTATTCTTGCTGCTTATTCGCCTACCGAATTTGCGACAAAGTACCTCCACCAGTGCATGCTCCACCTCCAAGGTCTGATTAGGAAGGATCGCGATAGGGATAAGGCATTTGTAGCTATTGGACAGATTGCAAACGCCGTCGGAGTCGCCATCTCGCCGTACTTGGAAGGCATCTTGGGTTTCATCCAGGAAGGCCTCATTGCAAAGGCACGGAACAAAAACGTCATAAATGAAGCGCCGATATTCCAGTGTCTCAGTATGATTGCCGCGGCGGTCGGTCAGGCTCTTACCAAGTCTGTTGAGCGCTTGCTAGATCCCATCTTCTCTTGCGGGCTGAGCGATTCTCTCTTTCAAGCTCTCGTCGACATGGCTCATTACGTACCACCTTCACGGCCCATGATTCAGGAAAAACTGCTGGATCTCCTCAGCCAGATTCTTGCTGGCCGACACTTTTTACCGCTGGGTAGCCCTTACCAAGTCTCACAACCGCCACAGATATGGACACGCGATCACAAGGACCCACAGATCATTGCCCAACGAGAAGCAGAGATTGCACTCGCGTTGCACACGTTGGGTAGTTTTGACTTCACAGGGCACGTCTTGAACGAGTTTGTTCGTGATGTTGCTATCCGATATGTCGAAGCGGACAACCCAGAGATCCGAAAGCGTGCTGCCTTGACCTGCTGTCAACTTTTTGTCAAAGATCCCATCGTCCACCAGACTAGCACTCACGCGACAAAAGTGGTTGGTGACATCATTGAGAAGCTTCTAACTGTTGGCGTAGGTGATATTGACTC